CTTACCTTACCTTAATTTTTTGTTTTCTGGTGATGCCAGAATTGGTGCTTGAACAAACATTATTGTCAGGATGCTGTCAGCGGCTCCCAGCTGCTTGCCCAGGAAAGTATAAAAACAAGGAAATGTTCTTACCGTCCTCTGTTTATTCAGTATTTACAGAGAGAGGCTACAGAACCCAGCCTCTTGGGTAATGACATTGTCCCAAGTGAATCTCCACCCTCCGTCTCTCTCCGGGTGCTGCTACATACCCTCTGAGCTCTTTGCTCTTCTACTTTTAAGGCTCGCTGGGTTCTGGGAGATGGCGGGTCCGGAATGCTTTCTAAAAACAACATGTCAGCCAGCTGCCATTCCAGTCCTTCCTCCTCCTTTCCCATTATTTCCCAACTTTTCCCCTCATCTGCCTCTGAGCTGTGACCTCCTGCAAACCCCTGTTGTAAATCTATAATGTCTTCCTCTTCCTCCTCCCTGGAAGGCTCAGGATGGGGAGGCGGTCTCCACCATTGCTCCTCTGCCCAGTCCCTGACAATTATCTGTCTTGGAAACAAATGCCTTGGAATGTAATGTGAAAATAGCCCTCTTCATGCATCCCTCCACATATATGCTAAATGCATGGAAAAGAGGGGCTGCTCCCTTCGGGCCAGCTCTGCCCCTGACACCCACATAGGCTGAGCAAAAAGTTTGTGGATAGAGTATCTGCATGTGTTGCAAATGCGCAGGTATTCCATGTGACCAGAAACCCTACATGATCTGTGATCTCAACTCGGGATGGAGGAGGAATTCAATTCAGTTTGCACTTAAATGTGAATCTATCTGATTTGCACTTTGCAAGTTGTCTTCTTGGAGCTATGCAAAGTCCAAGGAGTCCAGACTTACTGTACATACGTGTCTTACTAAGGCACCCTCCGTACTGCCCCATGGGCTCCTTTTCATTGTCAGGTCAGGGCAATGAGACCATTTCCTAAAGAGGTGAATTTTTGCTTCGAGCCCCCAAACCCATCCCCCATGGAAATAAAGACACAGTGGAGACAGAATTTAGTTTAAATGTTAATAGGCAAATTTTAGCCACAACTTTATTAAAATACACACATGTGACTGATATTGGCTTAGGCATTGGTATCAAACTATATCTGGCTCCTGCCCCACCCTGCAGGAAACCTGTAAGGGTAAACAACCAGCAGGGGGATCTCCGTCAGTGTATATTGACTGGTGCTCACCCCTGGGGTTCCCGTGGGGTCCTGGCATGGCCCTAGCCCCTCTCTGGGCTTCGGATGAGATCCAGACCCCCGGATTCCTTTAACGGAGTACCCTACTCATTGGAGGTGCAGGTGATGGCCACACCTCACCTCCCCACATTCCCCTAAACCAATGCCTAACCGCCAAACCTTACAAAGTTGTGATGATTGCTAAGAGGTAGGCAAAAACCAAGTGGCCACAGCCAATCTGCCACATTGGAAAAAATTCCTACCTGGCCCCCATTCCAAAACAGGCGACCAACCAAAGTCCAAAGCAAGGTCAAACACAACCTAATTAATGGGTGGGTGGGCGAGTGTTTCACGCTGCCAAATAGATACCCCCAACCTTGCCACGCTACTGATTGGCTAAAGGCCGTTGGCATAACTGTGGCACCACTGGCTTGGAGTGGGGCAAGCCCGACCCACAAGCCGGTTAGGGAAGAGTTTCAGGACTAAGCACAACATGGAGGATCTAACTTGCCAATCACTGCTGAGCTTTTTTAAACAACAACAACACAAACTATGTCAGTTGCACTAAGTTGCCAATGAAATCAATGGGATAAATTCCAGGAAGGGATTACTTCCTCCCATCATGGGTTGAGTAAGTTCCAGCTGCTCAGTCCCCTCCCTTGACTTGGAGGACAACATCAAGGAAGACCAAGATTGAGGGCAGGAAATCCATCTGAATAATCCAGTCACCATCCAGACAATTTTGTTCCTGATACCAGACTTGTATATCATTTTTGCAGCGTGATTTTGTTTTTTTTAAAAAAGAAGAAACTTGCTTTGATAGCTTTTCAGGACTGTAATGTGGAATAAAAAGTATTCTTTTAAAAGAAGTCATGACTTAAGTCTCATTCATTTCACTGGGCACTCAGCATAACTAATTGATGATGGCATGAGGTTTTTATTTTGTCAAGAAGATATGAAGGAGATCTGGTGCATGTGTGTATATTTCTGGCAACAGCAAAATAACTACTCACATCAACTTCACACAAGGCAGTGCACATTTTATTTGTAGGGGTTTTTTTTTGTTTGTTTTGCTTTTGCTACATGGAAATGATTTTCATGGGGAGAAAAAATGTTGCATGTGAAGCAGTGAAAAGGTTGAAAGAGGGAGCGACTCTGAGACCCAATGGGATATTTTTTGAATGACATGGTACAAAGCTGAAATAACTTTGGGGATCATCTAGCCATCGCTTCCCTTCCAAATGAAATGAAGCCTGAGGATAGTTTGCTCACCTTGCCTACCCCAACAGAATCCCTGAGGTGAAAATCTCTCAAAGACATTACGATGACTGTCACTCGTGCTTAATTAGAGATGAGTGATGATCGGAGATGTTTTCCCTTCACATATTCAGAATGGCTGTGGAAAAGATATGGATGATTAGGATCATGGACAAAGGGCATAGCAAAGGGGTGACCTTGATCTCTTGGGCCTGAATTAAACAGGAATCCAGGTAACAAAAACCCAACGGCTGTGTTGGAAAATTTAAAGGATTAATTATCTTACACAGGAAAAGGGAATTATTTGGAAATGGAAGTTAACAGTAACAGACTTTACCAATCAGGTGTCTTCCAGATGTTTTGGACTAGGATGCCCTGAGGTCCTTGGAGGAAAACCAGGGGGAGATGCCATTAATAAAGGAGGAAGGCTGTCACAGGAAGGGTTGTGTCCCCTACTCTTGAGATTTTGTTGGCATCCATCTGTCTCAGAAGACTATGGAAAAGTGCACCCATGGAGCTGAAGTCAAACCACTGGAGAGTTACAGGGCCTGCTGTGGCTGGAGAAACTGATATGGGAGAGACATGTTTTGTTGCAGCTGAGGCAGATGAAGGCATCCAGTTTTGCTGCTACAGGTGCACCAGGGCACTTCCACTCTTTGCATTCCTCCTCTGGTCACCACTGTGGATTCACAACCTGTCTGTCTTGAGATTTAGTCTCAATATTTTCTTTGAAAAGGGGTCCATTTGCAAAGCAGGGGGAGACCTTGGCCTGAACCCTTGGAAAGATGAGGTTATGACCTATTGCTTGTCCATTAGATGTGTGAGTTGGGTTGGGGGAGAATTTTGATTCAATCTGCATTTACATGTGAACCTCTGTAATTCACTGTAATTTTCAAAACCATACAAGAACCGAAACACAACTGTGCTTCAAAATTGGCACATGCCTGAATTCTGCAACACAGTTCTCCAGTCAACTGATGTGCAAAATAATCTGTATACTGGTAGAAAAATGTGCATAAAATGCGTAAATAAATGAAAATAACATAAAAAATGCATTTTTGGATAAATTGCATTGCAAAGCATGCATATTGGACTAAATTGCGTACAGACAGGTGTATCTGGAGAAATTCTCACTAAAATGCTGGTGAATTTATAATGACTTACCCCCATAATTCTCAAACTGATGTGAAAGTGTGGAGAACTAAACTGAAGATTGGAAAAATGAGAAACGGAGAGAAATAGAAATGTACATGTTTAGCCATCCCTGAAAAATAAGGCCTCTTCTTACACTCTCCAGCTTAGTCTCTGCTACGTCCAATATCTCTGTGAAATTCCACGGTGAAAGTCATGCTATTTATTTGAAACAAAGTCTAGTGCTTCCCCTTTTAAAGAGAAAGCAGCGCAGACCTTTGTCTCCAGCCTCAGGGATCACTTAATTGGCTCCCCCGTAAAAATGCAGTGAGCTCAGTTGCCTGATAATGATTATAAATGACAGAGACTATCAGATTTACCTTGGGACATCTCCAGGGAGTTTGCAGTTAGTTTAGTCTGAACTCTGCGTCAGCTGTTCAAGCTTCTTTCTTCTCAGTATGTGGTGGCTGGACTCAAGCTGCAGTCTTTCAAACCTAATTAGTGTTAAGGGAAGGAGGGGAACCCACAAACCCTCCTTTTCCTCCCCCCCCCCCCAATCAGTTTTGCAGAACAAGGCCAGAGAAATATTCAAGGTACAAGTAGCTTACATATTTGTAGGGAGCTTGATATTACATAATAAAGGACTTCATCTGTGCTTGCAGATTTGAGACTTTAGAAGGGCAGCTAACATTCTTGGGCCTGAAGACTAAAAACACTCTGCTGGCAACAGGATAAGCAGGGCCTGGGAGATGGCATCACTCTTCAGCTTATGGGGATGCAAATCGCCCCTTCCTGACTCGTCAGATGATCAACAGGAGGAACAGTGAGGAGGTGATGTGCTTCCAGGCCAGGGGTTAACCAACCCTTCACAGACCTTGTGAAATGCACTGGTGCACCAGAAAACACACACAAACTCCTAATGTCCTTGTTGTTCCATTCTGGCCTTGCAGAGAAGGGAGCATCTGGAGCAAGCAATTTGACCCAACAAAGGCTAGAGGTAGACTGAGGCCCTTTGAACCTCAGTGTCCAGTCCAACTCTCTGGCCTGTAGAGGGGCCTCCTGCCTGGTTCACTCCCTATTGCATGGGACCAGCAAGGTAGAGTGGGGGGTATTTGGTTCCTTGGGTCCATGGAAAGCGTCCCAGCTGTGGCTCTATGGGCTCTGGTGCAGTGATTGACAGAGAGCTCATTGTTCTCTTCAGTAGAAGTGCCTGGGAGCAGCAGAATGCAAGGAGAATGCAAGGGGGCTCCAATCACACTCCCTTCATGAAATGTGAGGTCTCCCCAGGAACCCCTGGAACAATCACATGGGTTTGTCTAAACTATACTTGGTGAGAATTTTGGATTTGGATCCTGGAATGCTTAACCTTAAATCATACCCCAGGGTAAAGGATGGAGCGGGGAGAAATGGTTGCAGACACTTCATAAAGAGCAAAGTATTTATTTGAAGGGAGATGCTGGCATATTTCATGATAAAAACATTTGGTCTGGTGTCAGCAAAGCACCTTTTCGTCTGACTGTTCGAATGGACTTTACCACAGCTGTCAGGTCATTTACTAAAGTGTTGAATGGGACAAGGCAAAAGAACTGATCAGAGGCGTAGATCTCAAAATTGGTAGGTGGCCGAGCAATCACAAATCTGTTTTTAGAAAAAAAGAGTCAGCAATATCACAATTTGAAAAACTACACACTCAAAGGAGCAATTGTTTTTTGGACATATATATTAAGGGGTTTTGAATGTGTTTTTTAAAACTTGCATAATGGTGCAAAAGATCTGCGTAAAATGGGAAGGGCTTAATGGGAAAGAGAAAATTTAATTCTTACTTGTGTAATAATACCCTAAAATGTATCATACATACATGATACAATCTTTTAATGCAGTAGTACAGTATTCTCATTTTGCATTTTTATGTTGTGAACCGCCCTGTGATCTTTGGATGAAGGGCGGTATACAAATAATAATAATAATAATAATAATAATAATAATAATATTTGGACCAATACTGATCCATGCAAATGTGAACTATTTTCTTATTTGTTTTGAAACTGACACACTCAAACGGAGCGGCATCTGTACGTTTCAATTTGCAATATACTTTCCTATTTTCAATCAGACTGGTCTCATCTTTCTGACGGTAGAGGCCAAAGCAAAGGATTCCAAGCAACTCAAGTGCTAGATTGTAGATATCCCCAAAGAAGAGCTGTGAAGAGGGGGAAAGTGACAATATTGTCTTAATGCCATATCAACATTCCTTGATAAGATTAATTTAATTGATAAGTCTGTTTGTACCTTCCTGGGCGGGTGGCTTTGCGGGCAGGCCCTGGGCTTCCCCTGTGAACTGGCCTATTGCAGTCCACATTGTCTTTCTGCCACCAAATTGGCCAATGGCAGCAGGAATGTAGAGGGCGTTCCCCCTGGGCACGATGCCAACTGACCAGTAGTGGCGCTTCGCACTGCGCCCATGGCAAGGATAAATGCCTGGCCTGCAGGGGCTTTCAGCCTCTCCCTTGCTGTGTATGTCCCATAAACTACTGGTTGAAGGCCCTGGTTTAAAATAGTAGTTTCCAAACTTATTACTCTCCTTAGCAGGGTAGGAAGCTAGAGCTAACTCTGAAACTCTCCTCATCCACTCTCCTTCCTCATTTATAAAGCACCCATCTCCCTCACCCAAAAAATGTGGAACACATAGATTAGGAATCATTTGTTATTCTGGTTTAAAATAAAATAAAATAAAATTCTTAATTTTGTATGAATTCATATGCATGTGCATTTTTACCACAGGTTCCAGTCAGGATTGTGGTGGCCTCACATATAATGCGTTGGCCAATGGGGTCAGGTAGCTGTCGAGTTCACCGGTGCCTCCACTGGCAAAGTTGGATCCAGACGCACACCTGAAGTATGCAGCCTTTCTCAACCTGTGGGTCCCCAGATGTTGTTGAACTACAACTCCCATCACCCCTAGCTAGGAAGGCCAGAGCTCAGGGATGATGAGAGTTGTAGTCCAACAACATCTGGGGACCCACAGGTTGAGAACTGCTGCTTTAGAGGGAGTGAACCTTGTAGAGAACAGGTAACCTGCCAAAGTCCTGAATCCAGGAACCACCCACTCTTAGGATGTCAGGATTCAATCCCAGTATATTGGCCCTCATCCACCCCACAACTGCTTCCAAGCCCTGGCCTAGGTCCTACAGAGACTCCCCCTGCTTAAATGATGCACAGAAATAGAGCTGAGTACAGTAGCAGACAGAGGGACGCGGGTAGCGCTGTGAGTTAAACCACAGAGCCTAGGGCTTGCCGATCAGAAGGTTGGTGGTTCAAATCCCCGCGATGGGGTGAGCTCCCGTTGCTCGGTCCCTGCTCCTGCCAATCTAGCAGTTCGAAAGCATGAAGTTCAAGTAGATAAATAGGTACCGCTCCGGCAGGAAGGTAAACAGCGTTTCCGTGCGCTGCTCTGGTTCGCCAGAAGAAGCTTAGTCATGCTGGCCACATGACCCGGAAGCTGTACGCCGGCTCCCTCGGCCAGTAAAGCGAGATGAGCGTCACAACCCCAGAGTCGTCCGCGAATGGACCGAATGGTCAGGTGTCCCTTTACCATTACAGTAGCAGAGTTGGCTGCATGGGCACACAGAGCGGCAGCCATGCCATGCACTCCGGGGGGAGGGGAATCTGCCACGTGGGGGAGGGGCAATCCGCTGTGCGGGGGCGGGGTGATCCTCCATGCTTGGCAGCGGGACGATCCTCTGTGCGCGGCGGCGGCACAATCCTTCTCGCACAGCTGCAGAGGTGAGATCCCTCGGGGGTGATGGGGCAAGTCGGGGGGTGCCTTTTTGTCACCCCATTCAGAGATGGCACCCCCCGCATCCCCCTTCCTATGCCCCTGGCTGAGTGTCACATTGTCTACAAACTGGTAATATCTAGCACCAGATCCCCTGATCACCACTTCCCAAGGGCTTCATACAGATCACGCCTTTCCAAACTGAGCTTCATTTGGATGAAACAAAATAATAAAAATTCCTTCCAGTAGCACCTTAGAGACCAACTAAGTTTGTCACTGGCATGAGCTTTTGTGTGCATGCACACTTCTTCAGATACCTTCATTTGGATGGTACACAGCATGTTTTTGAAGAATGCCAGATGTAGTGGCTGCACTTGAAAAGTGAGTCCGGTGGGCACAACAGAAACATCCACTGCATTAAAAATTCATATTGATTTGTAATTGTGCTTTTAATGCTTTTATTTCTTATATAGTACAATAAAATTTGATACTTAAGAAATAAAAGAAGCAATAAAAATACAATTAAGAATCACACAACAACTAGCAGTGCATTACAATTGCTACCACTAGCAGAAAAATCATTAGGGGGTCCACCAGGATCTTCAGCATATTTTTTTTTAAAAAAAGGAACCAAAGATATAGATGTTAAAAGGCATTGGCACCAACATGGTAAGGATGGTTGGATCAGACCAATTCTTATTCCATCCAATTTCACACTTTCTCAGCATGTTCTAAACTGAGGTTCATCTGCCTTTGTCCCATTGTCTTCACTGACTTAAGCACTTCTTGTTTCCTCAAATGGACCTTTTTAAATGAGGTTATTGATATGAATGCGGATACAAAGCTCATGCATGTGATTCAAAACAGTCTATGGATTGCAAATCCAAGAAAACAGTAAACACAGCTGCCTATCTTCCTAATTCACTTGCTCATGATGGTTTGAAGCACATCAATGAGACTTAAAAGAGGTAGCTTGAAGGAAATGAACTAAATACAACTCACCAGTCGTCCGTCTGCTACACTTGGAGAATCTGTCAGTGCTAAAAGTGCCAGTTTACACCTGTTCCTCGATCCAAAGTGCACCACATTGCTAGTACTGCCACTCAGTGAAGCCTCCTCTGCCAGATATTCTTCCAGTTCTGGACTGGTCCCCCCAGTTACCAGTGACTGCAGTAAAGCCAACACATGGTGATTATGGTAGGTCTGCAATGAAAATGTACAGAAGACAAACATGCATTTCTACCAGATGATACAAAAGACAGCAAATGTCTATCCAATTAGACTTGATAGGGCCTTCCTGTAGGTATTCTAGAACAATGGTTTTCGAATTTCCTATAATCAAGCAATGCTAATTCACATTAATTTGCCTGCCACCAAGAAGCTTGAACATTTTCTGTGGAGTCCATGTGCATTTTCAGAAGGATCCAGCCTGCCTTTTCAAATATTAACATCGTTACGGTACTGCTCAGGGTTCTCGGGCCTCATTGTCACACAACACAATTTGAGTGCACTCACAATGCATTTTGCAGCAGGAATGAATAGCAGGGAAGGTTGTGGTGGACAGCCTCTCTGCCAGGCAATATATCTGGCAGGATAAGGACTGCAGGATTAGGACCTCTGAACAATTTTGAGGGAATCTTGGAAAATTTCATCAAGCAAAGTTTGATTGCTACTCTAACTGATATCTCTTGAGTGTGCGGGGCATGCTGTATTGGCCATCAGCTTAATGTGTGTGAGGAATCTGAATCCTCACTGGTCTGACACTGGAAATCTCCATATTATTGTGAAGATGTATGAGCAAGAAAATAGAGGATCAGCATGGAGACCAGTATAGGGCCACAAACTATTAAATTCAGATGACTGGGTGACTATGATTATTTCCGAAAAATAAGGGGACACCAAATCTCTCATGACAGCCTTAAGCGGGGCCTTAAGCAGGCTTCCTCAACCTCAGTCCTCCAGATGTTTTGACTCTACAATTCCCATTATCCCTGACCACTGGACCTGCTAGTTAGGGATCATGGGAATTGTAGGCCAAAAACTTCTGGAGGACTGAGGTTGAGGAAGCCTGGCCTTAAGATTAGAAAATCAAGAACCAGCAAAGTACCCCAACCTCTTAAAGGTATTTAGGGAATCTGAAGGGATGATTCATATGACATGTAGATGGTAGCATTATTTATGAGTGTTATTTATTTGTTTCAGAGAGGATGTACATGTTGGTGAAGTCCTTTCCTTTCAGCCTGGCTTAAGGGTAAAGGTAAAGGTACCCCTGTCCGTACGGGCCAGTCATGTCCGACTCTAGGGTTGTGCGCCCATCTCACTTAAGAGGCCGGGGACCAGCGCTGTCCGGAGACACTTCTGGGTCACGTGGCCAGCGTGACGAAGCTGCTCTGGCGAGCCTGCACCAGCGCAGCACACGGAAACGCCGTTTACCTTCCTGCTATAAAGCGGTACCTATTTATCTACTTGCACTTAAGAGTACTTTTGAACTGCTAGGTGGGCAGGAGCTGGGACCGAAAGACGGGAGCTCACCCCGCCACGGGGATTCGAACTGCCTACCATACGATCAGCAAGTCCTAGGCGCTGAGGATTTACCCACAGCGCCACCCGCATCCCTAAGCCTGGCTTAGGTAAAGGTAAAAATAGAGAACCCCTGGATGGTTAAGTTCAGTCAAAGGCGACTATGGGGTTGTGGCACTCATCTCGCTTTCAGGCTGAGGGAGCCGGCATTTGTCCACAGACAGCTTTCTGGGTCATGTGGACAGCATGATTAAACCGCTTCTGGTGCAACAGAACACCGTGACGGAAACCAGAGTGCACAGAAATGCCGTTTGTCTTCCCGCCACAGCGGTACCTATTTATCTACTTGTGCTGATATGCTTTTGAACTGCTAGGTTGGCAGGAGCTGGAACCTGGCATATTGTTATTAGGATAGTAAAGTAAATACCATAAAACCTGCAAAGCATTTAAATAACTGAATGGTCCTTGCAAACTTACAGGCCATGCTGGTGAATTGCACTTCAATTTTACTTGAGCCTTTTCTGCCTTTTTGAGGAGGGATTTTTTCAGAATTATCATGTTCTCTTGGCCAGGCTTATCTAGCTCAGAGGGAATCAACATTTTACATACTTTGCTGAGCTCTTTAACATATGATGGCTAAACTTTTTTGACATCAAAAGGATTTCATTTACATACTTGGCTTAATTAATCGGATTTATGTGTCACCTGCATTTTATTTGCTGAGTTATACACTGTTTGAGTTTGCAGAGTCAAAAGAAAGACAACTAAAGAGAGCTGAGTTTCTTTAAGAACATCCCTGCAGTAAATGTGAGTACATTCAAAAGAAGCTTCAGTCTCATTGAAAAGGATCGCACTCCTGCAAAAATCCTAATTCACCTAGACATTACTGATATGCTTAAGCACTTTACATTGATTAAACAGGGTAACAACAACAAAATCAGTCTTGATGTAATTGTATGCATGATTACATCAATATTATTTTGGTGGTGTTTTACCCATGCTCAAGAATATGCACAACTGTAAAAACTGCGCACAGACCAATGTTCAAGATTAGTTTTGGGCAGTCTTTGGGCAGTTTTTGGACCCTGAAAATGTTAAGAAATTTGCACATGCTCTAATTCCAGCATGAACTTTAGAAATTCCTCCACTTAACACCACAATTCAGGAGTAGAATGCATGACAGAGGCAAGTTATGAAACAGCAAAGCAATGAAATGGGTGAAATCTACTCAAACCTGGCTTTAAGATTTTTAATAATATGGATAATTGGTTACATATCCACACAACTTTGTTATCTAGTGCTAACTATCATTAGTACAACATTAGCCTATTTCTAAAGTCAAATTGGAGTGGATTTGTATAGTATTCTGAGTGAGTGAATTTGCATTTCTTATTGTGTCCAACTCCATTCCAAAGTCCATTCCAGGAATCTAGAGATGTCACCAGGTTGTCCTTGCATCCTCTAGGACCTTTCAGGAACCAAAGAAAACTATCCTACACCATGTGAAAATCTTATAGCCACACACGTAAAGACCTAACATTATACAGAGGCTCCCTGAGCTGCTCTAGACTTCAATGTACACGTCCAGAGGTTTTGTCTGTTGCAGAAGAAGCTGTCCATTGCTGAACATGGTAGAGGTCTGGCCTTATATACGGTACTTACAGGAATACACTGCACCCTGGGACCATTCCAAAAATAGTTCTGTCAAAATAAACCCTGCTCCTATAAACCCTAGTTATACATTCCACCAAATTTCAGAAAAGTAATTCCTGGCTTTAATGCGAAATAAATGCATGTTTTAGGTTAGAAGTGCATAATACATTTTGTAAACAAAGCAAACATGGACAGCAAGTCAAACTGCATTTCTGCCCATAGTAGAACTTTGCTGGAAGAGGTTAGCAATTCAGTGGAGAATCATGCTTAACCATTTCTACCCAGCAGTCTTCTAGAGATGGGTGATTTAATATGAGACTCAAGTTGGAAGGTCTAGAAGGGACTTACAGTGCACATTACAGCATCCAAAAAGCTGTCAGAAAATACTGTTCCTCTGGATATCTGATGCATTCCATAAACAGATTCATTTGTGTTGCTCTGTTCAAAGAATTGTGCATTGGAGGCGATCTCTGAAAGAGGACAAAGCAATAGCAGAAGCTCAGCCGCTTGCAAACACCAAGGTTGTATATAATCAATAGAAATTATCATAATTAAACTCAACAATTTCCTGTGCTGTAAAATAATGGAAATAATGTGAGAGAAAGGAAGGAGTGGTTGCTTTAATGGACTTGTATGACCAAATTATTTACTGAGGCCAGGAGTAGAGATCAATCAAGAAATGAGCTCTTGTGACAATAAATAATGGTGATGATTATCAGTAAGCAAGCAAGCTAGATGCATTTATAACTTGGTGGCACTTGATTAATTATATTATGATAGATCAGAAGTCTTTTGGGCTTTGTGACAAGGCTGAGTACTAAGACTCACCTGGTTTGTGAAAACAAACAAGTCAACATTTAATTACATTTCCCCTACCACACATGCCCATATTTATATTAATACAGTGGAAGACGCAGGCCAACAATATTTGGGAAGCAATATTTGGAAAGTAAGTAAAGTTACTTAAGTAAAATAGTTAAAATAAGAAAGATGTTCTCAGTTGAGATAATCATTACTGGGGCAGAAAAGCCACCATAAAGTGACTTTTTAAATCTGCATTTTTCATATAAGAACATTGTGAATGTTTCTGATATCTCAGGAGACCTTGACTATTCCAAATCCCTCACTGCCAGGCCTCCACTGCCCCCAGCCTTCCCAGAAACCAAATCCCTCAATTATTGCATTTCATCCCTTTCTTTTCCCCAAAGGCGATCTTCCTTGAGCAGCAACCGAATGTAGAGAGTGAAGGCCTGCTCCTCAGGTCTTGCATGGACCCTTACACCTTCACAGCCCAAAAGTATCTTGAGGACCCAGTTGCTGCTGGGGAAAGTAACTATTTGGGGAAAGGATGGAGGAATATTTCAACAGACTGAGCTTCTGTATAAGCCTAACCCAAATGCAAAGTGGTTTTGGCTTGGAACATAAAAAGTTTGTTATTTCCAAAGTGGAGGTGCTGTTTTCAACCACCTCCAATTCTGAAATCCAGCCACATCAGTAGTTTTAATCATTACAAACTGTCAAAAGATCCAAGAACGGTGACTGAAAGGAATAGATGCTCACCAAAACTTAAAAGCACATCCAAATCCTCCAGAAACATCCATGTGGATGTTGCAGGGATGGGGAAAAAAAAAGTTTTGCTTTAGTTTCATGCTGAGTCTTTGTAACACTTTGTAACATATATTCTCCTTATAAGCTATTGAGACTTCTTCAAAGCCTGTGAATTAACATTTAAGTCAAATCTTTTTTATGTTCCTTGGACACGGCATGCTGTCATTTTCTGCCTTTGAATTCTAAAGAGGTTTCAGGAGTAAATAAATAATGCATCAGGCATAACACTGGTGAAATTTGTTCCCAAAGAAGAACTTACTCAGCTCAGTGATGATGGGAGTCCGTTTGGAAAGGATGGGCACTGATGGACTATCAATTGTTCCCTGACTGATTTCCATTCGAGCAACTTTCAGTAACAATGCAGGCAAAAGAAAGAAGAAGAGAAAGTCAGGGTTCAAAGAGCTAAATTTTGAGACTGCCCAAAAGTGCTTATTGTATATTACTGTAACTATAAAAGACACTTCTGTTTTTTGCATGCTGTTCTCCCAAGCTTCATTATCTTGAAAGATTTGAGATATCTACTTGAAAGCTCTTCCTGGAGCTGTTTATTGTCATCAGATATCAGTCAGTCAAACCAGTGGTCCTGAAGCTGTAAATGAAGTCAATCCTAAATTCCGTAATTCCTCTTCTCTACTAGCCTTCCAGAGAGGGTACAAAGTAATAAGATCCCTGCTGGATCAGACCAAAGCCTATCTAGTCCCACATTGGTTGTATCCAACTATGTTCTACTCACAGTACATCTAGTGAAATTAATGAACCAAAGTTTGACATATCAATTAGCTTCAATGGAGTAGGACTAGTGTTGGATACAACCAAGAGTGGTCAACTGGATTCCTATAGGAAGCCCCCAAGCAAGACCTGGGTGCAACAACAGTTTTCCCATGCATAATTTCCTAGTGACTGCTATGTAGAGGTATAATGCCTTCAATAGTGGCGGCATCTTTTTTATATGGGTTGCAGCTCAGCTGATGAGTTGCTTCAGTGCTGTTTAGATCCTGTCTGCTTTGCAATTTTTCTCCTAACTGTTTTGCCTTGAGCATATGGGAAAGCTGCTCAACAAATAGATTTAGCAAGACATCAGTTGAATTTATCTTAGTTATATTCATTGTTCAATGAAGACCAAAGCCAGTCTGCAAGAGACATCTTTCAGCATGCATGTGTGTGTACGTACATCAGTATGCTTGTGTGTATTGTCAGCACCCATCTATCTCAAGAGACAATGGAGTGCGCCTCAGTCCAAAGCTGTAGCCATTTAAGGTTTGTGAGTCATCCCAGAGCCATCCCCACCACCCTGCCTGTAAAAAAGTGTCTTTTTCTCATGCAGGCTGTCAGTATTCTTCCCAATTGCTCACTTAGACCTCCATCTGCACTTTACATTTTAGGGCGCTAAAAGTTTTAAGAGGAAACCCCTATTCCCCTCACAAAGCTATGATACAAAAAAGGGATTTAATATCAATCTCTTTTCCCAGGGAGCTCTGGGAATTGTGGCTCTCTGAGCATAACAGGGGTCTCTTAACAACTCTCAGCACTATTAACAAACTACACTTCCCATGATTTTTTGGCATAATATTTATTTGTATGCACTGTGAACACAAGACTTTAGACATAAACCTGCTGGCTCCCATTTCCCATGTTTCTGGTCAGTGACTGCAAAGGCATTAGAATAACCTGTGGGAACTAGGGGTGTTGGTGTTCATTTCAAATTACATATACACACCTGAAAAAAGACCCAATTTATGATATAAGAACAGTTTCAGTTTAAAGGATTGGTACAATCTGATTGTGACATAAAAAACACACAGTCCTGTTTATTTGCTTGCAGACAAAGTAAAATAAAGCAAGAATTAACCCCCACCATTTCTCGATTTAAACCCAGGAAAGCATTTGGTGTATTTTCTTCTCCCTCCCATATGCTAATGAAGAAAACAAGGTCACACTACCAAGGTGGAAATAAATTGGATTAAAAATGGAATTGGCTGTATAAGCAGGAATTTGGGTGGTATTAAACTTGTTGGTGGGATATTTTTGTCACGAGATAAAGGAATTATAAAATAGATTTCGGAGTGCACATAGACGAATACAATCCTACAGGATTCAAGGGGGGGGGCACCTTTGTGCAGCAGTTAATCCAATTTCAAAGTCAATGAGGCCTATAGTAGTCACTCAGCAAGTTGTTAAAAAAAACAGACCGGGAAGATGAAAATGTTTTCAAAGTGCTATAAGAGGCGCCTGTCTAACACAATGAAATCTTCAATGTCTTAGAGAGCAGATCCACCCTGTTGAATATTATCAATTAAGTATCATATACCTTATCTGTAGGTACTTTACTGTAGGTATTTTACTGACTTCATTTCAGTTATTTGAGAATATCTAGGTAACAGACCAATGTCACACTCTGGTGCAATGATGGGACGAAACATCACTGCTAATACAAATAGGCCGAACGACTCAAACTGGAAAGTTATGCTAATACAAATAGGCTGAACGACTGAAACTGGAAAGTTATGGGGGCAGTATAATTAATTTGCCATATTGCTAAAGGAAGGTTTGTGCAACTGAGTTGTTCTATATCTTTTTTGAGGTTTCACTCAAAATGGCCACTGCCCTGTATTCCAGCCACAGCCTCCAAACCATCTTCAAGGGTAGACCCCAATGCTAGGTAGCAGGCAGGTTCTGCTGACTATGAAGGTATGTGAGCTTGGCAGGACCCTCACAGAGTCCTGTAGGCAGATTTGCAAGACCTGGCAGAAGCCAGATGCTGCCTTTGCCAACTAAGGGCATGGTGCAAGCTGGACAACGCAGTCCCACAACAGAGGGCCAGGTGGCAAAATGTAATAAAAGAGTGCATAACATTCATATAACATGTAGGTGACCAGAGCATGGATTACTATGTCCAAGCTATCTTTAACTAGGGAATGGCTAACCAAAACTGGAAACAGTCACTCTAGACCAGTACTGGTAGCAGCTCTCCAGGGTCTTGCACTTTCTCTGCCACCGGATCATTTTAACCTGCTGTGCCAGAAATTGAACTTGGGACATTCCGTATGTGAAACATATGCTAAACCACAGTTCCTCCCATAGGAAGGGGCAGATAGAAAAGGCCTGAAAGAAGGATAGAGTAAGAAGTTGTTACAAGAGGAAGACAACGTAGTAGGGGCCAAGATGGGGCAAGGTCACCTGGAATCGGGGAAGAGAATCTGAGGTTCTTGCCCACTTTGTCACCTACAGTCTATCTTCTTGGCTGCTACCATCTCCATCTCTACTATTTGATGGACAACTCTCTGATTTCTAGATTAATGGTCCATTCTTCTCACACAGCATAAAGTTAATGGAGGGAGAGAGAAAATCACAAGGCATTCTTTTGACTGAATGTGGCTCTGTTGATAAGGAAAACTGTGTATTAAGATTTCAGTTACATGGTTAAAGTGGTTATGGTGGGGGAGGACATGTGACTGTGTTTGTGTGTGTGTGTCTGTCTGTGTGTGTGTGTGTGACACTCCATTGCTCATGCTTTTATGAAAGGTATTTCTAAAAAGTATTTCTAAAATATATACGTTTTAAAGGGGAGGAGGAGAAGGAGGGTTCTGTAATGCCCTATTGAGGTTATTGGAGGGCATCAGTGGAGCTGGATCTGACTTCTGGCTTTGGCCCCTTTTACCCCAAATTTGGGAGAGTGTTTTGCACAAAAGCCAGAGGAGGAGAAGAAGAAGAAGAAGAAGAAGAAGAAGAAGAAGAAGAAGAAGAAGAAGAAGACAACGATGAAGACAGAATGGTGATGCATCACATTTCAGAAACAAGGCCAGGTAACTGAGACAGGTAACTATCCATGGTGGAAAACATGCCTTGAATGCAAAAGGCCTCAGGATTGATCCTTGGCATCCCGAGCTGAGTCTCAGGGGATGGAAAAGACCCTTTTCTGTCTGAGACCCTGGAGAGCTTCTGCCAGGTTGATGAGACAATCATCTGACCAGATTTTAGGAAGCTCCACGTTACAAAGAAGCTCCTTTAATAAGGAAGCTCCATACAACTCCAAAAACTGGTGGAGAAAATCAAATGAGAATTCCAGCAGTGCACCTATTCAGATGAGACAGTGTTTGATTTTAACATGAAGGTAGCCATGCCCTGGCTACAGTTTCCTTATGTCAATATTTTTGCTCCCCAGGAGTACACAGCCCTATACCTGAAATCTCTCATCTTGGCAGGCTGCTATTACAAAAGATTACTTAATTGCACATTTCTACTGTATGTTTGGATTGTGGCAGCATATTAAGCTGTCAGGCTTAATTATTGTTGTATGTTTAGATTATGCCACAGATTATTTAGTTCAGCACCTAGGTTTGCCAACCTGTTTGTGATGGAACATGACAGGATACTAATTACAGCAATGCTGAGAAATCTATTTTTTCCCCTCCTATGGGAAACAATGTCATGTTTCCACCCCTATTAGGAGAGTTCCATACCCCTGTATTTAGATAACAGAAGGTTATCAGCTAACTGAGCCATATAAGATCTCCCATGAATGAAATGTGTCTGCCTGAGCTCATTGTGAGTTCTGAAAGGTTTTTATGCCGATGAAAAATCTTTAAAGAAAAATATTTTATAAAGAACTTCAAAACATCAAACAATATTTGCACAACAAGAAAAGATGGTATGAAAGCACAGAACATTTAACAAAAATCTCAGTGTAGCAGCTGAAATAAGTACAAGCACATTTTGAAAGCTTACTATGAATTCCTAAGGAAGTGGAGTTAGTCTTTCATTAGACATCCTAGTCATATGATCCCTCTGAGCTTTCCCAATGAGGAAGAGAAGAAGCCTCAATGAAGTGAGGGACTAAGGCAGGTTGTGGGGAAGCTGTGGCTCTTCAGATGTTGCTGAACTACAACTCCCATCATCCCTGGCCATTGGAGTTGTAGATCGGTAACACCTAGAGGTTCCCCATCCCCCACCCCAAAGGTTCCCCACACCTGGGCTAGAATGTCATTGAGTTTCTCTGAACTGGGATCTAATATTTATACCCTTAAAACCATGAGCTTTGCTAATCATACCTAAGTTGAAAAATATATTTGACATGCATTTTTTAACAACTGAGTTATTTGCGTTACAAGCTATGACAAGAAGATGAATATAAGCTTCATTTGTATAGGTAAAGGACCCCTGGATGGTTAAGTCCAGTCCAAGGCGACTATGGGGTTGCGGCACTTGTCTCACTTTCACGCCTAGGGAGCCGACTTTTGTCCACAGATAGCTTTCTGGGTCTTGTGGGCAGCATGATTAAACTGCTTCTGGCACAACAGAACACCGTGACGGAAACCAGAGTGCACAGAAATGCCGTTTGTCTTCCCGCCACAGCGGTACCTATTTATCTACTTGTGCTGATATGCTTTTGAACTGCTAGGTTGGCAGGGGCTGGGACAGAGCAATGGGAGCTCACTCTGTCGGTGGGATTCGAACCGCTGACCTTCTGACTGGCAAGCCCAAGAGGCTCAGTGGTTTAGACCACACGTCCCTGATTCTATTACCCTGTTTGTTTGAACTTTCAAAATATCTTATTCCAATTTTTGTCTTTTGAAGTTACCACTGAACAACAAACTGTGTGAAGCTCAGCTTATCACTAAACAATTTCTTGGCTTTAGGTAAGGTCTGTGCCCTACCTGTGATTCTCTCAATATATCTTTTTAAGCTCCAAAGTTATTTCCACTGTACCTTCATTGTATCCTGTAAGCAAGCGACATTAATAATACTAGCTGAGACCTAACTAGTTCAGGACCAGGTTATCTCCAAGACCACATTTCCCTGAATAATCTTCCCAGCCTATTCCTTTCTGTTGGAGGAGAAAACTGTTAAAGATAAAAGTTTAATGTACATAAAATGTACATAAAATGTTATGACTGTATGCACTGAAGAGGGTAGAGTTTTCAGTTTGAGTATTTAGGCTAACTGATGACTCATCCCTGGAAACCCAATCAGCAATCTCTCTCAGCAGAAGATAAAACCAGAGACAACCAACCACTCAGCTGAGCATTCTTGAACAAGCAAGTTCCATGCATAGGATATCTTTCTGGGGCCAGAGAGAGGAAAGTTTTTGAACTGTATTAAGAACTTAAAGAAAGCCGGATCATGTTACCAAATAGTTTGTTTAAGAGCAATGTGTTACTTTGTATTTGCAACATTTATTATGTGACTAGTTTATAACAGTTGGCAGTAAAACTTTTTCTTGCGGTGGAGAGCTCATTCATTTTTACTCTGTACAAGGTCCAGATCAGGGATTCCACTTGCAACAACCCTAACAAAAACTGCGTGTGCCACACAACCTGCCCTGCACCTCATAAGCTAGCCTACTGACCCTACGCCAATGCAGAAGAGTCGACTTCCAGTCAGGTTGGCCTCTGCATTGTGAAATGGAGGGAAATAGCATTTTGTCCTTCATCTTAGGCAACAAAATGCCTTTGGCCAGCCCTGGAGACAGAATGCTAGGAATAGTGGATGGACTTTTGATTTGGACCTATTCCTCTTATTCTCTGTACCGTACTCCCTTTCTGTTCCATTTTCCTCCCAGCCAGTATGGAGCCTAACAGGTCTTTGACATTTTTTTAAATCACATCTTCTGCTAATGTAGAAATGGTTAAGGCATGCCCTCATTTGAAGGCACAAGTCTAGCACCACCACTGGTTGTTTTTGGCCCCAGAGACATCCAGATCGTAAGTGTGAAGATGTTTCTTGAACATCTGAGCTTCCTCTTCAATGCAACAGAGTCTGAACCCCTTAAAATCCACATTCCTGCTTAGTTATTACCATCTTTTTTTTAAAAAAGGCAGACCCATCATTTCCTGATTCCACACACACACCCCCCCGACTTATTCAAGGGAGTTACATTATGAGTCTACATCACATTCATGACAAAAAAATGCATTTTTGGCAAAGTTTTTGATGTGAAACAAAGAGACTTTATCTACTGTTGCAAAGTTTAAAATAACAACTGAATGGGAACAGCAGGGTGGCAGTATGTCAAAACAACTCAGAAACTGGTCTGTCAGCAGCTGAGAAGAATTGTGTTTAAAAGGCAAGTTTTTAATTGTCTTTATTTTTTATTTTATTTTTTTTAAAAAAAGATGAGAATCTTCTCAGCCTTACTAAAAAGCACATTAACAGTACAATCCTATGCATATTTATTCTGTTGAATGGGAAAATATCCACTGAAGGCTGCAATACCATACCCATTTTTATTGGAGTAAGCCCCATTTAACTAAATAGGATTTACTTCAGAGTAGCCATGCATAGGAGTGCACCACTGATCTAATTTCCAGTTCCTGAAACTTTGCTGGATTCAACACTCAAAAACTGAGTCTGCTGCATTTATTCCCCATCATCTATCACAGTTAACCTTCTCTGTGGGAGACTTTATGGAATATTTTTTTGACAGGAAAATGTCACCTCATGACAATTTTTCTCTGTCATTGCACAGTTAAAGCTTTCTTATGAAGGTGCCCGCACACACTGTCAGTCTTATCGCCCAACTTACAGTACAAAGTGACTTCAAAACTGTGGTAAATTATCCACATGATCATGTGACGATGCCTTCAGAAACAAGTTTCTTCCTTTACCTAGGAAAATAACTACTACTTCCAAGTTATTGGGCTCCCTATTAGATAATATTCCTCCACAAGTGGAGCTGATTTCTGCTTGCGCAATAGAGTGTTCACTTCTTTGCCTTCACCCGTGTACACCCTAAATATATTCAGTGCTGGATTTACGTATAAGCTAAACAAGCTATAGCTTAGGACTCCACTCTCTTGGAGGCCCCCCAAAAAATCAAAGGGAAAAAAACCTGGATGTACATTTCCAAAATATAAGATAAAAACAAATAAAACAAAACCTACATATAGCAACAGTGTTTTGTGTTGTGTAGGCGCCTATGATGTAAGTAATGGTCCTTGCCTGCTAGCCTGCTCCCTAAAATATCACTGGTTTGCTCATTTCTATATATAGGGTGCCTACATTTTGCATGTGCAAATGGCTTTAGATACCTATTAGGTCCATAAATTACCATACAGCATATATTCAATACAAAAGCAGCGACAATTTGTTGTTGACAAAGGACAGCTGGACATATAAAGGGCCCCATTACCTTCAGTAGCTTAGGACCTCATGAAACCTAAATCTGGCCCTGAATATATTCTAGGGGGTCCCCTAACCCTCTGGAGCTGATGCGGAGAGAAGTCCATGTATCCTCTTTCCCTTTCTTACCTAATGATGAATTTGCTTTAAAATGTAAGGAACGGATGTTCAGAGTAGCCAGGATAGATTTTGTATCCACCAGGATTTGATCACCAGGACCTCTTGCATGGGCTGAGAGAATGGCACACATGCTACAAAACTGGATGTTGGCTGCTTTGAGATCAGCACAGGAAAGTGCACTGCCCTGGTAAAGAAAAAAGAAAAGGAGTGGAAGTCATGAGGGTCAAAGGACTGGCAAGACTTCAAAATCCAAGCTTCAGCTGAAACATCATCATCATTTGAATTTATATACCACCCTATACCAGAGGGTCTCAGGGCAGTTCACATAATAAAATCAAGATATAAAACCACAAAATACCTAATAAAAATAAAAATAGCAACCCAATACCCCAAATAGCAACCCCCCCAAAAACACATTTTAATAGGGCATAGGATGTCAATCGGATCAACTGAAGGCCTGGTTAAAAAGGAATGTTTTTGCCTGGCACCTAAAGGTGTATAATGAAGGTGCCAGGCAAACATGTATTCAGAAGCTTCGGTGTTTGTTCAAGAGAAACTTGAATCCCATAAAGGCAGGTAAGTCCCATTTCAGGGACACTGACTAAAATACATCCCTTATTTTCTGTTGAATATATGAAAAAAAAGGTGATGCTTCAGAACAAGGGGCAGATTTCAGATTAAGGAGGCTCTATCAGGAGGCCATCAGAACCTGAACAGGAAAGCAAAAAGTAGAGAGCTTCTGCACAGAAACAGGACATTAATAGTAAAAAGAATTTCATGAGGTGTGCTCCACTGATACTCTCAAGAGGAAGTCAAATGATGTTTCTCTTGGAGCCAAATGCACTGGATTCGGAATGAAAACCCAAGTTCCAAAGGAGAACCCAGCAGCTGTTGTACAAGGTCGTTGGGAATAACATGTTCCAAGGTTTTCTTTCTTCTGAGGCAAATCTTCTCAGACGTAATGAACAAGCATAGCCAGGCCAGTGTGTGATCAGTTTTGTAATACTGACTTTTGTTCATCTCATCCAAAGGGGATCTTGGATAGGAAAGCTGTTCAGGTTGCAGCTGCTGGCTGCATCTTTCCTATGCAAGATCTTCTTTCAAATTACACCAACAAGTGCTGTCAGTTAAATGAGAAAGTGACCATGCATTAGATTGGCTGAAATTGTTCATCACATCCAAAGAAAAGTAGCTGCCTAAATGGAAGATCCCATAAAGCAGGAGTGGGGATCAAATTAGGCCTGAGGAGTGTCCACACTCACTCATCTCACACTTGATGTGATATCAGGTGTGGAGCAGGTAGAGTTAAGTCTGCAAGGGAAAAATAATTTCTTGGCAAGTGGAGCTTACTGAAAGCACTGATTGGCTCACTGGTGCTGACAGCAAGCTCCTCTGAAGTAATACATTTGCAGGTGCAGGCTAGATTCAACCCTCTCCTGAAAATGAGTGTTTCCTTTTTGCAGACAGCTCTGATGATCTGCAGAGGAAATATATCTATTCGCAGGAATGCTCTGAATCCAAACTGTGCCTGCAAACTAACAAAGCTGGGCTCACTGTCAGAGCAAATCAGTGCTGACCGTGAGCCCTTTTTCCATTGTCATGTGACAGCATAATGACATAAAATGATTGGCAGGTGACCAGACACACCCACTTTTCAAAAATAACTCAAAGACGGTAGGCTAGTTTCCTTTCTGACCCTTGGGTTGAAGAGGCTTACCCACCCTTACAATAAAGTAGATGTTTGGAAACATTAAGGCAATAAATAGAGAAGGTTTGTTTCATCTATTCATGCTGACCATGATGGGAAAGCACTCTGTTTATGTATTGCTAACTTGTTTGTTTCTTCATTTTTGACAAGGCTTTTACTTCCAAAGGCATAGCCTCCTTAAATTATGCCATGTGAACATGTTAATTCCTTTTGATCAGTTGTGTTCAACTCAATCCCAAATGCCCACAAAGAGAAGATATTATATAATTAATAATGTCAGGGATGTTTATATTTTGATGATCCAGTATCATTAGCGTTGCTCTGAGGAAGTTTTGAGTTCCATGATTTTAACATAAATGCATTTTTAAGATGAGAATATTGGGGAGGGGTACGATATGTAAAGAATATGTATACCCTCAGTAAGAATAGTTTGGGGAAATTTTGGATGAATTCCCATTCTCTGTGGAGATAGTCAAGTGATCCAAGAAAGACAATATCCTTCAGCTCACTGAGTGTGAAGTTACTGGCTCGCAGAGGCATCACAAAGTTCCGCAGTCCAATCAGCGCGGAGGTAGCATCTCCGAAAACACAGACTACAATGTGATCACGCATATCATTGGATTGCCCCTTGCGTCGCTTCTAAACAGGACAAAACAGAACTATATTAAGAAATGAAACATTATTTTAGAAAAATAGTTAAAGGGAAAGGGGGCGGTTCTCATGTTGGGAAAGGGATCCTTGATATAATGTCATATGTGCTGCTTTCAGATTTTGGTGGGCCCTTCAATATTATGCTTGCTCACTTCTGTCACAGCGACAACTACCCATTCATTGTGACTGCAATTAATCCAGAATGTGGCAGCTAGACTGGTGACTGGGAGTGGCCGCCGAGACCATATAACACCGGTCCTGAAAGATCTTCATTGGCTCCCAGTACGTTTCTGAGCACAATTCAAAGTGTTGGTGCTGACCTTGAAAGCCCTAAACACCCTCGGTCCTGTATACCTGAAGGAGCGTCTCCACCCCCATCGTTCAGCCCAGACACTGAGGTCCAGCGCCAAGGGTCTTCTGGCAGTTCCCTCACTGTGAGAAGTGAGGTTACAGGGAACCAGGCAGAGGGCCTTCTCCGTAGTGGCGCCTGCCCTGTGGAACGCCCCCCCCCCAGCAGATGTTAAGGCAATAAACAACTACTTTACTTTTAAAAGACAACTGAAGGCGGCCCTGTTTAGTTTTTAATGTCTGACGCTGTATTGTTTTTAATATTCGGTTGGAAGCCGCCCAGAGTGGCTGGGGAAACCCAGCCAGATGGGCAGGGTATAAATTATAAATAATTATATATTATATTATTGTATTATTTACCTTCTCCCCTTGGACTCAGTTCATACCATTATCGAGAGGGAGAGGAGCAAAGGGAGTGACTATCAAGAGTCTTTGGTTCCTTCTCCTTCCACCTAGTCCTACCAGTTTTCTTGGAAAGGGCAGGCAAAAGGATAGTGACAGCAAGGGAAAGCAACAGAGGTCAGGTCAAAGACTGGTGGTTGAAACAAACTGAGAAGGGAGGATACCAATTTAATTTCCCTGCCCAAATCTGAAATTCAGAATGTATCACACTATTCCAAATTGTATTTTTTCGCTTATGGAGGGGAACCTCCTCCCCCTCCCCCTCCCCCTCCCCCTCCCAAGATCAGAATTTCAAGTGTGATATTCTAGGATTTCAACTTCTGTGGTTTGGAACGTGGATTTCAGTTTAAATGTTGACACTTCTCTTCTTTAAAAGACCAGTGATTCATAGGAAATCAAATTCATTCAACTGAACAGACACCCATAAGCAATTATCTGGGCAATGTACATTTAAAAAACCAACAACGAAGAAACAAAAACCTATTCAAAATCAGTGTTATGATAAAACAAGTTAAGAAGCAGCAAATAAGACAATTTTGAAATCAAAATAAATCACTTTAATGCAGAGATCAAGAAATTAAAACATTGAAGTACCAATTTGAACAGAAAGCTGAAATAATTAAAATATCACAGAGCTAAATAGCCATATGTTGCCTTTTAAAAACTAAATGTTAACATTTTAAAAGTCCTGTGGGCAGTGTGTGTCTGTGTGTCTGTCCTTGGTACTGAAAAGCCATTAAAGTAGGCAACAGTTAAGCCTTTCTGGGAAGGACATTTCACAACTGAGGGGCCACTGCTGGAAAGGCCCTTTCTGTTGTTGCCATTTTCTGTATCTTAGTGGCTGGATATTCTAGAAGAAAGACATCACTTGATGATCTGAAGGCTTGGATAGGCAGTCTTTCAGATACAGGCAGAGCAATCCTATCAAAAGCTGACCAAATTTATGTCAGTTGAAATTAAATTGGAGTAATTTACAACTATTCCAGACATTGTTCAGGTGCTGGGCAACTGCCATGTGAACTGGCCTGAGTCTGGCACCCTTTTTGCTGGCATGGCGTCCACCAGATTGCCAGGTCATGTGATTGAACTGAAAGAGGCTGTGAACAGGTGTCAGTCTTTCCTTGTCCCATCACACCCTTCCATACCACTTTCTGGGGACTTACACGAGCATATGTTCTGCCAGCTGAGCCCTGGCTAAACTGGGATGAGAGTTACACTGGCTCAACTGGGACAGTTGGATATCTGCCTATTCTAAATTCACTCATTGTGGTGGATCTTGGGTTTGTGTGGGACTTTTAGGTCCCATACCAAGAAGAACTTCAACGATGGGGGTGGACACTTTGTGTCTGGTGCAGAAATATATGTTGTGCCTAGCACTGGTCTAGCACACACACGCACTTTCACAATTCCTCCCCTTTTTCAGTGACAGCTCTGACCTGGTGGAATGCTCTGTCCCACAAGACTAGGGCCCTGCGGGACTTGATCTCCTTCCGCAGGGCCTATAAGACAGAGCTATTCCACCTGGCCTTCAATTTGTATTAGGCTGATCCTCTATTCCCTTTTCCCCTTTCCTCTTCTATGAAGAAACCCTTTCTGGGACCCCACATTTAAATTCTTCCCTGGTCTCCTTGCTGGCCCTAGTAGGATCAACTTGGCTAGTTAGCCCTGGTAATCATTTGATGTCTATGACTGGGTTGTTATTTTTTTCTTTCCCCAAAATGACTCCTGAATTTTTGAATTTTATTGATATTGATGCTGCATTTTATATTATGCTGTTTCATGCTGTTTTTAAGTCACATTTTAATCAATGTCTTATATTTGCTATTAGCCACCCTGAGCCCAGTTTTTAAACCAGGAAGGATGGGGTATAAATTATTATTATTATTATTATTATTATTATTATTATTATTATTATGCTAGGAATTTTTCAGTGAGAGATGTCCAGCAACATTTCTCAACAGCCCACGAAGCATGCCAATGAGAATAATGTTATGTCATGCAGCTCAGCAGTATTCCTGGGGCAGGTTGCTCCAATAGGAAGGATGCTATGTCATGAGATAGTGTCATTCCTATGGGGCATTCATTCCACGAACAACAACAAACTTCTTAGGGAAGCCAAACTGCCACCTCTTATGGTAACAAGGCTTTTTGGGGTAGGTGGGATGCATAGGTCTGATTCAACCTGTGGAATCAGTGCAACCGGAAATCAGCACAGGATGCCTTGTGATTGGCAGCTGCCACTGGGCAAAACTCTTAGGTGAATGAGCATTCAGCCATGGCCATGTTCTTCACTGGTCATGAATGTATTCTGGAGATTAAGGACTTCACTGACACTAAGATCAATGAGTTTCACACTTAACTGAACACCACCAACATCCCAGTGGCAATGCCCTTTGAAAAGCACAAGATACCCTGAAGCCTGCTAGCATAATTAAGCAATTCATAGGCTAACCAACAAAAATTGGTGTTCCTGCTTTGAGATCTGCTGTACTTCTCGATTTCAATGCCATACTGCATCATACAACACAGCTCATTTTGGGATGTTTCCATCAATTAATGGAATCTTTCCATGATTGGTACATAGTATATGCTAGGGATGTGCATCAGATCTGTGGAAATCTAGCTGGTGAGAGTCTTTTCTTTCTTTCTTTCTTTCTTTCTTTCTTTCTTTCTTTCTTTCTTTCAAAAACAACAACCACGGAGGTTCTTTTTTTAAAGGGTAAAATGCTCTGCTTTGACAAAAGGGAACTGGAACTCTTCTAAACTCTGCTGCTACCTCTTGGAGGTCTGCAAGGCCTATATTGAAGGCCACAAGCAACACCAGAAGGGAAAGGTAAGTGCGAAGTAGCAAAGTTTTTATTAAAAAAAACAAAATATGCTGTACATGCAAGGCTACACACCACTTGGCTATCTCTTGGTTATATTATGGTAGAAAGTGAATCACTTTTGCTTCTTGCACAAACACACCCACACACAAACAACATGTTAGTCTGCAATTTGGCAGGCTTCATTCACTCTGGAGGGGTTCCTGTCCCTGTAAATTTCATCCACTTTGGCCAAAAGGGTAAAAGGTTATGGCTTTTTTTATATTCTCTGTCATAGTGAATGGGGGAACATTCATTTTATATGGAGCAGCTCAGAACCCAAAATACAGATCTCAGTGGAGAGAGTACAGGGTGACTCAGAAACAGATTGGTTTTTTTTAAAATAAAAATGCACAGATACAAGCCAAATCACGGAGACTATACAAACCCCAAGTATATGTCCACATTCCCAATCAAGAGCTGCCGAACTATTACATTCATAAAACACTGTCTTCACAATGGTTTTTTTCTTTTCTTCAGAGGGCAATAAAAGACTCATGTCATGGGAACTTTGCTGATGAGTGATTAGAATCATAGCCAAATTAAATGATCATCTTAACTAATTGGATTAGTCTAAATTGAATAATGAAACCTCAAGCTGTATTTAGTAGAACGTGCCTTAAATCCAATTATTAGTCTGTCAAGTGGTGCTAAACAATGGAAATGATCCATTCTATAGACCTTTTAATAGGAACTATTGAACAACAACCTAGCCAGACTAGGATATGAGGAGATGGTGAGGGGAAAGGCAGTTGGCGTCCGGGGGAGGGGGAGAGAAGCACACATTGTAAGTGTGGTAGAAATCATTTGAACAGACAGTTTCTGACCTGAACTAAGGATTCCTCTTCTTTTTTAATTTTTTTTAAAAAAGATTTTCATGAATAACAAAGGTACATATAACGTCTCTGTTTTCAATTCATAGACTCCTTTCTACATGTCAGCTACATTCGGTGTGAGACATTGTTATCATAGGCATTGTGAGGTTGGGGTGGGGGGAAGAGATATGGGGAGAGAGGAGGGAGGCAGAAGAAGGGCTAAGGATGCTTCTAAAAAACAAAACAAAAAATCCCACTTTAGTTCATTTCCAAATTGACTAGTTTTGTTTCTGAAATGAAACCAGTGATTTAGGAATTCTCACATGTTCTTCTTTAAATTTCAAAATTTGTACAGAGTACTGTGCATGGGTAGTTTGATGGTGCTTCCACTTCCTTCCTGACCCCCCCCCCCCTTTATTGGATGTCCTCTGGGTTAACAACAGGCATTTGTGCCTTGAGAAAACTGGTTGTACTCAAGATTACCTTTTGTGTTGTATTTCATTAATCTGGAGAAGACTGAAGTATTACCCAAAGCAACACATAAAACAAATCTTCATATACCTCCCATCTCCAGTGGTCCTTCGCTCTCCCATGAATATGTGTTAGGAACTGATGCTATCTTTGCAGACATTGCAACATGCTTGGGAAGATGTGCAACTTAGTACAGGGGTACCTTGGTTTACAACCATAATCCATTCAGGAGGTCCGGTTGTAAACCTAAAGCACGCTTTCACCAATGAGGCCTCCCCCCCAAAATTGGTTGTAATATAAAAAAAAATGGGTTGTAATCCAAAAAAAAGGGACACACACTTCCAGGTTTGACGTGGTTGTAATCCAAAGCAGTTGTAATCCAAAGCGGTTGTAAACCAAAGTACCACTGTACTTGATGATATGACTGCATGGTATTTCCAATTTCCCTGAGTTTTTTAAATGATAACTATTGTCATGCTGCTGGATTCTGACTGTCAGTTGGTTAAAAAAATTCTCTTGTTTTTAAAATCATGGAGAAGAAATGAATAGGCAGGCACCTTTGCTATGTTGTTTCTGGTACCTGCTAAGCCAGGCATGTAATTTTAACATGCAATCTTATTTTTATTGTGCTTTTAAAAAAACTGACCTTAATTACATTTTGCTAAATTTTAGGTCAGCTTATTGAAGGTTTGATTTTCTCAGTATTCTTTAATGAATATTTTATATTGTTTTATGTAAACCTCTTAGATGTTTTTGGTGATTAAGCGGAATATAAATCCTGATAGTTAATAAATAAATAGATCCAGCCCAGTGTGCTGAATGATAGCTGACAGCTAGGTGTATGTGCTATTTTAATTTCCAACAATACCCAAGATGTAAAGTCATTTAGGAGCATTGTTGGAAATTTAAATGTTGGCTTAATCTAGCTCAGCGGTTCTCAACCTGTGGGACCCCAGATGTTGTTGGACTACAACTCCCATCATCCCTGAGCTCTGGCCTTGCTAGCTAGGGGTGATGGGCGTTGTAGTTCAACAACATCCGGGGACCCACAGGTTGAGAAAGGCTGATCTAGCTCCCCAGCTAGATATTGGAGAAGGGGCCTGGCTCAGTGGTAGAACACCTGCTTTGCATGCAAAAGGTTCAATCCTTTGCATTTCCAGATAGGGTTGGAAGAGAGCATTTTTTAAAAAAATGTTGGAGAGCCACTGCAAATCAGTGTAGACAACACTGAGATACATGGACCAATGATCTGATGTGGTAATAAGGTAGCTTCCCCTGTTTCTATGCACTCAGAGTATGGCTGAGGGTGCTACCAATGCTTATTCCTGCCTGCCCGCCAGAGTCCAACAAGTCCAACAATGAGGGGCTGTTTTCCCCAGGCAACCCCATCACACTTTGGGCTCGACATGGTGCCTTAGGAACTGCATTAATAACTCTTATTTGGCAGGCAAAGCTTTTCCCCAACATGAGGCTGCCTCCAGCTTCCCTTTCCAAATCTGTGCATGCCATGCAGGTGTTACTGGCACAGGCAGCTGGCTAGAAACAAGTTAATAAGCTAACACCCACCCTACATATAGTGCACCTACCAAGAGGGCCTTGTCAAAAGGAACAGCTTTACACCAATGGAACATTCCTGAAGAGTCTAGAGTGGTTTTTTCGTGTTCATCATCCAAGATTTCTGAAGGTCTGGATGAATAAAAAGGGACAAAATAACAGGTGATGTAATAATATTAGCAATAGCACCATCAGCAACATGGCACCATCTACTTTATGTACATGACACTGTGCAAAGAATGTGAAGGCTCCGTTCTTTCCACCCAAAGGGCTTACTATCTGGAAATGGGCAAAAGGGGAGAAAGAGGGAGGAGAAGGTAACGGAGGAAGGGCTCAACAGGATCCTACTGGCACAATGGGGCTTTCCCCTTTCTCCCCTTGTGTTGCCCTGGGCGTGCCTCCCCCAAATCTGCTGGAGAACCCCAGAACAGCATCTAGAGAGAGGAAAGCAGGATAATTTCATCTAGAAATGCTTGCTGCAAGAACAATCAGAAGAGCATGTTGTTGCATCCCTCCAACAATTATGGTTAAAGTGTTGACATGCTGTCTGACAGACACGGTGTTGCTTGTCTGTGGTCCCTGATTTATTTTTGAGCCTTCCACTCATCCAAGAAAGCAGCTGCAGGTTTCAAAATGACCAAAAACATGTACACATTATGTGCATATCAGTGTTTACTTTTGCAAGTAGGCAGCAGGGTGCAAGGCAATGGGTGCAGCAAATCATATTGATGCCACTAAGGGTGATGCTGTAGGAAAGAAATGTGATCTGGCTAACATCACATTGACCTCATCCATAAGGACTTCTCCAGAAAAGCAGCTTCATTGATAAATGGGATAATCACAACTCAGAGCTGTTCTAGGGAAATAACATGTTGGATTGTATCTTGTATTTTCCTCCATCTTACTCGCTTCCTCGGAAAACAGATATAGTGGCTGAACTGGTAAAAAAGGTAAAAGGGTAAAGGACCCCTGGACGGATTAAGTCCAGTCAAAGGTGACTATGGGGTGCGGCGCTCATATCGCTTTCAGGCTGAGGGAGCCGGTGTTTGTCCACAGACAGCTTTCCAGGTCATGTGGGCAGCAGGACTAAACCGCTTCTGGCAGAACGGGACACCATGACGAGTGCCAGAAAGCATGGAAACATTCCCACCACAGTGGTACCTATTTAAAAACTTGCACTGGTGTGCTTTCAAACTGCTAGGTTGGCAGAAGCTGGGACAAAACAATGGGAGCTCACCCCATCATGCAAATTCGAACCGCTGACCCAAAGATCAGCAAGCCCAAGAGGCTCAGTGGTTTAGACCACAGAGCAACCCATATCCTGACTGAAGTGGTATTAAGACTTGAAATGTTGCATCATACCTTGAACATAGGTATCGGATCCCATTCCAGTATCTCAGTGTTTGACCAAGCTATTGCATCACAAACCAGCATAAGTACAGACTGGTCCAACTATCTTAGTAGCAGGGTCTGAGTTCCCCACTAAGTTCTGCTATCTGAGAACCTTCAGAAATAGACCAATGGGATGCCAACTGCTTGGGTGAAACAAAAGGCTTCTCTTTGCTTAGTCAATGAAGTGGCAAACAGGGTGTTGTGCAAAACAAGGGAAATTTTTTCTATACTTCAAATGTCATGCAGGAGAGGGACTGAACATGTGGCAAGCGCCACTTGGGTGGAGTGGCTGAAGCAAATATGAGGCAGAACTGGGAGAAATAATGCCCCTCCAGTAATATTTAGTAATGGACCACTGCCCAGTGGTAAAGCATGAGCTTTGTTTCCAAAAGGGCACTGTTTCAATCCCAATCACCTCCAGTTTAAAAGAATCAGGTAGCAGTAGGGATACAGGAGGCATTTAGTTCAGTTCACACTGCAAGGCAAACCTATCTATTTTGCACTTTCTGATGAAATATGGGAACCAAAATGTAGCTTATCTGTTGAAATTTCCAGCTCTCTATATTTCATGATGGAATTTTCTAATCAATTAATGTGTACTGAAATACAGTCGTACCTTGGATCCCTAACACCTTGTGAGTCAAACATTTTGGCTCCTGAACACCGCAAACCCGGAAGTGAGTGCTCTGGTTTGCAAACGTTCTTTGGAACCCAAATGTCTGACGTGGCTTCCAGTTGGCTGCAGGAAACTCCACTGTACATATATTTGGAAATCAGAAGCTGCACTTTGGTTTCCAGACGTTTTGGAAGTCGAATGGACTTCCGGAACAGATTCTGTTCGACTTCCAAGATACCACTGTATATATATTATGGGAAAGTGAGCATCAAAATGAATATATCTGTGAAAATAGCATGCAAAAAAATGCATTATGATGGGGGAAACTGAGCGCAAAAAGTGTGTATTGGACAAAACAGCATACCAAAATTTGCACATTACGGGGAATGCACTCTGAAATGTTGATGAATTTTCACGAGGGCTCTTTAAAAAAAATAAATGGGTTGCAAACTGATGTGAATATGTGGATAACAGAATTTACAATGGGAAATACAAGAAACTGGGAGAAACTGTAATTGACGGATTTGTCCATCCTTTGGTAGCAGGTTCCTTGAAACCCCTCTGCCAAAGAACTTGAGAACTGCTTTCAGTCCAAGAAGAAAGTGCTGGGCTAGATGGACAAATATCATGACCTATATTTCCTAAGAGCTATAATTCAAGCATTCAAAAGAACAAACAAAGGGCTTAAACCTGGAAGGAGAAATGAGCCCATACATGTCAGCCACGCCCCAAATATTCCAGAGCGTGTCCGCTGCAACTTTCCCAGAAGGTCTGATGGGAGTGTGTAAACACATTTGGCTAAACACATTTACAAGTTTCCTTGTGGTCAAGAACCCTGGTTTCCTGATCACAGGAAGGAGTGTAAGCACTTCCAAGACCCATTCAGACCTTTCTGCTCAAAGTACAAATATTGGAGGGGGGGGTTAAACCAGTACACTCAGCACATGTGCCCCCTCTCCCCAGTTTCAGTCCAAATGTGTTTATTTGAAAGCCTGAATGGGGTTATGGTTGCAATCCTATCCATGTTTAGCTGAAAGTAAACATTTCAGGTAATCATTTCATTTATCATTGTGAAGCTCCGTTCCAAATAAATATGCATAGGGCTGAGGCTGCATGTTTCATTTCTAGAAGAGGGCATGCAGATACACAGAGTGCCTTGTTGCCTTAAATGATTTCCAGGGTTTACAAATGCCCTTTCATCGTGAAACCAGCTCAGAGTTATACAAGCTGAGCCCTTAATGGCACCAGAAATTAATGACAGTTCTTTGCCAAATACCCTTCCAGCCATTAATGAATAGCTGGTGCTAGAATGTGTGTCTGGGTTCAAGTTTACAAAGCAAAAAGCAAAACACAGTTGAGGGGCATGTTCTTTGTCATTTCAAATAAGCTTCTTTAAAGGGAAACACATACAAAGCTGCCTTATGTTGAGTCAGGCCATTGTTTACACTGATGGGTAGCAGCTCTCCAGGGTTTCAGGCAAGGGACATCCTAGACCTACCTGGAGGTGCGGAGGATTGAAACTGGGAATTTCTACACACAAAGCAGGTGAACGATGGCCCTTGTCCATAGCTCAGTAGTAGATTGTATTGTACCCATAGCTGGTAGTAGATTGTATTGTACCCATACAACTGAACGATGGCCCTTGTCCATAGCTCAGTAGTAGATTGTATTGTACCCATAGCTGACAGGATGCTCAGATGGCCACTCCAAATTTCCCAACTCATTTTCAGCTTGAGAAACGTGAGGGCTGCTGCCAACCAGAACAGGAAATGCGAGGCTAGGTGAACAGTCTGCATGTAGAGCAGAGACTCTACAACTGAGCTACAGCCCTTCCCCGAATATCAGATACTAGTGGATAATATGGGAGAATATGTTAGCAGTGTATCTCAGTCCTTCCATGCCAAGAATAGACATTTCTGTCCATTAGTCATATGGCACCTCCCCAGCATTTGAAACCTCCTCCCTCCTGCCTGGATGATGGATCGGTCAGGTGGTGATTAAATTGTGTTTTGGCAAGAGGGAAGATATCTTGTTGCAAGCTCTTTTAACTCAGCCCAGCTCAGCAAATCAATCAGTGCACACTTTTCCATCATCATAAAACCATGATCTATGTACACAAGCTGTCACAGATGATATCTCCCTTCACTCAAAATGTTATAGGAAGCATCTATGCCCCGAAGGAAACACCTGTCAGAGCCCTGGGTAGGGAAATAAAAAGGCAAGACTGCTTGAAATACACTTCATCAAAAAGGCATCCTTCTCCAGATATCATTGCGGGGGGCGGGGAGGGAGCGAATGCTCATCTATCTCTCTGTGTCTTAACTAATGTTCCCTTCTGCCATATTCTCAGCAAATGATGTGAGATTTTCAGGAATCTACTTTTCTTGGGAGAGCAGTGAATCATTCTGGTGATTCCCCAGTATCTGCACTGAGGATCTCCAGGAAAATGAAGCAGGAAGAAGGTAGGCTTAGCAGAAGTACACACAGATACAGAGCACAAGGGGATAACTGATGGCCTGGTCTTCCAAGGAAATTTCACAAGCCTGGATCTGGTTTTGTTAAAGCCTAAGATTGTCTTTGAAATCTAGCTCTTAAAATAGGAAGCTAGGAAACTGCCGTCTACCAAGCAGTGCCAGCTGCAGGTCCTTGGGCAAGGAGTGACCATTCACTTTCTTCCTCTCTTGGGACAAAATCCACACAGTTGCCCACAAAGTTATGGCAAAGCTAGTGCAGGAGACTCCTCCATTTCCCTGACTCTTGACTAGGGAATGGCAAATCTGTTGATTTCAGTTTTTCTAATTTTCTCATTATTCTGCTCCTAAGATCAGTTTTTTTTTGTAGTTTCCCATCAGTTTGTGATTCCCATCCCCCTAAAAAAAAAATCCTGTCAGAATTTTAACATGCATTTCTCCTTAAACTGATAGTTTTTCCAGACATTTTCACTAATTTACTCTCTTTCTGCTTGTTATTTTCAAGAATGGATCCATTTTTAGGCACCTCTTCTGCATTTTTATTTACATTAGTTACTTGGAGAACCACATTGCAAAACTCAGAGAAATGCGAATTTCAAAAGATGGTTATGTTTCAGTTCACATACTGTTTCACTGTGTGAAACATTAGCTTTACATTAAAATACTGAATTTATTCCTCATCCCTGCTCCTAACACTGCTCAGAAGGAGCAAGTGAAAAGGCAGAAACATCAAGGAGCAGCAGCACCGGCAAGCCCAGCTGCACCCTTATCTGGTCAGGAATAGCCAAATCTTCATTGTGTATGTTCTGAAAAAGACTCTCCTCCTGAAGAGAGGGGAGTGGTTGTGGGCGGGAGCCCGAGCCCCGCCTCTAGCAGGGGGCATTAGCCCCCTGCCTCCCACTCACCTGGCTGGCGCCCACGCCCATCGGCAGGCACCCAACCAGGTGCCTCCGAGGGGCGTGTACAGCAGCCTTAATACTGCGGTGCCAGCCCCTCCTCAGCCTCACTCTTCGTCGACCCGTCGCGATTCACCCACCCTCCACTCCTTTTGAGCTCAGGGTCTTAGTTTTCCTTGGCCTTGCTATGGACCTTAGGTTGGTCGCCCTGGTTGTCCGGGGGGCCTGGTAGGAATTTTTCCATTTGGCATTAGGCTTTTTGGTTTTTTCACCTACCTCGTAGCAATCGTCACAACTTTCGTGGTATTGGTGGGTAGGTTAGGCATTGGAATAATGTGTCGTGGTGTCAAAGGGCTAGGTGTGGCCATCACCTATGCCTTCAATTTTTGGGTATTCCGTTAAAGGAATCTGGCGGTCGTGTATTCTGTCTGATGCCTGCTTGGCGGGAGGCCATGGCATGACCCTCGGTGACATCAGGGGAGAGCCTATAGTTGGATTAGCATCAACAGGCTCCACCTACTGGTGAATAAACCCCCCTTGTTTCAGACTCACCCCTCTCTGAGGGGGTGGAGTCAGCTGACGTAATCCAATGCCTAAGCCAATACCTTTTCACTTGCTGTAATCAATAAAGTTGTGGCCTTTTCTTGCCCATTAACCTTATATCACGTGTCCTTGTGTATTCATTCCACTGTGGGGGGGATCGGGTCCTCGAACCTCAGACTCTAGGTTATACTACTGTCTTATATGTGGGGCTGCCTCTAAAGATGGTTCAGAAACTTCAGCTGGTGCAGAATTTCAGCAGCCTGCTTGCTCACCAGGGCAAGATGATTTGAGCATATAATGCCAATCGTGGCCCGACTTCACAGGCTGCCAAATAGTTTCTGAGCCAAATTCAAAGTGCTGGGTTTGACCAGCTCAGGACAGGACCACAACACCTCAAGGACATCAAGCAAAAACTTTCAGACCTTTAACAATCTGTTTCCTTTCAGAAGTGGGTGAGATGTTTTTAATGTATTTCTCTTTCCTCTTGGGTTTAATGTATCTATGTGGGGGTTCTTGTATGTTTGTTTGCTTGTTATTCGCTTTGGATTGCTGTGGGCAAGATAAAGTGACTGGCAAATTGAATAAATAATAAAATAAATAGAAATAACGGAACAACAGAGATCTATAAACGTTACTGCATGTTGTACAGAGGATGGTGAACTTTGGGGAGGAGCAGTAGGGTGAAAAACCATCACAAAACCCTCTCTTCTACAACGATGAATGGTTCAGAGGCCCACTCCTTGTTTACATCTGGTGGCTCTCTGGTGCCCTGTTATTTATCATAAACTTTTGCTTACAGGAGTTCAGGGTCGAATATTACCATCTCTCCTTATTCTATCCATACAAGGATACTGTAGGGCAGGTTAGGCTGAGGAAGACTAACTGTTCCACCAATGAACTTCACAACAAAACAGGAGTTTGAACATGGGTATCCCAGTTCTGTCCAACATATATGTTATATGGGCTCTCAATCCCACCTCATCACTACTTTTCAGAACAGCACGTAGGGGAAGTGAATGTGTGGAAATCCTCTTTACCTAAGGCTAAAGAAGTTTCCCTTGTCACTTCAGTGCTAGGGTTTGTTTGTGGTTTTTTTTAAAATCCATTGCCTTTGCTGCCGCCTCTCACCATTGCCACAAATTAATGCCACTTGATTTAGAACAACTCAGCAAAGTGTTTTGCTACCCACTGTGCGAAACTTAATAAATTAGCACATATATAAAGGCGCTGTTTGTAATTGAAAAAGGATAATTATTTAGAGCATTCCAACCCCTAATCAGCAAAAAGCCTCTGTGGACAGGTAAAATCAATCACAAAACCAGCTGCAATAATCTACTAGTGATTATAACCACCAAATCAACACTGCCTCTTTGTAGCAAGACTGAATCCTAGTGAAGACCATATGCTTCTATCTGCCTTGGGTGAGCTACAGCAACAGCCCCTTAAGCTTATCATGACTTCCTTTCTCTTTCACACTAAAGACAACCAGGACATTCCCTCTTACAGTGTTCGTGATGACATGGGAGCTCAAAGGAAGGGATTGATATCAGTAGTCTTGGGGCTATTCTCTACCGTTTATTGGTGGGTTGCGTACCTTCCTTCCTTCCAGATGTTGCAGAATTTCAACCCCATCAGCCCCAACAACTGGAGGCAGGAGCAGCTCACCAGTTCCATGGAGCCACAACAAAGCTCTCTTGCCAGCAGTGTCGCTACCACATATTGGGAGAGGTAAGGCAAAACAAGTTTGGGGCTGCAAGGGTGCACTTACAGAACCAATCTAACGCTCCTACCAGAACTACCACAGGGCTCCAACCTCCATTACCTTGTCTCCCTCCCTCCTGTTATGTGGCAGCGATGCCACAGATGGGAAGCTCTTGCTGCCCCTCTGACCCATCAGGGAAGCCGCTCCTATCTGGATGGCTATAGGTTCCACATCCCTGATTTGGAAAAACTAGGTGCAGGTTGTGTATTATTTTCAGAGGGGCAAAGACTGTGACACTGTGATGTAGCACAGAAACTATGCAATCTAACTGGGATTACCATACTGAAAAGGAGGAAAAGAAAGAGAGAGAGAGGGTGGAGTTGGTAGAAGATTACTGTTGCTCTAATAAGAGATGAGAAGGGTGCAAGGGATGTGGCAGGCTGTGCAATAAACACTATGGGCCTGAATCCATCCTGGCTGTGAGTCTTGCAAGACCTGCTCCCTGCCTTGCTGCTCTTTCTCCACCTGGCCTTGACTGACTCCAGCTACAAAATTGAGGCTGCTGAAAAGACTCTTGGGCCAAAGCATTGTTTAGGGTTGTTTCTTGTGTGGGGAAGAGTGTTGCTGTTTTTGACATTATTTCTATAATTATTTTAGTTTGATTTGGTTGTGTACTTTCTATGTTTTATTTATTGTTGATGATTACTTTTGTTATGAGCGTAATTATGTATTTTATTCATGCTGTAAGCTGCTTTGAGCATGATTTTAACTATGGGAAGGTGGAATACAAATAAAATTATGTATGTATTATGTATGTAATTGGAATACAAATGATAGCCAGGGACAATGTGAGTGGGTGGGGAGTCTGGGCACAAGAAGAAAAGGCAGACAATGAAGAGGGAAGCAGCAATGTTGCAGTGTGGATATTTATGGGGCTGACATTCATCTGGAATTTCCTGGACATATCCAGAATACAGCAGTTGGAAACAGTGTCCAGGCAAAAAAATCACTGAAATGTCCGGATTTTCACTTTTTAAAATATGGCAACACTAATGGGGCTACCGTGCATCTAGATTTTCCCAGACATTACCAGGATTTCAAAGGCGGAATTGAGGTCCAAGAGGAATTATCAAAAGGCGGCGCTTTGTCCTGGATTTTAGGGAAGTCAAATTGTGGTTTTTTTGGTGGGTTTGTAAAGAAAAGCTCAACAACTTTGGCGGCTTCCTTAAAAAAGCTCGATGACTTCCTGGGTTGTCTTGGTTTTTACTTTTTGAAATATGGCAACCCTAAACCCTAGATATTTACCTATTTCAGAAAGGAGAGAGGGTGACATCAAGTCATCTCTACTGACAGCATGTCATTTATGAGACATTTCTGACAGCTTCTCTATGTATTTGCATGGCTAGTTAGTAGGTTAATTTAATTAAAATTTTGCTTGTCAACAGGGTGGTGGATAGTGCTCATTACAGGGGTTGGGGGGTTGGGAGGGCAGCTTGGAGAAGCTGTTCTCAGTGGAACCTCCCCCTCCCCCTGTCCTCTCCCTCCCCAGTTTTGTTGCAGTTCCCTATTCACTGGCCTCTTCCTCTGGGCCCAGATGGCTCCAGTTGAGAGAGAACGAGAGGGAGAGAGAGAGAGATCCATGTCCACACTTTGCTTTCCAGGCATTGGACAAGCAGAAGTGTGGTTGAGCCCAGAGATAGAGAGATAGAGAGGGTGGGGGGAACAAGGGGAACTCATTTATCTTACTGATTTTGCCCCTGGAGAGGTCAAATGACAAGGGAGGGAGGAATGGGGCTCCCGGCACTTGTGGTACAGCCCCTACTGAAAGGTGCCCAGCTATGTCAGTCACATATGTGAGCACCTGAATGCCACAATAGCCTTTTACCTTTTACCACTTTTCATTGAACTGTTAATGTAATAAGTAGGCTAAAGCCCCTTTCTACATGTGGGAGGATAAGACTCTGTGCTTTAAAGGAGGAATGAAATTGAGAGTTGTGCAATTGTCCAGACTAAACTGCTAATCTTGAACTAAAGGGTTCAAAATTTGGTCCTACCTAAAGGCTTTATGTTTTGTTCTCCCAATCTAAATTGAGAATGCAGCCAGCTGCAATCCTTGGAGCCTGGATCTCCTTATTAATCCCCTTCATACCTGTTTAACTCGAGTTCCCAGTCCAGCAATTAAATAAGGATCATTATGATGTGATTTATGGTATATGTGTAAATGTTAGAAATTAGTGTGGGTAATTAAAATATAAAGTGTGCACTGCCAGGAGGTTGAGCCATTCTCCATGTCCTTAGCACAGAATAAGGAGCTGGCCAGATTATAAATAGACAGGTTTGCACAAGTTCACAGGGCAAAACCAATTAGCCAACTCATCTTTATGCGCTTGGAGTAGGCAGGGTGGGTTCAGATAACCAGTTTATCCACAGCACGTGATTACTTGTTGGAGAGATCCTACCTAGATATTTAGTTGTTGAGATCCCCTATATTGCTATATATGGGCTTTGAAGTTACATGTGAGCCTCTTGTATGCCCTACATCACATCACATTCCTTTCCCCACCCCATTGCTTTGTTTTCTAAACTTCTCATTGTATGCTAAGGCAGAACATAGAAATACAAGGTGTTCCCATGTACATATATAACCCTACAGGCTGAAAGTCATGGAAATCCATACAATTGTCGGAATCAACATGCAATAGGTTCTGTGGTCTTAATTGGGGGGCAGGGCGGGGGTGTTAAAGCATGTTTGCCAAATCCATGGTATAATCCAGAGGCCATCAGTGCAACTTGCAACATAATTTGACCAGGCTTTGGGTTGTATCAAATGCTAGTCTTACTCAGGGTACACCCAGCGAAGTTAAGGGACATGACTATTTAAGGTCCATTAATTCCAGTGTGTCTGCTCTAAGCAGAACTTAGTTGGACACAACCATCCTTTGAAACCAGCACTTCTCTGAATTTTGCAGTGCCGTACGCTAGCCAGGTAATGTGTACAAAAATGCATTTACCAGGGTGAAGTGTGCAGGTATCATCCAGGATAACATTAAAAAGGCATTATAAATGCATTAAACATTAAAATGCATTATAAGATTGCTTTGTAAAAATGTGTTTATTAGGCAAAAGTGCACATAAAACCATGTGCCTATTAGGAGAAATGTTGATAAACGCAGGGACTTAAAAAATAAATAAATCCAAACTGATGTTGAAATGTGGATGACTGAATTTAAGATTGGGAGGGGGGGTAGACAAGAACCTGAGAGAAACCAAAACTGACAGATTTTGCCCATTCCTAGTGGCTGCAGAGAGACATATAAATGGCAGAAGAAGAAGAGGCTAAGAGGAAGGAGTCCTGCGGCTCTTTCTGACTGAAGCAAAGCAAGGCAAGGCAAACAACAGCAATGGAAAAAGGCTAAGCAAAAAAGCACAGCTAACTGAGCCAAGGCTGAGTCTATGGCTGAAGGAGCCTGAGGCTTGTGCTACTCCTCTCCTTACACAAAACAAATTATGGAAGAAGGGGCCTCATTAGCGCCCTTCCTACATGCATCAGAGAAAAGAGCCAATGGCACATTTGATCATATCAGCTGCACTACAAATGGCAGTCATGATTTGGCAGACAGATTCCATCCCAGAAAGAAAGAGGGGTGGGGAAGTGGCAAACCCCAGTTTCTGATGTGCCAGGTGTTGCCTTCTGGCCTGTTTTGCTTGCAATGAAGATTTTCCTCCAGCAAAAAAAGCAGGCAGCTTGGATTTCCCAAGAAGCTCTGCTGTGGAGGAAAAGCCAGGTGAGGTCAGAAGTTAAAACCACCCTGTCCCAGCTGACGGGGGGGGGGGGAGGTGGAGGGGAAGCTTTCTTTAATGTAACAACACATTCACCCACCCCTGCCTGTCTCCCTTTCCTGGAGAACAGAGTTTTACACTTGTCCTTCACACAAATAACCCGAGGGTGGGAATTATTCAGAAAGCTCATGTTTGACACCCCATCTGTTCATTTCTGACAGCGATATATAATGTAAAGCTATAAAAACTTGAAAAATAATGCAACATAAAAAGGGATTGACTCGGCTCCAAGAGGCCATAAACGGTAACAAATACCACTGTGTGATTTATTTTGTGCTGTAATCTTTACAGTAAGTCATCTTTCAGACATTTCCTTGTGACAGGTTTTAATAATATTAATGCCCAGAGCAATCCAAATCATCGCCAATAGACATATTTATCAAGCTGCCAATCCAAGTAAATGAAATTCTATAAGCAATAATGTAACATGTTAAAAGGGAGCTAATAAAACAAGTCAGCGGAGAAATATTACTTCAAAGAATTCTCCCTTCTCTCTCTCTAATCCGTCCCTGAATGTTATACAGCCAAAATGCAAATCTTTTCCCCCCTTTCGTGATTTATCGCTCCAAAAATATCAGTGACCTTTCTGCAGACTCCTGCACAGCCTCTCCTACGCATTCATAAAGAGTGCAATGTATTCTCCCAGATTAAGTGAATGCAGGAGTGCTTAGTATTATTACTTTTTCTCTCTCTCCCCACCCTTCCACTGACACCCCCTGCCTTGCCTTTGGACCAGGATTTCATGGGTATCATCAAAGGGTGAGATCTGAGGTCCTGGAAATTTATTAAAGACTGACATGCTATAACTGTACCTTGGCAACTCAACAGGTATTTATGAGCAATTATCCAGGTGTTAGATAAGTTTCAATTAAGATGGAACACAAGTGTACTTTTTCTAACCTAGGTGTGGTTTTCCCCCCATTTAAAAATGAAACAGTTTGGTTTGGTTAAAAGATTTTGGGTTTTTAAAAACTCAAGATAGAAATCAGTGTGCGCTGCTGTAGCCAGCTTTGTATGATTACTATCTTATGCAGCCTCCCCCAATCTGGTGGCTTCTGGAAGTTTTGGGCTATGGCTCTCATCAGCCTTACCAGCATGGTCATAGTCCAAGACATCTGTAGGGCACCAGGTTGGCTAAAGCTGATCTTAATTAGGAAATGACCCCTCCTCTGCCCAGATTGTAAATGTAACCAAAATGAAATTTGAGACTTGATGGCTTCACCAAAAGGAGAGTAACCAAACATCTGGGGGGGAAAGGTGCCAGCACAGCGGACCCTGGAGTACCCCCCAGGGGGGGGGGAACAGTGGTTAAAAGTGTGGCACTTACTGCAACAACTTCATGGCAAGTACTGGCACCTTTTTCCTAGAAGAAAAACTTCCTATAACCAAATAAGATTTTGTCCTAGCAGTGCAAGAAACAGCTTGAAGATACACAAGGGGTAATAGTCAACTAAGTTTTACTCAATGTAGACCTGTTGAAATTAATGGACCCAACTTTGTTGTGCTGGTGCGTATACTCTGAATAAGGCTTAGTTAAATGCCACCTGTGGAATTTGAGTGGAGGAATTCATCCCAGGGTTAAGTTTCCTGAAAGCCATTAAAAGATTATCCCACAACATTATAATTATCCCTGGAACAAAGAGAAAGTGTTTAATGGTTCAGAGATCAAAAACATATTAGCATTTAATGAATGCTTGTGGTAGGGGATAATTAGAGGTAGTTTGGTAGGCACTGGTGGGGGGGATGTCACATGACATGACATGATTTTGTCCATTGTATTTTCGGAAAGGATTTGTAATTATTAATTGGTGGTAATCCTTTGGGTTGTTTTTGTTTTATTGCTTTCTGATATTTTCTAGATATTACCTGTATATAAATGAATTCCTGAATTTTATTAATTCTTTAGGGTGTTTTAAAAATTGTTATAGAACGGCAATGTGATTTTTGTTGTATGTTTAGGCACTTCTATGGGCTGTAACTTCTTGGGAGGAAAGCAATGACAAACCTAGACAGCATCTTAAAAAATAGAGACATCACCTTGCCAACAAAGGTCCGTATAGTAAAAGCTATGGTTTTTCCAGTAGTGATGTATGGAAGTGAAAGCTGGACCATAAAGAAGGCTGATCGCCGAAGAATTGATGCCTTTGAATTATGGTGCTGGAGGAGACTCTTGAGAGTCCCATGGACTGCAAGAAGATCAAACCGATCCATTCTGAAGGAAATCAGCCCTGAGTGCTCACTGGAAGGACAGATCCTGAAGCTGAGGCTCCAATACTTTGGCCACCTCATGAGAAGAGAAGACTCGCTGGAAAAGACCCTGATGTTGGGAAAGATGGAGGGCACAAGGAGAAGGGGACGACAGAGGACGAGATGGTTGGACAGTGTTCTCGAAGCTACCAGCATGAGTTTGACCAAACTGCGGGAGGCAGTGGAAGACAGAAGTGCCTGGCGTGCTCTGGTCCATGGGGTCACGAAGAGTAGGAAACGACTAAACGACTAAACAACAACAACAATGGGCTGTAAGCTGCCTTGAGTATAGTACTGTAGAAAATGAGGTATGGGAAATGAAATCACCCTATTACTATTTCTGCTCCTTTTTCCAAGTAGCAGGCAACAAAATGGCAGAGGGTGGTGTACAGATACACTTATACATTGGCGTTGTTTTTTATTACATGCTATGGGGTGGGGTGGGGAAGAGAGACTCTGGTTGCAGTGCTGAAACATCTCCCAAGAGCATGTCCAAAATGTAATCTCATGTGCAGGGCAATTCTGTATAAATTAACTCTGAATCAAATCACACTGAGGTCAGTAGAGCAGGGATGGAGGAACCTGAGAATTTGCAGTTGTTTCAGAACTACAAGTCTCATCATCCCTGATCATTGGTCATGCTGGTTGGGCTAATGGGAGTCAGAAACCAAAAGAACCAGGTGGGTCGCAGGTTCCCCAGCCCTACAGCCGAGCTTATGACAGCACAAGCAGAGTTTATGGTAGAAGTTTCTCTTCCAACTCGTAGGAGAAGCAGAGAAAGTTGTGCAGAAACAAGAAAAATTGCTGAAGATCTCAACAAGAAAGAGATGTTGTTAGTAAGCAACAATGATTCTCACAAGATGTTAATGGAAACAAACTATAAATCATGAGATACAAAATAACTCAGGTGTTGGACATCAACTCCCATCATCTTGGACCATTGACTATGTTGGCTGGGCTGATGGGCACTGAGCTCCAAAAACATCTTGAATGTGCTTGGCTGGCTACCCTTGAACAAAGATTTCTCTCATTCTACTTACATTCTTATTTTCCAACAAACTCTGTCCAGTACACTCCCTAACTCCCCCTAACACTTTTGGAATACCTTCAAATGCAGTAACAAGCAGTTTCTCACTAACATTCCAGTGGGTGAGGGCATTACACCTAGGGAAGTAACTGTGTATAGAATTGCAGCCTAAGGGAGGTTTCAAAAAGGAGAAGCTGAAAGTTGACCATGTCTGGATTAAATGGAAGCGAGCTGTAGCCTTTGATGATCGCTATGGGATCATAATCAGGTGGAAATTATAACTTTTAAGATTGATGACACTGACCTAAGAGAGGAAGGCTTCTCCTGTATGCACACACCTGTACCTAACGAGTGGGGGACCTCAGGCCGGGGGGGCCAAATGCATCCCTCTAGTCCCACCTATTGGGCTCTCTGGACGTGCAACAAGACATGGCGCCTTCTCAGACAACACTCCTCACAGCTCTTGGTCAGCACCTTCCTCAAGTGCTTCTGCGTGGCAGGAATGAGTTCTTGAACTGGGATGATGCCTGTTGCTTGCCTAGATGAAGGCTAGAGCCATGTGTGCATGTCAGAAACCCTTGATTTTTGTATGTTGTTGCTTTCATCCATCTAACTTGGGAGACAACGGAAGAGTTCGCCCTCGGGGGTAAAGTCACAGCACCTGCTGTGTCTGTAGAGACAGATATGGTAGAGACCTGTTTTGTTGCAACTGGGGGCAGATGAAGGTGTCCAGTTGTGCTGGGGCAGATGCTCTGCATCCCTCCCTGCGTTCCTCCTTCCTCTGTTCACTGCTGTGGATAGAAGACCTGTCTGTCTGCAAGCATCGCAATCGTCTGCAAGGGTTAATGTCAATATGGCTGGGTTAATGTCAGCCTTCATGTCACATTTGCAGACATCTTCATAACACAGAGTTGGTCTGCCAACAGTCCTAGAGCCTGAAACCTGCTTCCCACTGAGCATGTCCTTGAAGATCTTGCCATCTTCCATTCTGTGTACATGACCAAGCCAGCATAGACATTGCTGAGACAGAAGTGTGAACATGCTTGGAATGTGGCTTGGGAGAGCACATATTTGCTTGAGACTCTGTCCTGCCATGTGATGCCCAAAATCTTCCTGATGGCATATGGAAGGCATTGAGGCGTTACTCCTGGAGTCTGTAAGTTGCCCACGACTGACTTCCAATAAAGCAGCTTGCTCAACATGCAAGCCTGGTAGACCTTCATCTTGGTATTGGTCATTAGCATCACATCCTCCCGTACCCTTTTGGAGAGGCCAGCCATTGCTGTAACTGTCCAGCTCAGTGTCAATGAAAAGCTTGCTGGATATGGTGGAGCCCAGGTAGACAAAAGTGTCTACCTTCCGGATAAAAATAAGAGTAACATCTTTTGCATTTGTATGACTCTGATCCCCAGCAATCCCTGATATGTTGTCCTCTATGGAACAGGGCATTGGGGCTGAAAAGGCTCCCCATCCTCTCTCTTCCTTGTGGTTATCTGCTGATGTCTTTTTCTCAGAGCCCCTGATTCTGAAATTCAGAGACTAGCTATGAAAGAGGGTTCCTGTTCGATGCCCAAACAAGCCATGGAATTATCTCTCCAGTGAAGTTCACTAGGGATCCACACTGTTGTCCTTTCAGCGCCATGCTAAGACTTCCTTGTTTTCCCCAAGCATTTTAGAATCTCGTTATTTCAGTTCTTCTGGTATGGCATGTAGATTCAGCTCCTATATTTCCTGGTTGTCTTTTAGCTGCTGTGATTCAAGTTGTTTTATTGCATCAGTCTTTCCGTATTTCAGTTTTAAGTGAGGTTACATCGCTTAGAGTAATGGGTTTTCTGTTGTATTATTTTGATTGATTTTGGACAACACCTTGTTTTATGAGCAGGTTTCACATATATTAAATAGTAAACAAATACCTTTGCATAGCTACTTGTTCATTGAGTTTTGCTCCAGGAATTTAGCAATAATAATAATAATAGTGATATTTAAGCTGAAACCCTGAAGCAAAATGAAAGGCCAAATAATTTGGGAGGAAATCTGAGGACATACAGTTTTGACATGGAGGGACCTTTATGGGAGTTGTAGTTCAGCAACCTCTCGGGAGCCAAATGTTCACCACACCAGCTCTAGCTGATTACGTCTTTACACAATAACATAAAAAGGTAAAGGACCCCTGACAGTTAAGTCCAGTCATGAACGACTCTGGGGTTGTGGCACTCATCTCGCTTTATAGGCCGAGGGAGCCAACGTTTGTCCGCAGACAGTTTTTCCAGGTCATGTGGCCAGCATGACTAAGCCGCTTCTGGTGAAACCAAAGCAGCACACGGAAACAGCGTTTACCTTCCTGCCGGAGTGGTACCTATTTATCTACTTGCACTTTGACGTGCTTTCAAACTGCTAAGTTGGCAGGAGCTGGAACTGAACAACGGGAGCTCACCCCTTTGCAGGGATTCGAACCGTTGACCTTCCGATTGGCAAGCCCAGAGGTTCAGTGGTTTACACCACAGCGCCACCCACGTCCCCAACAATAACATAGGAAGCTGCTTTTTACTCACTACTGTCAACATGAAGTGGCAGAGGCTTCCCGGGGTTTCAGGCAGGAATTGTTGTCCTAGTCCACCATCTACAAAATCTTGATTGTCAGAGCATATAAGCACATTATGTAAAGCTGGATGTTATCCAGTGTCCAAAAATGAGCCAGATTAGATGATACCTGTCCCTTAATTTCAGTGCTGCTGCAGTGCTTCTGGAACATCTTATTAGGTTCCTTCTCTGATTTCTTTTAGACAGAGGCTGAAACTCCCCACCACCACCGGGAGGGTTTGATATATACTTTTGGTGCTGTTTTGTCTATCTTTCCACTGCTGCTTTTAAACTGGTGCTGTGCTTTTCATTGATTAGTTTAACATTTAAATCTTCTTGTGTATTTTTGTGCTGTAAAACTACAGCACACTGGGTACTGTATGAGCAAAAGAGCAGGCACAACACCAGAACTGCAAATACTACTGCAATTAATACTTCTGCAATTAATACTACTGCAATTAATAGTAGTAATAGGGAAAGGAAATGCTCTTCATTACTAGTCAATCCTAGATTTAGGCTGTAATCTAAACCCATTTTGCACTGAGCTGGAATCAGGGTTTGGATACGGTGGGTGCGTCCCTCTTCCTAGCCCTAGTCACCTCTGACAGCTTCCACCCACTCCTCCAGTATGGCACACTGGCTTCTTCACTCCAGATTCACAGGTGGAAGTACCTCTAGTGGAATCTCTGCTGATAGCAGCCCACAAAAATTCTTTGGAAGAAGCCACATGCTTCCAATGTATGGTCTAGATGTGACCACATCCTCTGAATGAACAGTGCCAGTGTGCAAATGCACCCACTGCATTCTGCCCAAAACGAAATAGCTAGCTATATATAAATATTTATTGAACTCTAGTACTAAGGAAACCAGTTCCCTATGTTTGGGACAGGCACTCACTGTACACAACTCTGGCTATGGGATATATGATATCACAAGCCTCTTCTTCTTCAGATAAACTTGCAAGTGCTGTTTTCAGATATTTTAAAAGAGAGAGGGAGAGGTGCACATATAAAGAAGGCAAGTCAGTCAACAAACACTATCTTAATTAATGAATAAAGCTACCAAGGGCATTGCAATGGTGCTGGTGGGGAGAAAACACCAGACTCATTCTGCAAAATAAAATAAAAAATCCAGCGAATTACCTTCTAAAGCAATTGAGAGGCATTGCAGTGTACAGGCTACAGTGGTGAACTTGGACTGAAAGGACTCCATTTGAGCCACAAAGCTCACTGAGGGACCTTCATCTGCTCACCATCTCTCAACTGATCCTACTTCACAAGGTTATTGTAAAGATAAAATGTGGGGGAGGGACCATATACACAGCTTGCCACCTTAAATAAGGCTTACAGCCAGCTAAACAGCCCACAGAACTTTACCCTAAATATAGTAAATGAATATTGGCATGTTCTGTAATATATGATGCATAAAATATGGTTGCTTAGTGCTGATCTTTTGATGTTAATTGCAATGCTGTCCATATATTTCCAAGCGTCTCTGCCTATGATCACGAGGACTACCAACTTGATGTTTTTCAAAAACGGAAACTATGGAGATTCTCTGGATTGAGGGGGAAATCAGAATTTAGTTAAACTTCCTTGCCCTCCACTACTATTCCCCCATTTTTCTGTTCTTTTAAAATTGCTTATTTCTATAGCAGCCTACTGACACAGATCGAAATAACGCAAGGAAATCAGATCTTGTTACGTGTTGCAATCAGTCTATGTTTTATTGTTGATATATTTTTTCTGTACTTGATTTGATCTTCTTTCATGCATATAGTATACATTGTGCAATTTGTGGGTTGTTGTTTTTCTTCTTAAGATAACCGAGATCAGAGCTGGGATGAAACATAACCAGCTGAGTGGAGCACTTTATAGAATCATTGGAATGCACCCAAATGGTCATCTAGCTAAAGAATCCCTGACACATGGTCTTCCAACCTCTGTTTAGCAAAGAATTGAAAGAAACAAGATTTACCAACTATCAAAGAATGGCAGATGAAGATGATGGACTATATGGAACTTGCCGAACTGACTGGGAGACTCTGAGACCAGAGAGAAGAGACAGTGGAAGAAGACTGGAAGAAGTTTAAACAATATTTGAAAAAAAACATATTAATATTTAAATCTTAGAATAGCTTTGGAAGTGGATATAGGCTGTAGGGTTTTGTTGTTGTTGTTGTTTAGTTGTTTAGTCATGTCCGACTCTTCGTGACCCCATGGACCAGAGCACGCCAGGCACTTCTGTCTTCCACTGCCTCCTGCAGTTTGGTCAACTCATGCTGGTAGCTTCAAGAACACTGTCCAACCATCTTGTCCTCTGTTGTCCCCTTCTCCTTGTGCCCTCAATCTTTCACAACATCAGGGTCTTCTCCAGGGAGTCTTCTCTTCTCATGAGGTGGCCAGAGTATTGGAGCCTCAGCCTCAGGGCTGATTTCCTTAAGAATGGATAGGTTTGATCTTCTTGCAGTCCATGGGACTCTCAAGAGTCTCCTCCAGCACCATAATTCAAAAGCATCAATTTTTGGGTGATCAGCCTTCTTTATGGTTCCAGCTCTCACTTCCATACATCACTACTGGGGAAACCATAGTTTTAACTATGGTTAAACGGACCTTTGTTGGCAAGGTAATGTCTCTGTTTTTTCAGATGCTGTCTAGGGTAGGATTAGAAGTAGTATATAGTGTATTTTAAAATATTATTTGTAAGGCATAAAATGTGAAGATTTTTAAGGTAAAAGTAAGTGTGATTTAAAAAATGGTTAAAAATTATGATATATGTAAACTGCTAAAGATGAGCTAAAATGAAAATCAGATAGTGGGGACTTGGGAAAGCTCACCTAACAATGTTTAGAAAAAATAAGGATAAGTCAAGAATTTGTTTGTATTGTTTGTTTTTCTGTTTGTGTTGTTCAATTGTGTTATAAAATGAATAATTTTTTGGGAAAAAATAAAATAAAAACCTCCCGTGAAGGAGAATCCACTACCTTCCAAGGAAGTCCATTCCACTGTTGAACAGCTCTGTCAGAAAGTTGTTGCTGGTGTTTAGTCAGAATCTCCTTTCTTGTAACTTGAAGCCATTGGTTTGGGTCCTACCCTCTGGAGCAGCAGAAAACAAGCTTGCTCCATGTGACAGTCCTTCAGATATTTGAAGATGGCTATCATATCACCTCTCAGTCTCCTCTTTAGTAATGTTTGTATTTTGAGTTGCATACCAGTGGGGACAGGGGAGAACTGTGATCTTTTTGGTGTTTAGGGCCTCTAAAGGTCTTAATCTGGCCCTGTACGGGGCAAACATTGGCTGCGGTAATCTCCTCCTCTGCTGTTTGAAGGCAGGAGTTAGTTTCAAGGGCCACGGGAACAATGGCTTTTCTTCAGTCCTTGCCCTCCTCTTGCGAGGGCTATAGAGAACATCTGACAGTGAAAATCCTCTCCTCTTTTAAGTTAAACAGCTGCAAAGATTTCAGCAATCTCTGTAATCCCCAAGGTGTAATCCCACAGTAAGGAAACTCGCTTCTCTTAAATACCTCCCTCTGGCATAATTGACTTTTCATGCACATTTTAATAATGATATTTCAGCAGGTTGAGAGAGTCTCTCTCTCTCCCCACCTTCTTCAAATTATGCTGTGGACACAGGGGGCGGGGAGAGACTGTATTGTAAACTTAATGACGAATTCCTCTCCTTCTGAACAAATTGGTAGAACGCCCTTGTGCATGTCTGTCTGTGTACACACATACATATAGGAGGGGGCATTTAAGCTGCTCTCCTCCAATATTTTACCACTTACTTAACTCATTAAAGGAAGATACTAAAACAGTGTCTAAATCAATAAATGAAAATGTCTTTTTTGCCATTCACTGGGGGAAATGAAACCCTCCTGTGAAATCAGGGGGACAGTGTAGTGTAGTGGTTAGAGTGTTGGACTAGAAGCTGGAAAACCAGGATTCAAAGCCCCACTCACTTATTAAACTCACTGGGGGACCTTAGACCAGTGACTGCCTCTCAGCCCAACCTACCTTACAGCTGTGAGAATTAAATGAGGGGGCTAACATTGAGCTCTTTGGGGTATAAATGAAAGCAACCACTTGGTCATGAAGGTAGGGAAGAATAGTCTCCAGATTTTTCAGGAGTGGGTTGCTACTTCCTTTGCTTACCTTTTGAGGTGGCCAAGGGCTTTTCTTCTTCTTTATATGGCTTTATAATAACTATTTTAAAAAGTAACATCTACATCATTGTGATAAAGGTTCTCCCAGTAGCTCTCCACTGTTTTCACTTCTGGAAATGCCTTTGGATAGATATCCTGCTATAGTCCATTGTGTCCTATCCAAGGCATATGAGGAACTGTTGCTTGTGGAAAGGGACACAAGGTTCTTCCCACAGGAACTTAAGTGGGACCTAGTAAGACAGGTGTTTGGGAATACTGAACTACAGCTCCCATTAACCCAAGAAAGAATGGGCAATGGCCACCAGGGGTGGAGGTTGAAGTTCAGCATTTGAAATATCAAAGGTTCCTCACACCTACAGGATGTGCCAAATCCCTTCTGGAATTTTTGGGAGAATTCTCCCCCTAAAAAGCAGTAAGAAAATATCCCCATGGGGGGGGGGTCAGCCTATCATTAGTGAGCCTGACCTTTGCTTCAGAAAGAGGTAGACCTGGCAGAGAGATGTAACCAATGGCAGTTGGGTGAGAACCCCACTTCAAACCAGAATTCAGATTGATCTGGGCTCAGCTCATAATGCGGCACAGAATCCCCAAATTTCAAAATGCCCACCATAAACAGTGACAAACTTCAGCCAGTCAGATCCAGCTGCCCCCCGCATTAGATGTAAAGTGCAAAGAAGGCTTAGACATCATAACTTTAAAAGAAACATAACCTCCTTTCTCCCATCTCATGCTCACACAAATTCACAAGGAATTCAGACCAGGAAATGGTGCACACATGGTGCACACATAGATCTCCCCAATGTCTTACCTGTCCTCACTGTCAGTCTGAAAGGGGAAATTCAAGAAAGGGAAATATCCAAGGGAGCGTGAGACTACTAGACTGCTCGAATCCTGCGCTGCTTTCAACTTATCTGAAATAAAAAGCATTAAGAGGCCATTTCTTCTCTGGCTAGTCTTAATTGTTTTTCAGCAGCCTAGGGTCAATCAAAGTCATTTTGATAGTGGCAAATAAGTGCATGTAGAAGCATCTCATTACCAGTTTCAGGTTCATGGTAGCCCCTAAGCCAGGCTTACTCAACCTCGGCCCTCCAAATGTTTTTGGCCTACAACCCCCATGATCCCTAGCTAGCAGGACCAGTGGTCAGGGATGATGGGAATTGTAATCTCAAAACATCTGGAGGGCAGAGGTTGAGGAAGCCTGCTGTAAGCCAAGTGAAATGGTAATGTTCAACCAATTAGATCATCCCAAGTTGGTGTCAACATCAACATGGTTGGGCACTTGCTAAGACCCATGTTCCAGGAAGTGGGCGTACTGGCAAGAGCTCCCTGTACCTCCTCACAATTCCCCCCACCTCCTTGTTCACCTTGTCCTTTCTGGACCAGAGCTGGTGAGCATGCCATTTATGGTACTATGAAGACAAGGAACAGTAGCTACCAATGTCCAGCGGCAAAGGAAGCAGCTCGGGGGCCTGGGGCGGTGCACCCAGGGCGGGACGAGCTACCCATAGGGGCAGGGTGAGGGTGGGGTGAGTGGGGGGGTGCACCGGGGGGCCTCCAGACTCTGCCTGCCTCCTCCCACTCAGCCGCCCTACAGCTGGGGGGAGGCAGCAGATGGACTGTTTGGGCAGCACAGAGCCTGGGCGCGCCCCAGCCACCATGTGTCTCCCAGGAGGGACATTTTGTCCGGCATTTTGTCACCCCCTCAGTGGTGAGACCCGGGGCAGCCCACCCCCACCCACCCCCGTTCCTCCGCCCCTGTCAATGTCTGGTGCCTTGATGGTTCTCTGTCTGGCAAGCAGGGGCACCAGCTATAGAGGGCAGAAGGGGCTTCAGCCCCCTCAATATTTCTAGGCAGGGGGCTGAGCCCCCCCAGTATTGAGGGGGCTGCCATCTTCTGCCGCCTCCGACAAGCACTGGGCGGGGGCAGGAAGCATGGAGGGTGATTTTCACCCTCCCTGCTCCCCGCCATGATCTCCAGAGCATCTTCTGGGAAGACCCCCCCCCCATGTTGGCTCCCAATTGGTAAGCCTGCTGGCAGGCAAGGAGGTGATAGCAGTACTGAGCTTTAGCAGGAACAGCTGGTGATACTGGCCTTTAGAAAGAGGTAGACACACTTTGGGAGGGGGCTTCATGGAGATATTCACACTGTTATCACACACCAGGTAACAGTGTTGGGTGAAATTTTAGTGATTATAAAGCAGGTAAGAGGGGTTGGCATGGTAGTAGGGCAAGGATCAATTATTATTATTATTATTATTATTATTATTATTATTATTATTATATCTTTATTCGTTTCAACTAAAAAAAGAGAAGTTTATATATACAACAATATTCAATACCAAAGCTGGAACAAAGAAAAAAGAAGGAAGAAGAAGAAGATAAGGAAAAACAAGTACATAATTTTATACAATTCTTCTGTACGAATATAATAACAAATTGTCCTTTATGTTCATACAAATAAAATTTCGTAAAAAGAAGGGGGAAAGGGGGAAAAAGAAAAAAGATTTCTATAAATAAACTTTTAAAAGACTTGTAAAAATTTTAATTTACTGTGTCTATTCTTTCCTTTATAACGCACAGCCTCATATTACATTCAGTTATCTTCATATATCCTAACATAATATTATTTACAGTTTTTGTTTTGCAAGAATCAGTCTAGTTCTGCTAAGAGAATTTCATTCTTATAATGATTTTTAAAGTATTCTTTAAATATAAAAGTTATCAGGAAGAGTAAGAAACGGCATGAAACAGAGTGTCAATAAGGAATGGAGAATATTTAAAGGATCAATTATTGATTCCCATCTGCACGTGCTGTTGGAATGGCATTCCGTTCAATGGTTGCGGTTGCACAGTCCAGTGCAGCCTTCCATGGAAGTTGCCTGGTGTTAGACCCTGGCTGCCATACAGGACAGGACAGCATCCAGGATCCCACGGGGCAATAAGGGGAGACATTCTGACCTGGCAGGGCTCCACCTCAGCTAGGAGCATACCCTGAACCTATATTTCCTCCAGGCCCCTTATTCCCCCCACCTTACTATTATGATCCTACCCAATACCATAACCACACAGAGTTATTACAGAATATTGAGAATGCTTAACATGATGAAGCACTCATTAAGAGCCAACTGACGTTGAGAGAAAAATCCCTTTCTGCCCCTGTTAATCACTGACCCAAGGAGCTCAGTGAGGCCACTAACATCACAGGTGGGCAGGTGCGATAGCTCACCGGGCAAAAAGTGCCCAATCTACTTGTGGGTGAAGCTTTTAAGCACTTGGCCTTTCCCACGCCATGTGAGCTCCCATGGGATAATACAACTTCTTGTAGACTCTTGCAAGGGCACTGTGGGAAACTTATGCCCCATCTGTCCACTGTCCCAGAGCCACTGAGTCATTGGCCAAAGATGCTCCATTTGCTTGGTGTGTGGAAGAGAACTTACTAGACCTTCAGCGGAAATTGAATGCTGTGGAATTACAAGAAACCACACTGGGCTGAGCAGTAGCTTTTTTATTTTATGTAGCCATGGAACCGACACCAAAGTGAACACTATAGAGAAATCACATTCGTCTGAAGATAGGCAAATGCTTACATTGGGTTTTCTACATTTGCATGTCAGTTTGCTAGACCTCGTGAGACTTCTTCAGCATTTTAGTGCAGATTTCTCCTCATAAACATGCACATTTGTTTTGTAAGATGTTTATCCAACCCTAAATATTATTACAGCCAATTTCCTCTAATGTAATGTGTTCTATTTTCACTAATATATGAATTTTTAAATGCACACTTTCCCCTAATATATACATTTGCATAGATATTATGTGGTTGGGGAAATACTGCACAAAATTCAGAGAAAGTGAGAATTTCAAAGGATAGCTGTCTTTCGTTTCACAGATTGGTTTGGGGAAGTGTGAATTCAGTAGGTTCATGTTAAAAGTGAACTGAACTGAATTTCCCCTCCCACCCCTATCTCTCATGAATGTAATGTGTGAACAAGCCCACAGGTGTGCACTTCTGAGATCTCACTGAGGATGTGTGTTCCTGCGAAATCTACCAAGGCAACAAAACAGTCGGGTTAGCAATGGGGCTTGCCTGCCATCTGCTGTTCAAATAAAAGATAGAATGTTTAAGAATAAATCCTTGAACAGACCATGGCCAGTTCAAACACTCTGTGGGAGTAACAGTTCTCTAAAGCTGGCATTAACTATAGCTTCACATACTCTGAGAGATAAATGTTCCTGTTTGGTGAGCCTCTGTGCTCATCTTCATTAACCTAGTAGCCTCCGGATGTTTTGGACTACAACTTCCATCAGCCCCAGCCAGCAAGGATGGGCTTGATGGGAGCTGTGGTTCAAACATAGCTTCAAAAAAGCTGTGTAGAGCACCAGGTTGCTGAGGGCTGCCTTGTGCTGTTTTAGCAACTTAGCACAAGCATGGCTCCCAGTAACAAAGACCCAAGTGGCTACAATTGTGCTCAGCAGTAGCTGGTAAAGCAGCCCAAACAATGAAGCAGCCATCTCCCTTTGCAGTAACCATCAGGAGGAATTCCCATCACTAAACACCAGAAGGCAGTGATTATGGAAGCAGAGGGTGCTTCAGTCAGCGCCATGCAGGCATGTGGTCCTAAAATTGGGTAGCCAATTGGCTCGCTGACAGCAGCTTGGTAAAGGATGGCTAGCCAATTGGCAATCTCATGCCCCTACAACCACTTTCTGATGCCCCTGCACACACTGGACTGCAGTGGCAGCTCATCCTTCCCACTAAACAAAAACCCTACTTCAGCGAGGGCACCAAATAGATCTTAGACTTGGAGCCAGGTTCACCTCCCTAGGAAGAGCATTCCAAAAATGGAGAGCCACTGCTGAAAAGGCCTTTTCTTGTGCTGTCTCCCTCTGTACCTTCCCCCGAATGGAGTCCTCTGAGAAGGGCTTCTGAAGATGGCAAGAGGGTCCAGGCAGGTTCATATGGGAAAGGGTAGTGGGGTCCTGGGCTATATAAGACTTGACAGGTTAAAATCAGCCCTTTGAATTTGGTATGGAAACCAAGCACAAGCTTGTGTAGATGTACCAGTGTTGTAAGCTTGGTCCTCCTTGTCATAGTTATAAGTCTAGCCACCAAATTAAGCTCCAGCTTCTGAACTATCTTCAAAGTCAGCCCCACATAGAATGCATTGCAGTAGTCTAGTCTAGTACTGCTATAAACTGCCTTTTGCCATGCATGTGGTGTTACTAAACCACACAGCTATGAGCACAAGAGTCTCCTTTCCCCCGTATCTTTGGAGATATACATTTTATATCAAAATAAAATTGGTAGATGACGGACTTGCAGGCTAGCTATGTAATCCACCTCTGACTTATACATGGTTAGTCCAGTCTGAAATGTAGGGAGAATTTACCAGAAAGGGAGATTGAGGATTTTCTTGGGACTTTCATTTTGCAACGACACTTTACAATTAGCTCTGGATTCAGAATGTCACTGTGGCATTGTCTACAGTAATACCGCGCCCTAGACAACAAAGGAAAAGAAAAATCATCTGGATTAAATTTAACAGGACAGAAATTAGTCAGAACAGTTATTTTTATGTATGCATTTCCTTGTTTATTTGTGGTCAGTATTACTGCATTGCATTGCATTTATATCCTACCCTTTTCTCCAAGGAGATCAAGGTGGTGTGCATGGTCCACCCCACCCACCCCACATTTAGTCTCCAAAGCAACCCTGTGAAGTAGGTTAGGCTTACAGGCAGTGACTGGTCCAAGGTCATCCAGTGAGCTCCCAGCCAAGTGGAGGTTTGAACTGGTAATTTGAACCACTCTAACCCCACACCTGGGACGTGGGTGGCGCTGTGGGTTAAACCACAAAGCCTAGGACTTGCCGATCAGAAGGTTGGCGGTTCGAATCCCCGCGACGGGGTGAGCTCCCATTGTTCGGTCCCAGCTCCTGCCAACCTAGCAGTTCAAAAGCACGTCAAAGTGCAAGTAGATAAATAGGTACCGCTCCCATGGGAAGGTAAACGGCATTTCCGTGTGCTGCTCTGGTTTGCCAGAAGCGGCTTAGTCATGCTGGCCACATGACCCAGCCAATAAAGCGAGATGAGTGCCGCAACCCCAGAGTCGGCCATGACTGGAACTAATGGTCAGGGGTCCCTTTACCTTTAACCCCACATTGGCTGTCTTTTCTTTTGTTGTTTTGTTTTTGCCTGCTTTTCAACATAGGTTCACAATGCATATAACATTTTTAAAAAGCAACCATAAAACTCACTGAAAATAGAAAAAGTAAGAATTCTTGAATGCTTCCAGAATATGTGTACCTCAACCTATTTTAATTTTCTAAATGCTTCCAGAATAAAGTTTCTGTTTTGGTTTTTAATATATTTCATAAGGCTAGTTGTATGTGGAAAATAGGTGATAATGAAAAAAAATGTATCTAGTTGTGTGTGGCAAGGGAGGGGAAAGAGATAGTTCTGAACAGTCTGGACAAAAGTGTCAAGGGAATTTGACTTTTGGGAATTCGACAGTTAGGGAAATTAGGCCAGGGGGTGGAGAGGAGGGAGAAGGAATGGTGGGTCTTGTGAGGATGAAGAGAATGTTATTATAAATTTGTGAAGTGCATCGGATGAGGGGAGATTGGAATTAAAGTCCTGGGGGTGACTATGGTGGACAAAGATGGAAAGCTAGGGGGACAGAATGCTTTGTAAGGTACAGAGAGATCGAGTAGAAAGGACTGCAATGTTGATTCATTTTATGGGAAAAGATACAGGCCTGTAAGAATGTTATATGGTGGAGAAAATTACTTCATTTCACCTCTCCCAATTCTGGGAATAGTAGTGAAATGTGTGTGGGGGAGAGAAATGGCGGTCAGGCGTGTCATTCAGGAATGTATATCCTTATATGTCTGGTGTGGGAAATCTTTGACCCTCAATATATTGCTGAATTCCTATTCCCATCATCTCTGGCCATTGACCATGCATGCTGGGCTGATAAGAGTTATAGTTCAGCAACATCTGGAAGACCAAAAGTTCCCCACACCTATTATATGTGTTGTGCATGAGTCAAGGCTGTCTTTGTGTTGGGGGAGGATATGTGCATTTTGTTGCATGCTTTCCCTGACAATATGCCTTTTGTAGCATTTTTTTTAAAAAAATAATGCAATCACAAAATTTGTGCAAATTTCAAAGGGCAGAATTGTGTGGGTTTGCATATTGTTTGGAAACTGCAAATTAGGTAGGTTCACATTTAAATGTGAGATTCATCCGCATCTGTATTCACCTGTATATATAAACGATGAGAGTTTCCCTTCTTTGGTTGTGAAACACAGCACAAAATAACACTGTTACAAAGAACACCTGCCCAATGTTTGACATCCACTCCAATGTTTAACAACTTAGAATATAGTTCAAATATGGATGCAAGTAATTAAAGAAATTACCTTCTGAGTTGCACTGCAGATTTGGCGATGAAAAAGCCCATTGTGTCGAAATGGAGTTTAATAATGGAAGGTGGATTGATCAGGATGCTATTGTAAAACAGTTTGAGAACAAGAAGAAATGTCATTTAAGCCTCCCTTAGTTTACTGTTTAAACATTTGTATTAAATCTGTACAGCTGCTACATGCAGAATCAGAGGCTAGGAGGTGATGGGGAAAGATGATCTTTAGGGCAAACGGAGGGTGCAAATGCAGATTTGTCCAGGATAACTTGAAGAGCTCCCCCAATTTACTGAATTCAGTGTCTCCAACAAAATAACTCCAATATTCTATCCTGGTGACTTACTTCTTCTATGGAAGGCAAATATTTACATGAGCAAAAAAAGAGAAAAAAGTAGAGAAGCCTTGGATGCAGTGCCCAGACCTTAGCAACTAATCTGATTGTTCCATCTGTCGAGTGGGGTGACTACTCAATAAGCCAAACAAAGCAGGCAGAGACTGAATTGGGTTTAAATCAGGGGCAGAAAACCTGTTTCCTCCAAATGTAGTTGGACTCCAACTCTCACCAGGCCCCTGCCAGCACCAGGGAAAGATAGGATCTGTAGTCCAGCAAGGGGCGTAAGTACCCCATCTCTACTCAAAGTAAGTGAATCTGCTATCACATCCAGAGTTTCACCACTTGAATTCCCTACATAGGCATTAAACATAGAATCATAGAATTATAGACTTGGAAGATACCCTAAGAATCACCTAATTCATCCTCTGAAATGCAGGAAAATGCAGCCATCCCATACAGGGATTGAACCTGAAACCTTGGTGCTATCAGCACCATGCTCTAACCAATTGAGCTATCCAGGCTGACATAATGGAGTGGTGTTTTGCCTTTTCAAAAGCTCGCCCACACTTCCGTTTGTGTCACCCCTGAAAAGACCCACTCTTTAGCGATAGATCAGAACAAACGACAATCCAGGGCAAGTCCCGATTGCAATTTGCTCCAATTCAGCTCTAAAAAGCAGTTTTCCCTGGAGGAAAGCTGTGGGACAAGTATGGATAAGCCCCATGGGCTTCTGTTGGAGATAAGAAGAAAAAAGTGTTTGGGAGGGGTTATGTTGGAAGAACAAAGATGCTTTAGATCTGATGCCAGCAGGGTTGGGGCAATTTTGTAATGTACAGCCTCCCCTTGGCATGGCTACTCTGAGGCCCAATGTGGCTCTCTTGTCCCAGTTTATCTATACATCAGATATTCCTTCCTCTGCTTTTCTGTAGTCTCACAGCAATCTGTCCTGCTCAGGTCCTAGGCAGGTTGCTCTGGCCATGGTGACATTCCAACCTAAAGATTTTACAATATCATAGTTAATCTTGCTAAATGCAAGAAGTTCAGAAGGATAGGTGCCCACCTATTTCCTTGCATGCCAGATCGAAACTCGATAGCAAGCAGCATGAGATCCAGCTTCAAAAAGCACAATCTAAGAAAGAGATTAGTTTGTGTTATTGACAAAGGAACAAGCAAGTGAAGAAAGGAGGGGAATCTGGGGGATTCAGAGTAGCAACCATTGCTGAAAACTGTATCAGTTCTTAAAACCTGCTGGAGACATTTGCGCAGCAGGTAAAACACAATGTGAGTGAGCTGTCCCATGAGCTCTACTTGGGAAAAATGATTATTATGCATGAGTGAAGATCAAGACCATGTCATCACACACTAGACCCATCCATTGGCTTGCTTTGCTTACAACACAAACCCCTGGATGGAATGAGGCCCATAAGCAACAAGACTTCTGAATACCAGTGGCTGTGAAGCATGAGTAGGACAGTGTTGTGCTCATGTCATGTTTGTGGGCTTCCCACAGATATCTGATTTGTCACTGTGGGACCAGAATGCTGGACAAGATGAGTCTGGTGTGACCCAGTAAAGATTTCATGTTCTTACTAATCAACTAAGGCAGTGGTAGTGGGAAATCCTGGACTTACTTGGCCACGTCTTTGAAGGACATGTCAATAAAATCATTGGATAGAAGCTGAGTCATCACTTTATAATCCTGGCCTTCTATTTCATGTAGGTGCTTATTCAAAGTGATCAGTTTCTGTAACAAATATCATCATTGTCATCATCATCTGGCCAACTAACAACATCTAACAACTAAGTTAGATGAAATGCACTCTGATTTTATAAGTTTGTTGTTTGCTTGCTGTTTTAACATTTTGATTTCACTGTCAATTTCATAACACTATTTTTGTTGTTGTTTAACTGCTTCAAGAACATTACTGTACCATTGATATAAATAGATATAACACACATTTATTTTATTAAACCTTGTTCTAGCCTTGTCGCATTCAAATATATATGACCACACACACACACACACCGTATTTTTCAGTGTATAAGACTATTTTTTCCTAAATTTTCGAAGTTTAAAATAAGGGGTCGTCTTATATACAGATAGTGCATAGTGTATTTTCTTAAGTTTGGATTAAAAAAAATAGGGGTCGTCTTATACATGGGGGCGTCTTATACACAGAAAAATATGGTGTGTGGGTGTGTGTGTGTGTGTGTGTAGAGATATATACACACACACAGTATATATATATATATATATATATATATATATATATATATAAAAACACACACACACACACACACACACACACACAGTGGTACCTCGGGTTAAGAACTTAATTTGTTCTAGAGGTCTGTTCTTCACCTGAAACTGTTCTTAACCTGAAGCACCACTTTAGCTAATGGGGTCTCCCGCTGCCGCTGCGCTGCTGGCACACAATTTGTGTTCTCATCCTGAAGCAAAGTTCTTAACCTGAGGTACTATTTCTGGGTTAGCGGAGTCTGCAACCTGAAGCGTCTGTAACCTGAAGCATACATAACCCGAGGTACCACTGTATAGTAATATATATTTGATCATATCTAACTATCGCCATATATATTTGATGGTATCTATCACCATCTGTTTTGCCATTTGAAGTACTGAGGGGAAGATTGGCTGGTGTCTCACACCAAGACAGGCTGTGCCCATGTTCCCAGGATGTTGAATGTATGAAGCATATTTTATTATAATGTAGTCTGTATAAACAGGTCAGACAGCACCTAATCAATCCAATATTAACAGAACAACCTGGAATTGCTGGCTCTTTTCATGTCAATGTTCTCCTCGAGAATAAGATTGATGCTATTACACTGGCTGTAGCAAAATTCCTCTCAGAGGCAGTAAAAATCAGAAATCAGTATGTATAGGCTAAAGCTCCTCTGTTGCCTAGCAAGGCCAAACTTACACCTTATTAACTGTTGATATATACTATTGTTGCACTGTGTGCGTTGAGTCTACGGACAGCAAAAAAGCTGTGTGTGTGTGTGTGTGTGTGTGTGTGTGTATAGTGATACAGAGATAAAAGGGGGAAAGTGAGGGGGGACAGCAAAGATGTGAGATGTGTGTGTGTGTGTGTGTGTGTGCACGCGCACATGTGTGTGCAATGTAATATACTGCCATGCATTATTATATAAACTGGGAGTTGCATTCTGATCTACAGTGGTACCTCGAGTTACATACGCTTCAGGTTACAGACTCCGCTAACCCAAAAATAGTACCTCGGGTTAAGAACTTTGCTTCAGGATGAGAACACAAATCGTGCTCCGGTGGCGTGGCGGCAGCGGGAGGCCCCCTTAGCTAAAGTGGTGCTTCAGATTAAGAACAGTTTTAGGTTAAGAACGGACCTACGGAATGAATAATAATAATAATAATAATAATAATAATAATAATAAATTTATTATTTATACCCCGCCCATCTGGCTGGGTTTCCCCAGCCACTCTGGGCGGCTTCCAAAAGAATATTAAAATACTGTGATACATCAAACATTAAAAGCTTCCCTAAACAGGGCTGCCTTCAGATGTCTTCTAAAAGTCTGGTAGTTGTTGTTCTCTTTGACATCTGGTGGGAGGGCGTTCCACAGGGAGGGTGCCACTACCGAGAAGGCCCTCTGCCTGGTTCCCTGTAGCTTGGCTTCTCGCAGTGAGGGAACCGCCAGAAGGCCCTCGGTGCTGGACCTCAGTGTCCGGGTAGAACGATGGGGGTGGAGATGCTCCTTCAGGTATACTGAGCCAAGGCCGTTTAGGGCTTTAAAGGTCAGCACCAACACTTTGAATTGTGCTCGGAAACGTACTGGGAGCCAATGTAGGTCTTTCAAGACCGGTGTTATATGGTCTCGGCGGCCGCTCCCAGTCACCAGTCTGGCTGCTGCATTCTGGATTAGTTGTAGTTTCCGGGTCACCTTCAAAGGTAGCCCCACGTAGAGCGCATTGCAGTAGTCCAAGCGGGAGATAACCAGAGCATGCACCACTCTGGCGAGGCAGTCCGCAGGCAGATAGGGTCTCAGCCTACGTACCAGATGGAGCTGGTACACAGCTGCCCTGGACACGGATTTAACCTGTGCCTCCATGGACAGCTGTGAGTCCAAAATGACTCCCAGGCTGCGCACCTGGTCCTTCAGGGGCACAGTTACCCCATTCAAGACCAGGGAATCCTCCACACCTGCCCGCCTCCTGTCCCCCAGAAACAGTACTTCTGTCTTGTCAGGATTCAATCTCAATCTGTTTGCCGCCATCCATCCTCCAACCGCCTCCAGACACTCACACAGGACCGTCACCGCCTTCACTGGTTCTGATTTTAAAGAGAGGTAGAGCTGGGTATCATCCGCATACTGATGAACACCTAGCCCAATTAAGTACTTAACCCGAGGTACCACTGTACAAGTAAGTTTGGGAGTGTCAGGTAAGTAGAGTCCACTGCAAAAAGCAGACCAAACAAATTCCTTCTGCATCCCTAGCTGCTATCCAGGTATCTAGAGGGCTGCAGGTTCTATGGAGAATCACCCTAGCCCATGGTGATGTCCAAACCTGTAAAATATATATCTGTTATTTATTTAACTGTAAACAGTGGAACAGCTGTACTGATAAATCTGCAGTAAGGAATGCTCTGGTTAACTCAACACCCATTAAAGAATTGGAAAATGAATTACCTTGGAGTCTTCCCTAATGAACAGACTGGTCAACAGTGTAGTCAAGCCGGGCACCACACAACTCTGTGCTATTAACGCAAGTTTGAGCTCAGCAAAGCAGATTATACTATCTCCTCTCCTCCAGTCCCAGTTGGGGATCTTTGGAAGGTAGACCTGTTTCAGGTGAAAAAGGGGGGAAATGTGGAAGGATGAGAAACAGCAGGATATTAAGTTTCCAATTAAAACAGACAAGCAGGAAGACTATGTGGCCACTAAGGAAGTGACACCCACCCTGGAAGGCTGTCAAGAAAGGAATGTGGCTCTCAGGCTGGAAACATTTTGCCACCACTGGTTTCTAACCACATAGTTTTACATTCATTTGCAGCATTTTGTTGGTGTCTGAGTCACTAAGGCATCACATGACACTTTGGAACAACCTCACTTCAACTTGGGATGGTGACTGAGACATTCCAAGAATATCTCTGAGTTACCACACTTTGGCTTAGGATTTGGGATTTGTCTGAAGCTGATATACACCACAGATAAATAGACAGCCCAACCTTGTTAGACGACTGGATGATCTGTATTATGACTTTGGTGTTTGGGAAGTGATTCTTGATGGACAGTACCCTGCATGAAAAAGAAAATATTTGTAGTTCTAGAACCATGAATCCCACCCACCCACAGAATCAGAAGAAATGAAACATGTTCACTAACACATTCTACTCTGAATGTTCTGCTTCTGAGATCCATGCTGAAGGTATTTTTATATGTTTTTTAAAAAAAATCATAAGCCAATGTGAAAACTAAACTTATCATTGGAAAAATTAAAAATTGAAACTAGGATTGATAGACTTCTCCATGCTTAATCTTGATACAGTATGTATTATACAGATGACTGAGACCCAGTTCTCACTAATGTATTAAGCCTAAATCTCATTTCAGCCACTCCAAATTGCAGGTAGTGACTTACATAAAGGAATAGCCCTCCATTAAAAATATTCTTCTCAGAGAGTAAGGTTTTAGCAAATAAAATTGGTAGATCAAGAAGATGGCTATGTTCAGAGTTTTCCTTACAAATACCTAAATAGATAGATGCATTCACAACTGTGTAATTCTCCACAAGCAATCTAATGTGATTCACTCCACACACAGGTGTACTAGAAGTAGGCCTGTATCTGCTCTACATAAAAACATGAAAAAGGAATCTGAAAAGCAGAGTTTAGCTCTAGAAAAACCTACATATCACCTGGTCAGTAGAACTATTGTTCCTATTTAAAAAAATGAAAGAATAAGCAACCTACAAGACAATTTTTTAAGATGGTTTGGGTTTATGGTTTCAAAGCTTTACTAACGGAACTTGTTCCAAAACAGACACAAAACAATCAATGTTACATCCAGAAAGTTGTATAAAATCACGTTTGTCTAAGTATAGGTTCAGCTTCTTACAAATATAAAATAACTATGATCAGAGTTAAAAACAAAGCTCTGTCTTTCTTGTCGCCTGCATTCCAGCCTAAGACGATGTTCACCTGAAGAGAAATCATTATCCCATCCTTTGTCCTCTGTGGCTTTCAGAAAAAGAACAACTCTCCTCAAAATGGCTATTTGCAACTGAATAAGTTTTTCATGTGATCTAAAATTAAACACCACATGAGAGAGCAGAGCAGAGATACTTTAACAGTTAAACACTAACCCATCAGAGAGCTTTTCTTTAACTCCTATGGCAATTCCCATACCTCTTTAGCAATACGTAGAGAATCATTTTCTATTTCAATGCACAATTAAACTATTATACTTAACACTATCCCCCCCAGCAACCCCCCCCATCTTACCTCATGATGTTAGTAGTATCCTCGATATAGGGGTTGGCAGAACATGTGTCAGCCAAGACAAGACATGCTTCAGCTTTCCCCATCTATTTCCCAACAAGAGAAGAGAGGGGAGGCTAGAAGTAAGCTGGCAGCCTAATCTTATTCATATTTACTCTAAAGTAAAACTGTGTTCAGCTGGGCTTAGTCCACCCATACATCTGAACAGGACTGCAGCTTCACCTTTGTACAAGCACTGCTGTTACTAAAAGTCTGGCTCTAATCTGAGCTGAGCATGACTCGCAAATAGGAGTTGCTCTCTGCCCTTATCAACCCTCCCACTATCAAAAATTCTTCTTGCTTCCCCTAAGAAAAGGGATTGGGGAAAATGTCATCCTCTCCAATTTGATACTTCATTCACAGGCAGCAGCAAATTGGAAAAAGGACATTTTGGTGATTTTCTTTTCTTTTTCAGGGGAGGACAAAAATATTGAAATTATTTCTCAGGAGTGAAGCCTGAGGTCTTCTCTGCTTTTCTAAATTTCCTCCTTGATTTTAAGCTTCACTGCTACATCAGAGCTCCCCTCAGTAACCTCAGGCTGACAACCCCTACAACCTAATGGGAGGGTGTGGTAGCACTTGGTGTGTGTGTGTGTGTGTGTGTGTGAATGTTTGCTTCCCGACCCTCCCTCCATCAGTTCACATAATCCAAATTCAGCTCAATTGTGCAATAACATTAAAGAAACAAACGCTCATATAAAGAGAATGGTAAGTTGCAAGGGCAAATATCTGTAGTGGGCAATTGTGAATGTTTCCCAACAGAATAGGGTAGGAATGGGGAGTGTGTGGCATTCTGGAGGTTGCTGGAATCCAACTTCCATTCTTGTTGGTCACTGGCCTACGAACTGGGGCTGATGGGAGTTTGAGTGCAACAACATCTGGTGGGCCAAAGATTCCTCATCCTTGGACTAGAAGAAGCTGCCAAATAATGGATGAAACCATTGACCCACCTATCTAAGTATCTACACTGAATCAGCAGCCACTGCCGCTACAATATAGTTATAATAACTATATACTGTACTGTATATATTGCCCCTTAGGAACAAATCACATGCTTTGGTTTAGTTTCAGTTTCCATTCTGGCTGTTGACAGTTGTTTTTTTATGCCCAGGCAGGAAAAGTTATTCCATGGTTCTAATAAAGTTTTCAACCCTTAGTTACTGGATGTTCGTATAATTACTACTCAAGCTTTGCGGGATAAATATTGGGGGGAAGTTCTGCTCATTCTGCATTCCTTTTCAACTCTGCCCCAGACTCACAGGGACTTGGGATCAACTCAAAATGGAGTGTTACTTTCCTAGTGCAGGAAGATTATTTCCAACTCAAACTCAGTAAACACCTGCAAATTACAAGCAGGGCTGTCGCTCAGTAGTATAGAATCAGCTTGGCACATAGAAGGTCCCACACTCATCTCTGGCATTTCAAAGTTAAGATTGGGAACCTCAACTGCTGCAGTATGGACAATGCTGAACTAGATGAGCAATTGTCTGACTTGGTATAATGCAGCTTCCTATATTTCTATCATTCCTTTGGTTCTGCAAAAGAGAATTCACAGCTAAGGCACTCTCCCATTAGACTCTGTTTGTGAAGAAGAGGAGGAAGTCCTACCTGAACTCTCTGCAGATCTTCAGTCTTCATCACAGAACCTTGGAAGAAAGTGGAATATGCAGCATAACATCTGAATATAGTTTCCAGTTCCAGACCTGGATCATTTCTAGATAGGAGAAATGTATGCAGAGAGAATGAAGGTATCCATCAATTCCTGAGAATGAATATGTATATATAGGCCTGTGATTCTGTGTCCATGCTTAGAATTTACTAGTGAACTGGTTAAACCAATTCATTTGTGAAGGTGATGGTCTTGGCTGGCCTCATCAGCATCTTAAAGGGATGTCTTACCAAAGTGACAACTGATTATGTTTTCAGGAGGGAAGCGTTCCCCGCCACCCCCACTTGGCTGGATGCCAGGTCATCTGATGAAGGAAGACAATAGGACAGAGGAATTTGTTTTTGGTGTTTGAGTTTTGACTAGGTTGGAAGCTAGTGAGAAAGTCTTGACTTTCTAGGCTGTGCTGAATCCAAGTGTATGCCTGGGGGGCTAGGAACCAAATGGGGAGGCAAGGTCTGTTGGAATGTTAATGCTGTGAGACCTTCTATCCTATGCTCAGGTTGTACACATGTATAAATAAAACCATAAACGCTACAAACATCATAGTCTCAGTTGACCTTCATCCCAAGGAAACTGAACCCTGGGTAAGCACTGGGGCACCCCTGGAGTCTCTCACCACTCAGATACTGGGGTATGTGCAACAATATATGATTGCTTTTTCAGTACAATTCTAAACATCTGCAGTAACACCCTTGGAAGAAAGTGTGTGTGTGTGTGTGTGTGTGTGTAGCTGGAGCAACAAGAGTGAAGCAAGTACTAAATCAAGTAACCATTTTGCCCATCCTGAAAAGTTCAAACCCATCATTCCCTTTCAGCAAGGCAAGGCCCCATTGAAAATTAACCAAGAGTATTTTGTTTGTATTTCTCAAGTACTTCCAACCCTACCTCCTTCTGTCAGTCACCCAGAAAAGGGATCCTTGCTAAAATAAGTGGAGGGGGGTGTCCCCCTATGGTTGGGCCTTTGACCTGTGGCACAACAGCTATGGATGTTACTCAGGTACCAGTTCAGATACTTTATGCATCCATAGGTAAGAGGAGTGGTTTTGGCTGTTCCTGTGTTACTTGCTCAATAAAGTAGTAAGAGATAGGCTTTCTCACTGCAATTTCATTGTGACAGTCAGCCACACTTGCTGAGTGCTTTGCTTTGCTTGTACCCTAAACATTTGGTGCAGCACTAAAGAAGGTTAGCATTATACATTCATACAATGCAAGGTACTTAAGAATGGTAGTTGTGTTGCTAGTAGATGCAAGAATTAATGCAATTTCCACTCCAGGAATCTGGATGGTATTGTATTTTTTCCCCATTGAAATCAATGTGATATACTTACTCTCCCAAAAAGACAATCTCAGTGGCAACCTGCCCAGAGCCTGGGGCTAAAAAGTCCCTTAGGAAAGTAGTTACGCTGTGCAGAGTGATATAACCACAGACCACAATATATCTGCAGGAAGAAGAAATGTCCACAGATCATTTTCTTGTCTGGAAAATGTAGCACAACACTACAAATTAGGAAACTGCAGACCAACGTAGCTGCCACCGTGACAATCCAAATCTATATTGAAGTCTGCTTAGAAGCTTTTGTTAATTAAGCAGTATATAATTCTTAAGAAAATAATAATACAATAAATATTGCAAATTGAGATGTATGCATGTTCACACACAAATACACCCCACTGAATAAATGAGTCTTACTCCCAAGTAGGCATATAGAAGCTCCTTGTCTAAATTTGATTGATTTTGCTATTTATCTATTTTAAAAGTAATTGTGTTTTATCAACCAATATCTAAGGTACTTTTTTATTTAATGAAGGGACAAAAGTAGGTTGAAATCTAAAGTTCTATACTTCACATTGCTCCACCCCCAAACATCTGCATGTAGTGCTGTCAAGCTGGGACTCAACTATGCTTCAGTGCTTTGCGATTTATATGCTGCACCAGAGCATAGAAAACATTATTTGAAAGCAAGATTCTACTGCCCTAATCTACATTCATTTAGAGAAAACAGCATTTCTTGTTCAAATAGCAGGGGTAAAAAGATTTCCCTTGCTCCATTCCTTTAGTGTTCTGTTGGTTTGATCCACCCTGTTTTGCATTCCTCATGAATCCCACTCTATTTCTGCTTGCTGTGATATTTACTCAGATTTTGATTTTTCAAAAAGTGCGCTTGCAGATTGGTAAAACACCATACAAAAATAATCTTGATGAAATTATGTTTTCATTCATATAATGTATGGCTTTTTATTCATATGATGTTATGTCTAATGATATAATCATGATATCACATATTTAGAGAGCAATCCTATAGTCCTTGGAAAGATGTCACAGAACCCAAGAGATACTGCAGATCTGTCAATGTGCCTTGCATAGAAGGAGGTCTATGCTTGCAGACTACTCCATCGTGGCGGTGAAAACCTCCTTCACATTTGTCAATCCATGCAGGGGCAGAGGAAGGCGGGGGTGGGTTGCCCCGGGTGTCACCACTGAGGGAGGTGACAAAATGCCGGGTGGCACTCACCGCGGGGCCTGAGGCACGCCCGAGCCACGCGTCTCTCCTGGGAGTGACGTGGTGGCTTGGGCGCCTGCAGGCTCCGTGTTGCCCAAACAGTCTGCCAACCGCCTCCCCCTCAGCTGTAGGGAGGCTAAGTGGGAGGAGGCAGGCAGACTCCTCAGAGGGCCCGCGGAGCGTCCTGCCCCGGCTCACCCCACCCTGCAGGTGGCTGGCCCCGCCCCTGGGTGCAGGCCATGCACGCCACCTCAGACGCCCGATTGGCTTGCTTTGCCGCTGAATCCACTGTCAGTTCCAAGGATGATAAGAACAAAAACAGATCATTTCATTCCAGGGTGGATTGGGAAAGGCTTTAGAGCCACTGGATCCACAGCTCTCCCACTCTCCTGACGTGGTTCCATCACAAGTTGGAAATGCAGCAGCCCTGGAATTGGCATACTGATTTCCTTTCTGTTTGGGAGCAATGGGAGGAAAAATTGGTGGGGAGAGGCACTAAAAGATGAAAATATGGAGAAATGCACACACACCCACCCTTTTGCTTCTGCCCCATTGGTTTGAGCTCAGCATGGCTTTGGATTTCACCATTCATGTCCCTAGGATTGTATCCCAGCAGTGCAGCTCAAAAGGATTCCTCTTCCTAGCAACATTTTGGTTATATTCTCTATTTTGCCTCAGTTTGACTTTATTTATTTATTTATTTATTTATTTATTTATAAAATCTCTTTAAATTTTTTTTTAAAACCCCACGTGTGGTTAGGAAAGGGCATTGGGAAAGCAAAACGATGCTCACGGGAAACCTAAAATTCTCTAAGGAAGAGATGGATGGGCTGGAGGGAGAGAACAACTAAACTTAAATGTGGACTAAGTGCTTTTGGAATACAAGTTGTTTTATTGCACTCTTACATTTCAGATAATAAATGTATAATAAAACTGTATACAAAGAAAAAGATTATGGTTCCCCCCCCCTCCATTTACAACAGACACCTATGCTGTATGGAAGAAGAGTAGAGCGGGACGCTTAAGAAGACACAAGTGTGCAAAGACATCCCACTGTCTATGTGCCCTAAATTGCTATTCTTTTGACATCTACCCTTCACCAGCAGGTTCCAGAGTGAATTATAACCATTTAACATTCAATATTAAAACATCTAGAGCAGGTTACAGTCACAGGAAGAGGGTAGGTCCTGAAGACACCTATGTCACGTGTGAAAGTCAAGGGAAAGGAGATGTGCCTTCAGCATATGTACAGTATAAAGAGGGTACCAGACACAACCTCTGTGGGGAGGGAATTCCACAACCTAGGAGCTGCCGCAGAAAATGCCCAATCCCTGACCACAACTCCCCAAACTTATGAGGGTGGTGGAACAACCTAGAAGCACCCGTAGAGAAGGAGGAGTTCTTTCAGATATTTGGGGTTTGAGTCATTTAGGGCTTTATAATTAAGGGGAGCACCAGGAATTGGGCTCAGAAATGAACTGGCATCCAATACTCACAACCTCTTACTCAACAGCAGCCAGTATGATCAAGCAATACCAGTCACAATAAACTTTCACATTCCGAGCTGTTGTTGTTGTTTTAGCAATTAAAATAAAGGAGAACTTGAATTTACTCACTTTCTGCCTTTCACAGCCACGTAGGAACCCTTGTGTAGTTTAGTGCTTCCAACAATGTCTACCATTTCAGGCACCAAATTTGCAAAAAGCATCTAGGACAATGGAAAAATACAAGCTCAGTTAAATGAAATGCCGGGATGAAAATTCTTAAGTAAATAAATTGGAAACCCAAGGACATTTGAGGAAGAAAAAATAAATGTTAGCACTGAGGCTATTATTCACCATACATTTAGAAGTCTTGGGAAGAGCTGCGGCTCAGTGGTAGAACATCTGCTTTGTATGCAGGAAGCTCTGGGTTCAAACTTCAGGTATCACGGACTGGCTGGATGCTGAGAAGTGGTGGGAGGCACCAGTTGGGGGACCCCCAAGGGACCCCCATGGGGAAGAAGGCTCAGAGCCAGGGGATTGGTGGCGGGACGACAATGCGTGTTCAGAGGGAGAAGAAGGAGAAGATTGGGAGGTGGAAGCGTCAGAAGTAGAAGTGGTAACAGGATTTAGTGAGGAGGAAAAGACTTTGGCAGAGAGCAGTTCAAACTCCAAGGCTGCAGCAGAGACTGGAGAGAAGGTTGGCCAAGAGGCAGCGTTGAGATAGGCTGTGGAAGAAACCAGGGAATTTCCCCTCTTCCTGCAACCAGCTCTCCTCCCCCTTGGTCTCCTAGGACATGCAGAGAAATGAAAAGAGCAGAGCAGAGATTGGTTGTGTATAGATGGAGTTTGCAGCTGCTTGGGAAAGACTCTGGAGAGGAGGAGCCTTAGGGGAGGCTTCCTCAACCTCAGCCCTCCAGATGTTTTGAGACTACAATTCCCATCATCCCTGACCATTGGTCCTGCTAGCTAGGGATCATGGGAGTTGTAGGCCAAAAACATCTGGAGGGCTGAGGTTGAGGAAGCCTGCCTTAGAGAGTGGTGGGAAGGTGGGGAGCTTCAGTCCTCACAGCTACCTCGTTGGAGTAAGGCCTATTGGGAAGAGTTGCTGGGATCACAAGGTCTGTACTGTTTTGGTTTCTTTGAAATTAAAGGGACAGATACTGTTTCAACCTATGCTTAACTCTGACTCCTGGCACCAGGTAGGGTGGGAAGAGACTCCTGCCTGAAATTCTGGAGGGTCACTGCCAGTCAGTGAAGACAATGCTAAGTTGGTCTGATTCAAAAGAAGACTGTTTCCTGCACTTCCTAGTACACATAAGATGTCATTGACCTGACACACTTAATGAACTGAAATTTCTCAGACAGAAATTCTGACCAAGGTTTTGAGGAAATGGGGGGAGGGAACTTTCCTCTTGAACTCTTTGAGAATCTCAGTCCTCCCCTTGAGATTATTCAGCAATGTGGCCTCCTCCATCATGTCATCTGTCAGTTTGGCAAATGAGTTACTATAGTGGTTTATGCACTTGAGAATTGCTACTTAAAGGTGCCAATGAAAAAAGGCTGTTCTGTAATGCATCAAATTAGGTAGAACTAAAGACCTCAGATACAGGATTCTGAAGAAGACTGTAGAGCAGATCTGAAAGGGCTAAGAAATTTCTTACCAAGCCAGCAATGATGAAAATAATGATGAATGAACGCCCTAAGGAGGTTTTTACCACCACATCGCCATATCCAACTGTAGACATGGTTACCATGATCATGTATAAGCAATCAAAGTAAGTCAGGCTTTGGGAATTTTTAGTATATGCCCAGGGATCACCAGAATTTTCGATCTGTGCAAGAAACAAAAATAATAATGAATAAATTAATTAAAATAGAAGAAAAAAATGTTGTGTAAAAAAATAATTTCACCTGAAAGCCTGAGCCATTGCAGCCATTGCTTTACGTACCCAATGAAGAAATCCTGCAGCTGTGAGACAAGTGCTGACAGAGACAGCTAGGAGTTTGGACAGCTTGACTGCAGTGCTAAAGCGGCAAGGGAAGACATGACCTGAGTGCCAAAGTGCCAAAGTCATCTCTACTTATTCCTCCTAACATTACTCAGATGGGTAGAATCCCACTTGGGCACTGTACCACTATCATAAGTAATTTAACTGGAGATAAATATAGATCCATTCATGAATTATGCTTTACATTCTGCCATTTGGCCTGTGGTTCACACAAAGTGACTAACCACCAATAATCACAACATACTGTATGTATGAATTCCCCAACAAAATACCATTTTCCTCTTTATCTTAATTTCTCTCCAGATTTCAGAGTTCTAGGTTTTCTGCTATTGCATCCGAAATGGCACTAGCGCATTAGATTTTTTTTTACTGCTCTGTTTCAATTTTCATATGTTGTACACAGCACATTTTGCCATAGCTTTCAGTTCCTGCAGTTCATTTTTTATCTCCCCATCCATTGCATTTTAACCAACCTGCAGTTGTGTTTTGATGAAAAACTACAAAAAAGCAATTAATACAACTGCGTGTGCTCTTGAATAAAGACACTTTTTGTGTGTGGTGTTTTACCAATGCACAGTAGGACTCCCAAAGGACATGCAGGGCATGTAACAAAATGTTGCAGTGCAGCGTATGCAGGGTTCTAGCAAGCCAGCCATACCCACTTCCAGGATATACCATTCCATCCTTACCCCCAGGTTATGCATTCATTCCCCAGTCAGCTAGGATTCTGTGATCACTGAGCATGTTCAGTCCTCAATGGACTGTTTAGGGTCCCCCCCCCTAAAGTTGTTGTTGTTTCCCAAATCATAAAGCTTTCCCTGACCCTCTGATGCATGGATGAAGCCCTTTTGACTACATAAGAAACCACACTCAGTTAGAAAGCCAGTGTAGTGATTAGAGTGTTGGGATAAAGCCTGAGAGACCAGGGGTCAAATCCCCACTCATCAAGAAAATTTGCTGGCTGATCTTGGACCAGTCTCAGGCTTGTGCCAGTCCCAGGAACCATCCATGCTCATCCTCAACATGCTGCTTTTAATCTAATTTGATTCTAGATTCTTGCTATCAAGGTGAACCAAGAAGGAAATGGGGATTGTGATATTGGCATACACCTATGTGCAATGCCATTGGGCACATGTGTGTTTAAACACACACCTGTAGCCAGGACAAACTGCAGTGTAATGCAGAAGTCACCTGCAATGAGCTTTGAGCTTTTATTTTTGGAATGAGACCAGTTTCCCAAGAAGCACTTTTGAGGGGCAAAATATACATCAGATCTGGACTGTGTGCGGACTGCATAGAAGGTAGTCTCCATTGATACTGAGAATTAAATGTTGTGTGTATACAGCCTCAGGTAACGAGTTCTCTATACAGGATTCATGGTGATGTCAGGAGGACATTCCACAAGCACAGTGTGGAATTTAATTGGATCCGCAGAACTCCAAGGATGAAACACTCTAACTGGCCCCTGACTGCTGGAGAAGTTAGAATCATAGAATTGTAGAATTGTAGAGTTGGAAGGGACATCAAGGGTCATCTAGCCCAACCCCCTACAATCTGCAGGAAACTCAGCTAAAGCATCCATGACAGATGGCCATCCAACCCCTGCTTACAAACCTCCAAGGAAGGAGGGAGGGAGGGAGGAGGAAGTAGGAGTCCTTAGTCAAACCTCCACTGATTTATCTTTGGTTTTGTGCTGTCTCTCCAGTGCCGGATTTACGTATAAGCTAAACAAGCTATAGCTTAGGGCCCCACTCCCTTGGGCCCCCCAAAAAATTTAAAGGAAGAAAACCCTGGATGTACATTTCCAAAATATAAGATAAAAATAAAATAAAATAAAACCTACATACAGCAACAGTGTTTTGTGTTGTGTAGGCTCCTATTTGTTATGTGCAAATCATTTTAGATACCTCTTAAGTCCTTAAATTAAAATTAATTAAATTAAATTAAGTCCTTAAATTAAGTCCTGACCTAATGGTCAGGGGTCCCTTTACCTTTTAAGTCCTTAAATTACCATATGGCATATATTCAACAACAACAAAAAAACACACACAAAAACCAGCGACAATTTGTTGTTGACAAAGGACAGCTGGACATATAAAGGGCCCCATTACCTTCAGTAGCTCAGGGCCTCATCAAACCGACATCCGGCCCTGTGTCTCTCCCAACCAAAAGCTGTCTGAATCACAATCCTGTGTGCAAAACTCCACACTAAGCAATTGACTTGCTGCCCAGGCTATCAAAATCCCAAGGTGGGGAAGGAGGGACAGAAGGGAAATCTATTGCTTATGAGAAAGGTGGTATGATGTGAGTCTGACTTACGCAGTCGTCGTAATCTGGAGAAACTGTAAAATTTTGGGAAGTTCCATCAGTCTGAGTGCTCGCAAGAAACGTAAACCTACAGGAAAGGATGCAGAGTGAGGCTTTGTGAGCGGGGGTGGGTGGGTGTCCTTGTATTGGTGAGCATTTGCGCATAACTCCTGTTATTATCTGGTCTGCTACGCTTAGGTTGAAAGCCTAAGCTTCCTTACCTAGGTGTAAGTCCCACTGAACTTAGTGAGGTGGACTACTAGAGTATAGCAATGGTTCCTGATGGAAACAGGGTTTTGAGGAGAAGAGTTGGTAGTATTTGATGGTCAGCATGAATGTACTGAGTATTTGGTAGTATTTCATAGCTAATTACAGTGTCATTTAGCAGTATGTGCATCAGTTCCTTTCGTATCCTGAAATACAAGGTCAATTGGGCTGATTTTCAGAAAGTTCACATATTTCTGTGTTGCGCTGCACTATTAAAAAGGCATCCAAAGTTGGAGCAGGGAAAGCCTCAGCTTTTGAGTAACCCGGGGCTTCAGTTGTCCCTCACACAGGGGTGTTCCAAGGTGGGGGCGGGGTGTGTCTGCTCCGGGTGCCATTCCAAAGGGGGGTGTCACCCTGGGGTGACAAAATGGCATGCACCCCCCTGAATGTGCACCAAACCCCCCAGGACGTGTGCCACGCCCCCACAGGTGGCATGCCACGCCCACTGGGACGTGCGCTGCTCCGGGTACCGGAGCAGGTTGCTTCGCCTCCTCCCTCAAATCCTGTGGTTTTTCCCTACTGAAAAACAAAACCAAACAGATTGAGGAAATGCTCAGAGCTTGACAGGGAAGGGGGGTTCTTTAGGTTTGATGGGCAGATCTAACTTTTAACCACAACAATTATGTTCTCAGAGCACTCCAATTACAGCAATTTGTGGAAAGGAGAAGCCTACCATATCCCTCATGGGGACAGAAGCTTGCTCCAGTCAACCGTCCTTGGGGTAAGAGGGTCCTTGGTGTGTGAGTGAGAGAGACTGAGTGGTATTTTCCCTACCTCAGTCTTTCTTGGGAATTTATGCTGTTTTCTATGCAAGTTAATGGAAATATTGGTGTACTCACCAAGCCAGTTTCTTCCTAAATAGAAAGAGATACAGACCGGAGTAATGGTGAAGAAGTCCACAATGGAATTGAGTTCAACCCAGAAGGTCAACTTGTCACTTGCTGCAAAGAACTAGAAAAACTGCACAAAATCAGATGACACAAGGACCATATCTGTCTAGCTGTCTTTCCGCCCACCCACTCATCCAATATCCATCCTCCCAAACTAGCTATATACACCATTTCAGGGAGGGTGACTGGGTGAAGTTGCTGTTCAAAGCCTTTCTTCTTGCCTGCTTGCCAGCTGATGATCACCCACCATTTCGCTTCAGATTTTAGCCCTTCATATGAAAAGCTAGTACAGAGAAGGTTATTATACTGAATCCTGCATCCTTGACCTATCCTCTACTTTTTGTACAGTGGTACCTCAGGTTAAGAACTTAATTCGTTCTCAAGGTCCGTTCTTAACCTGAAACTGTTCTTAACCTGAAGCACCACTTTAGCTAATGGGGCCTCCTGCTACCGCTGCGCAATTTCTGTTCTCATTCTGAAGCAAAGTTCTTAACCCGAGGTACTATTTCTGGGTTAGTGGTGTAACCTGAAGCATCTGTAACCTGAATTGTATGTAACCCAAGGTACCACTGTATATGCTGGAAGCTGCCCAGAGTGGCGGGGGCAACCTAGTCAGATGGGCAATGTCAGAGAGCAGACTGAGGATTACAACTCTGAAGAGGAATGGTGAGAACCTCCCCCTCCCTGCTCTTTACCAGGATCCTGAAGCTGCTCAGGAACAGTGGAGCAGTATAGATTTAGAGAATTGGTTTGCAGAGGGACACGATTCAGAAAACAGCAGCTGGGCAGAGCTGAGTGTGAAACAGTTAGAAGAAGCAGAATAGGAAGAGAAAGAGATAACTGACTCCCCTTCTCTAAAGAGTGCCCAGCCTATCTCTCCAAAGGCAAGGAGAGCTGATAAGGTTGCTATGCAGAAGGCTCAATGGTTGCGAGATCAGGTTGCAAGAAGGGGAAGTGACGGTGACTTGGGGGGGGGGGAGGAGGAGGAAAACTTAATTGGGAGCACCTTAGCTCCGAGAATGGCTGCTGTGTTCTTTTGCTGTGATCATTAAACACTCTTAAACTGGTAAGGGTCTCTAAATGCTTTGTTCTGCTGCTGCTCGTCTAAAGGGGGGAGGAAGCCATTCTCCAAAGCCTGACAGGTGGGGTACAGATAATAAAATTCTTATGATGATGATTATTTCCGGCTAGGAATGGGGGAGAAATTGAATCCATTTTCATTTTCCCACCATTTATTTATTTATTCCCATAAAGCTTTTTCCTGATTCAACAAGATAAAGTGGCAGAGGGAGAGAGGGAGAAGAAAGAAAAAAAGGAAGAAAGAAAGAGAAAGAAAAGAAAAGAAAAGAAAAGAAAAGAAAAGAAAAAGGGTTTCCAATTCTCCCCTTGTTATTTATATAAAAAGAATTATTCCAATAGATTTTTATTGTCTATGGTTAATGGCCATCACAATACAATATAAGCACAAATCACACAGCTTCAGAATGAAAGACGTTGCATGCACTGGACCAAGACAAATCTACAATTTCCAGATTTTTTATTTTTTATTTTTTTTAAAAAAACATTCCTTCTGGTCAGCATCCTTAGGGTTTGACAGTTGCACTATCCATAAAGGTTGCCCTTTCTTGCTGCTTGAGCAAAAAGTGCCACCCTATAACTGATGCATTTATCAACATCTGCCACCAGCCATTTAATCTAAAAAACATCTGGTTGACCTAAGGTGGTCTGAAAATGGGGAGATAAATTTTGGGAAAGAAAAGAAAAAGCTTTTCCCATTCTCCCCCTGTAAGTTATATAAAAAGAATTATTCAAAGCATTTGCCCCACGATAACATCAAACTATTCTACTTTCTACAAACGAGTACTATCTCAATCTCCCAGCCCAAATATTGCGTTTTCATTTTCTTTTTCACACAAAAAGTCCAGAAGTGGTTCCTCATCTATGGAAAGCTAATTGGAAATTTACGGCATGTTTTACATTAAGGGAGAACCTCTAAAAGATGCTATATTGATTGTATTTAACCCCCTGTAAGCTTTCCAAAATGTACAAAATGTTCCAAATACATGTTGGAGATGTGGAGAACCAGGTGGAACTCTCCTCCACATGTGGTGGGTGTGTAAAAAGATTAAGACCTTTTGGAATGATATAGAGAGAGCGAGCTCAAAACAATGTTAAATGCATCTTTTCTGAAGAAACCAGAATCATTTTTATTGGACATTCCAGGTCCAGACATTGTTAGGAAGATAAGAAAAGTATTTCTGTGTGCCACCACTGCCACAAGGATACTTATAGCAAAACATTGGAAGAATGACAAAATTCCCACTAAATCTGAAAGCTAGTCGATCTAAATCTAGTAGCTTTCTAAATTAGTAGCTTTCGTAAATCTAAAGCTAGTAGACTATGCTGAATTAGACAGTCTCTCAGAAAAGATCAAAAATAAGTCAAAACAGGAGTTCATTTCAAACTGGGAACCTCTAAGGAGATATTTAAAGGATAATTGTTGCAATCTGAAATTGGTAGCAGCCTTTGAGTAACCTCTGCAAGTAATATAGATTAAAAGGGAGAAAATAGATTTATATATGTATGAAAATTATTATTTCATGACTAATATATTGAGGCAATAGGTTTATTAGAGTGGAAAAATTGGGAAAGGATGAGAAGTCAAAATATGTACTAAATATAGTGTAAAGGTAAAGGGACCCCTGACAGTTAGGTCCCGTCGTGGAAGACTCTGGGGTTGCGGCGCTCATCTCACTTTACTGGCAGAGAGAGCTGGCGTACAACTTCTGCGTCATGTAGCCAGCATGACTAAGCTGCTTCTGGCGAACCAGAGCAGTGCACGGAAACGCCGTTTACCTTCCCGCCAGAGTGGTACCTATTTATCTACTTGCACTGAGTGCTTTCAAACTGTCCATTCTTTTGTTGGATTTTCATTTTGACAAAACTGACATATGCAAAATAAGGAAGATATGTCTTTGATAGGGGACGCGGGTGGCGCTGTGGGTTAAACCACAGAGCCTAGGACTTGCCGATCTGAAGGTCAGTGGTTCAGATCCCCGTGATGGGGTGAGCTCCCGTTGCTCGGTCCCTGTTCTTCCAACCTAGCAGTACCCTGGGTATGGCACTCCACACTGTAACTTTATGTTGCAGTTCAGTTTGTTATTTCAGTTAGTGATGTGTGAGGTTCATTGTGGCTTACATTGGGGATTGGCTCAGATATAAGCTGGACTACTTTCCCACCAGGGACGCGGGTGGCACTGTGGGTTAAACCACTGATCCTAGGGCTTGCTGATCAGAAGGTCGGCGGTTTGAATCCCTGCGACGGGGTGAGCTCCCGTTGCTTGGTCCCTGTTCTTCCAACCTAGCAGTTCGAAAGCACGTCAAAGTGCAAGTAGATAAATAGGTACCGCTCTGGCGGGAAGGTAAACGGCATTTCCGTGCACTGCTCTGGTTCGCCAGAAGTAGCTTAGTCATGCTGGCCACATGACCTGGAAGCTGTACCCTGGCTTCCTCGGCCAATAAAGCGAGATGAGCGCCGCAACCCCAGAGTCGGTCACGACTGGACCTAATGGTCAGGGGTCCCTTTACCTTTACCTTTATGTCTTTGACGTACAGATGCAAGTTTGAACAATAAAGCATATATATATATATATGTGTGTGTGTGTGTGTGTGTGTGTGTGTGCGCGCGCGCGCGAGTGTATATGAAGCCAAAGGGGGTTCCCAATTATACAGAGGCTGGCTTCATTTGCACAGGTTCTTTCACATGAGCTGTGGATGAACTGGGCTCCTGATCACATTGATGAGGTTCTAGGTCAGCTGTCCCTTTGCAGGGCAGCATCTGTTATTTCTTTCCTCTGGGTGGGATGAGACCAGCAGCACCTCCTGGTCACTGAGAGGCTGCAGCAGAGGCAGCTTGGGTGGGCGACTGCTGAGGAGGCAGAATACCTGGCCTCCAAGGAGCAGACTGCAGATGTCACTGCCACCAGAGTGGCAGAAGCAGAATCTGTTGCCCCTGTGGATCTGACCACCTGAGGCAGTCACTTCACCATGCTTCATGGGTGGGCCAGCCCTGCTGACAGATGTCTCCCATCATGCATTTCATGAAGTGACTTTTCACCAGCCACTTGGGGGAAAAAAAGTTTAGTACTTCACCTGCTACTGAGAGTGTTGGGGCAGTGTTGGGGGAGATACATCTCCTCAGTTTTGCCATATGTTATTCTAACATCTGCACATTCCTTTATGCATGGCCATGACTTTCCCTATTAATTTATAAAAGAAAAATATTTCTTACCCGCAATCCAAAGTAAAAGAGGAAGAATAAATTGAAGAAGAGGTCAACAAAAACTGTCTGGTCTTCAAATGAGAGACAGAACTGTTTAACACTGGAGAAGAGAGGGAAAGGGATTCATTATTGTTTACAGGCCGATATGAATTCCCATGTCAGTGTAGTTTAATGGTTAGATTCTTGGACTGAGACCAGGGAGACCAGAGTTCTATGTAAATAATAATAATAATAATAATAATAATAATAACAATAACAATAATAATAATTTATTTATACCCCGCCCATCTGGCTGGGCTTCCCCAGCCACTCTGGGCAGCTTCCAACAAAATATTAAAAGGTTAAAATACATAACCCTGAGCTCATTGGATGAAATTTGGGATAGAAATAAATATTGTGGGACGTGGTTTGTTTGTCTGTTTGTTCCTCTGCTCTCTTTGGATTTGGATGCCACTTCATATACTATCACCAAACTCAGCATGAGGGTTCCTGAGGTGAAGAGGTGGTAGTATTTGCCAATGTTTGGATTTAGGGCACCATTTTGAATCAAGATGATGGACTGAAAACCTGATTTTAGCATGACTTCACCAGCCTTCTGGCATAGATTCGACCACATCTCAAGATACTGTCACCACAACCAATGCAAGCATTCCAGAGGTGGGGGTGGCAATCTTTGTCAATGATAGGATGCCAGGCACCATTCTGATTCAAGTTGGCAGACCAAAATATGACTTTGGCATGATTTCACCCATTTTTTTTTGTCATAGGTTCGTCATCATCTGGAGCCAGAACCAGCACTAACACTTATTCTAGGAGTGAAGCTAGCAAAAAAACATGGAAGACTCCTGTTTCTGGGCAAAGGCCATTCAGTGGGAATTCAGAAACTGAGAAGGGGCACCTCAGAAAGTGCTGTACTCTCCTTCACTGGGAGTTTTTAAACAGAGGCTAGATGGCAGGGATCCCTTAGCTCTGATTTCTACATTGCAGGGGTTGAAATAGATGACCCTTGATATCACTTCCAACTATAATTCCATGATTCTATGATATATATTGTAGGACAATGGAGGGGGAGTGCTGTTTTGCTTTAAGTCAATCCGTCTGAAACAGTTAAGTTACTAGGAGACGGGGCAGGTGCCTGAGATAAGCTGAAGTTCCTGGCTTTGTATAAAGAGTAAGAAGCTTTCTGTAATTTAGATTAGGTAAGGAGAGAGGTGGATTTTGGGGGTTCATCACAGGAGGAGCTGGATTTGTTGTTGTTGTTGCTGCTGCTGCTGCACTAATTTTAACCAAAGAGGAGGCCAACATGCCGTAGTTGCTTTTCAAATTAATATAAGCCAGGCTATTGAATAGGGCACCACACAGCAGCCAGTGTAGAGTCATGAGCGATTGGAGACATGGGCAATGAATGGTCCTTGTTTTGATAATGGAAGTCTGAGTGGAATGCTATGCTGTGGTTAATCTGGCCCATTTTATGACACTCATCACTACATTGACTTTTTTTCATGGGAACAATGGAACTATAATATGCTATATCTAGTCTCTAGGATTTGAGGAAGGGTTAGGGAAATACTCATCTGGAGATGACAGAGATCAAACCAGGGACCTTTTGTTTGCAAAGCATATGCTTGTAAAGCATATTAAGGTGTGACATATGCCTGACTCTCTTCCTTCAACCAGTATACAGTGGTGCCTCGCAAGACAAAATTAATTCGTTCTGCGAGTTTTTTCGTCTTGCGAAGCACGGTTTCAATTTTTTCCAAAAAATCTTCAAAAACCTCAAAAAAGGCTACCACACCGCGTGCTATGAGTTGCTCCCCGAAGTCAAGTCGCAACGGCACCTCTTCAAGCAATGCACCCTGTATTACTGTAACAGTTTTAAGAAAAAGGAAACAAACTTGCAAGACGTTTCCGTCTTGCGAAGCAAGCCCATAGGGAAATTCGTCTCACGAAGCAACTCAAAAAACGAAAAACTCTTTCGTCTTGCGAATTTTTCGTCTTGAGAGGCATTCGTCTTGCGAGGTACCACTGTAGACTGTGCAAGATTTGTCATTAAAAGCAAATTTGGGTTCAATGAGATATTCAGAACTGGCAGCAACTGAGGAAAACCACCCTCATGCTGCATCACCATGCTATGTCCCCTCCCAAATATCAACAAGTTGAATTTCACATTCCATTTGGCACCTTTGACAGTTTCCACATTTTGTGTTTTTGACAAGTGCAGAATGACAGAACGAAATTGCCAAAGCCATATTGATTTGTGCTTTTCAATATGATGTTGCTGTTTCCAACCCAGAAAAAAAAAAATCCCACTTTTCAAGATGTAGCCTGTACCCTATATCTTTTAGCTGGACCATATGCTTCAGTTGCAAGTATCTAACAGATACAGTAGCTGTTTTCTCACCATTTATTCCCCAGCTGCTCATGTGGGTCCTCAATTTGGAGTATTAGCGACTTTGATAGAATACCTTGTATTTTAAATTTCTGAATAAAGTATGGAATATAGTACTTTAATCTGAATGTGAAAGCCAAAACATACACACTGTGCAAACACACCACATAGTGCCGCTACTGTCTCCTCTGTGTTTGTTACCAGTAGGTTCCAAAGATCAATTCAAAGTACTGAGGTTGTTGCTTTAATTAAAACCCTACATGGCCTAGAACAAGAGTATCACTGTCTACTCACATATGAGCCTTTGAGCAAGAGTAACCACCAGCTCAGTGGTTAAACACATGTAAGGAGACTGCTGTTGCAATTAGGTTCTGATTGCAGGTTCCTCATGGGCACCTGGTTGGCCAAGTGAGAACAGGATCCTAGACTGGATGAGACTGAGCCAGAAGAGCTCTTCTTCTGTTGTTATGCTTCACATGCAAAAGGCCCAATCCCTGGCATCGGGAAGGGCCGTAACTTTATGGCAGAGCATCTGCTTTGCATAATAATAATAATAATAATAATAATTTTTATTATTTATACCCTGCCCTCCCCAGCCAAGACTGGGCTCAGGGCGGCTAACAACCAATAAAAAACAAGTTGATTGAAATGCAACTTAAAAAAACAAGATTAAAATACAACATTAAAACATTAAAATGCAGACTCATCACAGGAGGAGAAAGGAAAAAGAAAGAGGGGGAGGGAATCAAATTAGCTCCAAGCCAAAGGCCAGGCAGAACAACTCTTTCTTACAGGCCCTGCAGAAAGAAATCAGATCCTGCAGGGCCCTGGTCTCATGAGGCAGAGCGTTCCACCAGGCCGGAGCCAGTGTTGAAAAGGCCCTGGCTCTGGTTGAGGCTGATCTGACTTCCTTAGGGCCCGGGACCACTAGGGTGTTGCTATTTATGGACCTTAAGGTCCTCCGTGGGGCATACCGGGAGAGGTGGTCCTGTAGCTACGAGGGTCCTAGGCCGTGAAGGGCTTTAAAGGTCAAAACCATGCATGCAGAAGACCCTTGGTTCAGTCCCTGGCATCTCCAGGTAGGACCAGGAGAGACTCCTGCCTGAAGCTCTGGAGAGCTGAGGCCAGCCATTGTGGACAAGACTTAGCTAGATGGTCTAATGGTCTGGCTCAGAAACATAGGGAGCTGCCTTGTACCATTTCTGGGCAGGGTTAGGAAAGACTCTTGTCTGAAACACTGGAAAACTGCTGCCAACCATTGTCTGAACTATAGCAATCCAGGTGTGCCAATGGTTCTGACTGGTATAGGGAGCTTCCTATGAGGGCTGAGGTCAGCCTGAATCCTGCTACAGGTTCCTCTAACATCAGAAATATGACAAATAGTTGGGGGGAGAAGGCATTTTCTGTGTCCCCAAGGGAAGACCACCTGGCTCCATGTTTTGCTCACCTTTCAACCTCTGCTCACCGCATAGATAGATATTTTGGGGCATTTTGCCTCCAAATATAATTCTAGTGAGCATTTCTTGGAGTGCTCCTTCCCAATATAATTTGTGCATTTGATTTTTAATGTGATTGATGGATTACTGAGAGTTTCAATATGAATTTTAACATTGTCTTTTTATTATTATTTTATTTTTATTATGTTATATGTTATATTTTATTATTATTATCCTTCCCTGTTGCTTGTGTTTTTGCCATCTTGGTGATTTCAAGAGAAAAGAGGATACAAATATTTTGAATACCTATATCACTTGTTTTTTTTAAAAAAGCAACAAATTAAAAATACACTTTAGGATAGATATCTGAATTATAATTACCTTTGACAGTTGATGAAGTAAATGATGAGTGATCCAATGCTAAACAGGAACACCAGTATGACCTAAAACAGTGGAAACCGATATGAAAATCCAGCTGATTCTAAATCATGCCATTCAAATATCAAGATGCGAAACCATTTTACTCTCTTTTTAAAACAAGGATGGGGACTCTGTAGCCCTTCAGACCCACTTGGACTCTAACTCCCATTATCCCTGGGTGTTGCCTATGCTAGCTGTGGCTGGTAAAAAATAAGTCCAACAATAACTGGAGGGCACAAGTTCCCCATCCTTTCCTTTAAACTTCACTAAAATGTTGGGTGGATGTACACCTTATGGCTTTCATGTGCAGATTACTGGACACTTTATTTTGTGATGATACACCGTCTCTTTCCAAGCATATGTTCATCACACAGTTCGTACTATGCAGGAATGGTACAAATGGATTAATCTGTATCAAGCACTGTTTGTTTTTATATACATATTTTTCAGCACATGAAATTAAACATGTCCAGGAATGTACACAGATGTCACAACATAAATTATTATTATTTGCAACCATCATCAGATAAAATCTTAGGGTAACATAAAACAACCCTCAATTTTACACAGTGCATTCAATTTTACACAGCACACATAGAATAATAGAATTGTAGAATTGGAAGGGACCCCAAGAGTCATCTAGTCCAACCCACTGCAATGCAGGAATCTCAACACATGGTCCCCCATCCAGTTTGAAACCATAACAGACCCTGCTTAGCTTGCCAAATGTGCTAGCAGTTTCATTGCCACACTTTATATGAATTTGGGATTTGTAACTTCCCCTGGTTCCATTTTTTAAAAACTGTTTCTCTCTTTAACTTTGCCCTGCTGTCCACTCTTCCTGAATCTTGGTTTTAAATTATAATTTCTAAAACTAATTCAGGAATTGTAGCATGTCCAGGTTGCACATGTTTGCATTCATAAAACTCTGGGGAGGGGGAGGTTGATGTGATTGACAGCATGACTGCAATTGAAGTTGGAAGTGGTGCACTAATCACTGACTCTGTCCAGAATATGAGGCATCTACTAGTAGGGAAAAACTGGTGTGAATGCTCTGGTACACTCTGATCTTAAAATGCTATTACTCAGAATACAAGCCAATTCCACTGAAATCAATGGAGCTTACCTCCAAGCAAATGCTATTTAAGATCAGAAGTGGTCGGCTTCAATCCAAAGAACATTTAGCTGGAAGTAAAATCTATGAGGCTTAGGACTGGAATGTAAGTTTGTGATCTTTTGGGAGAGCGCAATCTGTCCATATATTGCCGTACATTGTCATTATAGGTCTTGAACTTTCGACAACAGAGATTTTGGTGGAGCATGTGGGCTTAGGGCCTGCATTTGAGCTTCCATATCATGTAATGCTGACCTCAAAGCAGAGGAAGTCAAATATTGCTTGGCTTGGAAATAAGCTGAGCTATTTTTTAGGGTTTGGTGGGAAAGTAAAGGTAAAGGGACCCCTGACCATTAGGTCCAGTCACAGATGACTCTGGGGTTGCGACACTCATCTCACTTTACTGGCTGAGGGAGCTGGCGTACAGCTTCTGGGTCATGTGGCCAGCATGACTAAGCCACTTCTGGAGAACCAGAGCAGCGCACGGAAACACCGTTTACCTTCCCGCCAGAGCAGTACCTATTTATCTACGTTACTTGCATTTTGACGTGCTTTCAAACTGCTAGGTTGGCAGGAACAGGACCAAGCAACGGGAGCTCACCCCGTCACGGGGATTCAAACCGCCGACCTTCTGATCAGCAAGTCCTAGGCTCAGTGGTTTAACCCACAGTGCCACCCGCATCCCTGGTGGGAAAGTAGTCCAGCTTATATCTGAGCCAATCCCCAATGTAAGCCACAATGAACCTCACACATCACTAACTGAAATAACAAACTGAACCTGCAACATAAAGTTACAGTGTGGAGTGCCATACCCAGGGTTGATGTTTTTGAGCTATTTTACGGAAAATCGGCAAAAACAACACAGCCGACATGGGTTGCCATATGTCTGGATTTTCCCAGACATTTTGATGAATTCTGCCTGGAGACTGCTTCCGACTGCAGTATTCTGGATAGGGTTTTTTCTCCTAACGTTCTTTTTCTTTTTGTACTTTGGAAAGCCTTGAGATTTTATTGAATCTGCCTGTACCTTCTGATTTTGCATGAGTGGTGTTGTTTTGTGGTGCCTGAACACAAGAACTGTGTATGGGGGTGGTTATCATATTGCAGCCCTGCCATCTCTCCTACTGCAGTATCATGTATATTCAAATAATCAGTACTTCTTCATGTCCCTCCTCCTCAAGAGGTCTGGAGGGTGGCAACATGAGAACGGGCCTTCTCTGCAGTGGCTCCCCATCTGTGGCATGCTCTTCAGAGGGAAGTTCACCTGGTGCCTTCATTATACACCTTTAGGCGCCAGGCAAAAACATTCCTTTTTAACCAGGCCTTTGGCTGATTTGATTGACATCCTATGCCAATTTAAAATGTGTTTTTGTGTGTGGGGGGGAAGCTATTGGGTTGTTGTTCTTATTTTTATTATGTAGTTTTATAGCTTGATTTTATTATGTGAACCGCCTTGAGACCCCCGGGTATAGGGTGGTATATAAATTCAAATAAATAATAATAATAATAATAATAATAATAATAATAATAATTTTACTTCCCTTCCCAATGCGTACATATTAATTAAACAACTCACCAGTATACGTCCCACAACAGTCTGAGCAGAGATCATCCTGACCACCCAAACCTGAAAGTGTCTCTTCCACAGATTTAACCTAGGCATCCTTCGAGTCTATTAAGGGGGAAAGAAAGGAGCTGAGTCCTTGAAAAGGGCCACAATCCACATTGCTGTGCTACAGGCAAGCAGCGTGCTCTCATCTCTCAGATTATTGGTGTATGCCCCTGCTACTTCTCCACATCCCCACTTCGCCACACAACTGAAATCTGCACAGCTGTCTCTGTAAAAACATGAGAACACTGACCAGGTGTTTAAATAGGGGCAGAATCTTTTGAGGAAACTGGGCGGGGGGGAAATGGCTTTAAAACTAAGCACACACCTGCTCATTTTGATCGTGCTGGTGAGCAAGGCAGATCTCCTATTGGAGCACCAAGCCCGAATATTAAATAACAGACACAAGTGTAAAAGAGGGTGAGAGAAGTGTGGTTTCTGGAAATATTGGAAACCCCTCAGCGTGTTGGTGTGTTAACAATAAAAACAAATAGAGAAAATTACGCAAATTCCGCTAACACTCCCCAATTCTTTAAAAACATACAACAAACAACTGGATAGCAATCATGAGCAGCAGAACTAGATAATTCACAGCCAGTCCCAGCTTTCTGTTTCTTCAATTTGTTTACATTTTTCTTAGCCTTTTCGGTTATATTTCCCAAGGCCATGCTCATGAGCTGTTTACTGTTGCACATGTATGTTGTTGTATGTTGTCAGAACATCACACAAGATAAATTGAAATGTATATTTGAGTACAATGGCACCAATATTTTATCCCTGATGTGTGGTTGGGGACTGAGAAAGCACCCCCCACCCCAAAGAATCAAGATGCCTCCCCAAGGATGGTTCTTAGTAACCAGCTGTAACTAGTTCCATCTGCTGTATATTGTCCAGGCACGCAAACCCTCCTTGCTCAGCATCCAATTGTGTGTTTACCTTAAATCCAGCAAATTTAAACAAGGACTTCAATGTGTATTCAATTACTCTGAACATCAAGATGAGGAGGATGCCTCCCACAAAAATGGACAGACAGGCGGACATAAAGGCCAGCTGAACATATTCAGTGCAGTGGCTCCCAATTTCCTCATCCCAGCTTCCACCCACTTCATGATAATACATATCTCATTCCTGTGCTGTCTCTTCTGCTTTTTTCCTACTGTTCACTTGGGATGTTCTAAGAAATACCCTTCCTTTCTAGAATCTTTGTGATGTCACTGCCAACATATGATGTCATTCATAGAGCAAGCTGTAGACATCAGCTATGTTTGTGGAAAACCAACTGAACAAGGAACAATGTGGATTACACAAAGAAAGTTGTCTCAGCTGCTGCTTCCTACTTAGCCCCGAAAGGGTGACTGGGTAAACCCACACTGTCCCAGGGTGGATGGATGAGACACCGCAGCAATCAAGATGTGGTGGTCTCACTTGGCTGGAATGCGCCTTTATGGGCCACACCCATCCCCTTTCTGATTGACCCACTAAGGTACAAACATCTCCTCTTCTCCTCCTTCAGGAGGAAGTCTGTCAAGGCTTCCTCCTCCATTAGAGTGAGCCCAACGTATCTCCATGTGAGACTCAGGGGAGTGGAATGTTCTCCTCAAGAGGGACCCATAGTAACTTTGGTAAACAACACCAATTGACAAATGGAATATGGGAAGAATTAACCCCAGCACTCCTTTCACAATCCTTCAGCAACTCTCAGATCCATTAGAAGTAAATAAAAAGAGTTGACAGATCTCCTATGTCACCAGGGGCATAGCGTGGGTTGCCTGTCCCCAGCATGGGGAAGTGTTGTGCCCCCCTAGTGGACTGGGAAACTGGGGTGGAGGTGCACACCGGGCAATCACATTGGTGTTGACAGTTGTGCTGCTCCTTCCTCCCTTGTCCCACCCCAACCCAGAGGCTCCTCGCAGCCAATGAATGATGCTGTCACCTGGACAATGAGGCAGCTGGAACCCCTCACAGGAGAGGCGAAGAAGCAAGCAGGGAAGTGTGACTTACAGGGTCCCTCAACCCTGCATTAAGTCTCTATTTGGGTATGTCTACACAGGTAAGGGATGCGGGTGGCACTGTGGGTTAAACCACAGAGCCTAGGACTTGCAGATCAGAAGGTCAGTGGTTCGAATCCCCGCAACGGGGTGAATTCCCGTTGCTCAGTCCCTGCTCCTGCCAACCTAGCAGTTCGAAAGCACATCAAAGTGCAAGTAGATAAATAGATAAATAGGTACCTCCGGCAGGAAGGTAAACGGCGTTTCCATGCGCTGCTCTGGTTCGCCAGAAGTGGCTTAGGCATGCTGGCCACATGACCCGGAAGCTGTACACCGGCTCCCTTGGCCAATAAAGCGAGATGAGCGCTGCAACCCCAGAGTCGGTCACGACTGGACCTAATGGTCAGGGGTCCCTTTACCTTTACCTTTACCTTTACACAGGTAGGACTGGGATGCACTCATTCAATGGATTCAGTCTCTGTAAGAGTGTAAGAGAGAGGCTCAGGGAAGGTTAAGGGAACTGCACAGTGGGCTGCACAGATTGCAGAAGCTCCTTCTCAATGCTTCCTCCCTGCCACTCCCCCTGACCAGCACCTGCCTCCCCCCTGCTCCCACAACTGGCTCCTTCACAAGAGCAGGGAAGCTACAGCAGCCTCCACAGCAGCAGCTGATTTTTCTCCTCCTTACTCTGTGCTTCTTTCTCGCTGCTAGCTCCCTCCCCACCCACCACCCTGCCATGGCCCTCCTCTGGCCCAGGCAGCCCCTCCACCATCCTCCACCCCCACTTGCAGTTGCCTTGAGACCCCTGCACTGCACTGGGCAAACTCACCAGCAGCAAAACAAAACACAGCTGCTCTTGCAAAGTGGCACATGGCTAGGGTGCAGGGCCAGCGTGAGGAGGCAACAGGCATTCCTCCCAAAACTGTGTCCCCCCCCGCCAAATGTGCCCGGGCCCACCACCCCGGTAGCTCCCACCATGCCAGAACAAGCCCCCTGTGTGTCACAACAAGTTTGAGTCTCAGGCTAGGCCTTGGGCAGAGGGAACAGACAATGGAGACATAAAGGATGATGCACTATATTCTACATATCGCTTGATATAACGGAACATCCCTCTTTCCTCCTTCCCCTGCTTCAAGCCTCACTTCTGCAGCTGCTGGGATCAGATGGAGCTAGTTATCTCAGCCGTTCACTCCCCACTGGAATATAATTTCATCAAAATCTCTAGGGTTCATAGAGAGGTTTTTAAAAAATCTTTTATGAAACCAATGGATGAATAATAACGCAATCAGGTTTCTCTTCATGCAATCAGAACAGTTGAGTGGGGAAATGGTGATTTTTGTCTGAAAAGGGGACACATGCCCAGGAAAACCAAGTAGCAAAACAGTTCCCTAGCATGAGGGCTGATGGGCAAAGAATGCAATATTTTGTGGCCTTTAAATATAGCTATTACTGAATGCATCTCCTCCCCATTGTGAAAGCCAAAGGGGGCCAGTTCAAGTCAGTGTTACCGTGTGAATAAAGCAATGTGCCGACAGTAGCCATTTTGTAACTTTGGCAGTACGACTCTTCTTCTTTATATTTCCACATGTGTGTCCTTTCCAGCTGACCCAGCACAATTATCATCAACTCTCCATTGTGGAATACCCTCATGCTCAAGCCAACATCTGCTGAAAAGCAAGTTTCTAGAATTAGATTGTATGCATGCAAATACACGGGTGGTCCCCACCCCAGAAGCAAGACGTGACTGGGATTCAATGTCACAACTTTATTAACTATCAAGGCACTGAGAGAAAATGAATCTAGGAAACTGTAGGAAGCCTAACATGATGAAGGTGCTTTGAGAACTCCCCAGCCCTTCATCTGGGCAACCCAATCCTGGCTCAGGGTCCCAGATTTAGATAGTTAATGGATTAGTACCCCTCTATGTCTGCTCACTTGAAATCAAGCTGAGGTGGGCATCCAAGAGTTGTATCCCAGCATTTCGAAGGAAGCCTGTTCTAGTGCTCAAGGTCTTTTTCTTCTGTTCCTGGTGAGGAGTCGGGGTAGATTGAACGAACATCCCTACACTGAGATGGTGCCCTTGGGTGCTCATCAGGGGTGCTAAGCTAAACTCCTTCCCTGCTCATACTATGTGCCACAAGATCTTAAGCTGGGCTACCCTCTACCCACCTGCAGATCACAAGGTCAGACAGGCCCCTATGTGGATCCTTGATAAATAAATCACATCCTTCAGTAGAAAGGTGGACACCACCATCTCTATAAAGATGAGTCACTGAATGGTGGATCTGCTCATATGCAATGTATGCACACCCGTGTAACCTCCTGATTCTCCATGGTGAAAACTCCAGTGAAAACTGTCATCCTAGGGTTCTAGATTCAGGTAGATAGCCGTGTTGGTCTGATGCAGTCAATACACACACACACACACACACACACACACACCTCTGGTTACATACTTAATTCATTCCAGAGGACCGTTCTTAACCTGAAACTGTTCTTAACCTGAAGCACCACTTTAGCTAATGGGGCATCCTGCTGCTGCCGCGCCACTGCCGTGCGATTTCTGTTCTCATCCTGAAGCAAAGTTCTGAACCAGAGGTACTATTTCTGGGTTAGCGGAGTCTGTAACCTGAAGCATAAGTAACCTGAAGCTTATGTAACCCAAGGTACCACTGTATATATAATCCACTAGCACCTTAGAGACCAACTAAGTTCGTTCTTGGGACGCAGGTGGCGCCGTGGTCTAAACCCCTGAGCCTCTCGGGCTTGCTGATCAGGAGGTCAGCGGTTCAAATTCCTGCGACGGGGTGAGCTCCCATTGCTCGGTCCCAGCTCCTGCCAACCCAGCAGTTTGAAAGCATGCCAGTGCAAGTAGATAAATAGGTATCGCTCTGGCGGGAAGGTAAACAGCATTTCTGTGCTCTGCTCTGGTTTTGGTGTTCTGTTGCACCAGAAGCAGCTTAGTTATGTTGGCCACATGACCCGGAAAAACTGTCTGCAGAGCAGACAAACGCTGGCTCCCTCAGCCTGTAAAGCGAGATGAGTGCCGCAACCCCAGAGTCGTTTGCGACTGGACTTAACTGTCAGGGGTCCTTTACCTTTTTAAGTTTGTTCTTGGTATAAGCTTTTGTGTGCATGCACACGAAAGCTTATACCAAGAACAAACATAGTTGGTCTCTAAGGTGCTATTGGACAATTGTTATATTTTTTTAAATATTTTGTCATCCTAGGGAACTGAAAGGTCTGGTTATTGATAACGTGGACAGTAAACTGATTATTGTTGTTGTTTGATTTCTATACCACCCTTTATCAAAAGATCCGAAGGAGGTGTACAATATTAAGAACATACTTTATGGAATATTAAAAAGCATAATACAGAGCATAATGATAAATAGCATACTGATAATAACAACAATAGCCTCCCTCACACGAATATAACAGGCCATGGATTATTTAATAGCCAAAGGCCTGGTGCTTAAAAGACATATCATGGCACCAGTTGATCATCATCACAGCAGAACCTCACCACTGAATCCTAGAAGGCAGTAGATCAGATGTTAAGCGACTGCAACAATTGGGAGGGGGCGAAGAATCATGGAATGTTAAACTCCTCATTACCTTAGACAAGGTGTGGGAAATATTCCGCAAATCTTTATCCTCCTTTTAGACAGCATAGAAGTGGCCAAACGTACCCAAATGATGAGACACAGAGCATGGCCTCAGAAAGCAATCCTAAGGCTCGGGCAACTTCACGCAGATGATAGCATTTCTTACAGAAAGAGGTGAGGCAGGGAAATATTGCCCAGGATGAAAGGAGGGATATTCCCCCACCTTGTTTCAGACAGATTCCACCTGCCTGCACTTTTTAAGTTTGGATTGTTGACTGTAGAGCCTAATGTTATATTAATAAATATAACCTTAAACCAAATGTCCTGTCTCTCAAGTCACCTTGAGAGTGGGCAGGTAATAAGACATTAATTCTGAAGAAAGAAAGAAAGAAAGAAAGAAAGAAAGAAAGAAAGAAAGAAAGAAAGAAAGAAAGAATTTTATTATTTCGGTCACAGACCAGTTCCAGCCCACATACAATATCAAGGAAGTCAAAGGGATACATTTGAATTTGCAATTAGGTATAACAGGGACAATACAGATATAGCAACAGATATAGCAATGTAGTCTTTGTTATATTTGCATAGTCTCTGTTTTCAGATAACACTCATTACAGCAATCCTCCAAATCTTGCACCTGTATCTCCCCCACAATCAGGCCACACTTCCTCCTATCTCTTAATGTTGTAGTGGTCTGCTTATTCAACCACCAGTATCCGTAGCTTTCCCGATAACTTGCATTTTAATGCCAATGCAAGCACAAAAATGGGCACCATTCTTGGTTTATAGTCACAGCCATCATCTGCAGTTTGTTTTGGTGAAGGCAGGCTGATATATAGGGCTCACCATTGGATGGCAGCATTCTCCTGCCTTTAAAAGGAAGTGCCACCAGCATTCACTTCTTAGTGCAAACAAGTCAGTCACAAATCACAAATTTGTACAGCAAAAACACAAACAGGAAGGGTGTAGAGGGAAATGTGCGTGATTTATTAGAGACAGTGCTACTCCTACTCTGATTTCATGCTGCAAGGTTGTATTTACTGCAGAGTTGGTGATGCGCGGAGGGATGTGTCGCAGTTGACTTTGCATTTACTTCAATATATAAAAGACAATCAGTAGTTAGCAATCTTTCCAGAAATGAATTGCTGCTTGTATAATCATTGATTTCAGTACATGCAAATGGAAATTGTCCATTAAGTAACAAGGACAGTTTTGTTGTTGTTGTTGTTGTTGTTTTTTAAAAAAAGTTAACTCACAGATAAACTGTATTTGGCAGCCACACATTTAAAGCACCCCACCTCTGCCCCAAGGAATCCTGGTAACTGTAGTTTAACCCTCCCAGAGCTACAATTCACTGCACCCTTAAAAAATATTGTATCCAGGATTCTGATAAGCGGGATGTGTGATTCAATTGCAGTTTAAGTCTATGGTGTGTATGTAGCCTTTGTTTTCTTCCTATTAGACTCAAACTCTATCTCACAAATGTGATTGAAGGTAGGTTGTGAGAAATAAAGGACTAAGGCTGGAAAGGGCTTTTTCGTGTTTTCATTAGTCTTAAGCTGCATTCAGGCAGCATTTTATTCCATTTTCCTGGCATTCCCTTACCTGATATTTTCCATTTTTTATGTGAACTTTCACACAAGGAAAATGCCAATTCTGGAAACCTAGTGGAATCTACTGGAGGTTTAGCACTCATTTCCATGTTAATTGTTTACAGAGGTGAGGGATCAATTTGCAACGCAGTTCACTTTGAGCTTTGTGTTGCAATTTCATGTGTTGAAATTTGGGGCAGTATCCTGGCATACAATTCCCCCTCCTACCCTCACCCCCACCCCTGCTGCTTAAAGTTTAGTGTGACTTGGTGGTATATCAATGAAAAAGTCACAGATCCATAATGCAACAGTTACTGCAGTGTAAAGGGAACATTAGAAAATGGTGCTAGCATTATAAGATGGAATACTAAACCAATAAACCCCACATCCACTAGTGCCAACCATATGGGGGGGTGCCCCGGACATGACTTCTGAGCTCCCCAGGTGCCACTGCAGCATGCACAACCTGACATCATGTCATGGTGTGGTGTGGTGTGACATCATAATGTCATGTTATGTTGTGCACCACTGGGCATCCATAATCCGGGGCCCAAGTTGGAGCCTCTGGCCAGGCGAGGACAAATATTGTCCTCCAGACCTCCCTAGTCTTTGGGACTTTCCCCAGGCCTCTCCTTTCCCCTGCCATTATTCCCAGGCCTGTGGCAGAATGTGTGTTTGTGTACCTGGTGGCTAAATGGGGGTGAAGCCAAGGAGGTTGCAGTGATGGAGACAAGGAGTTCTTCAACTTCATAATGATAATGATTAATGTTGATAACACTGCAGAAATGGGACGTGGGTGGGGCTGTGGTCTAACCACAGAGCCTAGGGCTTGCCAGTCAGAAGGTCGGCAGTTCGAATCCCCGTGACAGGGTGAGCTCCCATTGCTCAGTCCCAGCTCCTGCCAACCTAGCAGTTTGAAAGCATGTCAAGTGCAAGTAGATAAATAGGTCCTGCTCCAGTGGGAAGGTAAACAGCGTTTCCGTGCGCTGCTCTGGTTCGCCAGAAGAGGCTTAGTGATGCTGGCCACATGACCCGGAAGTTGTCTGTAGACAAACGCTGGCTCCTCAGCCTATAGAGCGAGATAAGTGCCGCAACCCCAGAGTTGTCCATGACTGGACCCAACGGTCAGGGGTCCCTTTACCTTTACTTTAACATTGCAGAAATAGTGTTACAAACATGTTGTGATGTGTTTGAATGGTATGGGTGTAACCCTAGGTTGCAAGCGCACAGCAGTTTATTTTGTTCCCCCCATGTCTCCGTTGAGACACCTGGCTTGTGCCCCCTCAAAATAATGTGCTTGGGGCTATGGCCCATCTTGTCCCCCCCCCCCATGCTATGCCCCTGCCCAATTGTGGGCAGGAGTCTAGAGTCAAATGTGCTGGCAACCCTCCCTTCAAATTACCGTATTTTTTGCTCTATAAGACTCACTTTTTCCCTCCTAAAAAGTAAGGGGAAATGTGTGTGCGTCTTATGGAGTGAATGCAGGCTGTGCAGCTATCACAGAAGCCAGAACAGCAAGAGAGATTGCTGCTTTCACTGCGCAGCGATCCCTCTTGCTGTTCTGGCTTCTGAGATTCAGAATATTTT